TGAATTCGTCACGTATTACACCATACATTACCCGTTCATTGCATACAACTTGCACTCAAGAATATATTTTAGATCATAATAGCATCATTGACATTATATTTTGGTTTTCCAAGTAGTCATTAGGCATCCTGGTGTTTCTAGGCCCCTCTCTGTTACGCCACTGCTATGCGCAACCGACTGTCAGTTGGCTGTCCGATGCACGGACAAGCTCGAGAGCTCCGAATGGAGCACTTTATGCTAATTGCGCTTTTGCTTTTCGGTCAGGTGGCCCAGCAACCAATGCAAGTCGCAGACAAGTCAAGTGCTCTGTTATTCGCAGAGTCGAGGAGGCTGCTAGTAAAAGTTCTGTGCAAAGAAGATACAAAAATGTTGCTTTCAAGTGCACTATTAGGGGCTAATTAATGGTTTAAAAGTAGTAGTTAATAATTAGCTTTGACCTTCGCGATTATCAGCGGGCTTACGAAATATGTATAGTGTGACCTTGCAACTGAAAGAAGCATACAGTGTGACCTTGCAACGACAAGGGCCACTACTTTCCGTTTATTTTGTTAATTCCTTTTGTTTTATTTACTTATTTACAATTTAAAGAACAATATCAAATCTCACCTCCAGTCTTAAATACCAAGAAATTGCCCACTCCCTAAGTCGAGCATTCAAATGGACAAACAGATTGAGATTGATTATTTAGGTTTCTAAATAAGCGGAACAGGGACAACTTATTTTCCCAACTAAGTACCTAAGTAAAGAAAACGTGCGAGTAGAGAAGGAATTTCGAGGGCAAGTATTTACGTGCATTTATCCTAAACAGCACTATAACAAAATGTGTCCCAGTTGTTTTCTTGTGCTGGCTTATCTCTGGAAAATGTCCAGCTTTTCTTTATTCAGCTGTTGCTGGCATTGTTGTGCCCCATGTTGCCATTGTTCTACTTATATTGTTGCTTCTTGGCTTGGCTTTTCTGTGGACTTCTTTTATTCATAGGCTGTCCCACCTGAGATGACGTTGAACTTTTAACTTGTGGAGATGTCGTAACTTCCCATCTCTTGATTTCGCTTCTTATTTGTTGTCCGAATGTCTTCATGGGCTTAAAGATAGAAATGCTAGTACTCAGACTCTTGGGAATTTCTTTCTTGGGACTTTGAAATGCAATTTTACGCAAAAAGTATTTGGATTAAAGTTTTACTCAACGAGAGTTGATGTGGGTAGATAAAACATATTTCAAATTAGGCCCAAAAATTACCCATGTACCTGGAAAAAGTCCAGCGGCTTTAGGTTCATGCCTTTGATTTTGGTTATTACGGTTTTGAACTTGTTGGCCCAACCGTTTTGGCTACTGTGTTTAATTATTTAAATGAAACTCGCCCGTTGTCGTTGTTGTTTGCAGCGTGTGTTTGTTTGCTCCGCTCGCAATGTTTGCTTTGCATTTGTTTGTCTGTTTGTCTGTTTGATTGTTTGCTCTTGGCCTTTGTTTGCCTTGGCCAGTCTGCATCAGCAGCTGCGACAGCAGCAGCAACGGCGGCAGCAAAAGTTGAAGTTCATGTTTCTTTAGTGGCTCACGGCTGAAAAGCACGCACAAACAAATCACAGAGAAAACAACATGACGAATAAATATGATTTGAATGCGGGAAAAGTCTTCTTCATCGGGCAGAGAAGACATTTCTAACGTTAAATACCCACAAATATGATATGACAATAAAACAATATCTGCCTTAAAAGCCCGTTTCTGAGATTGAATAAAAAAAATGAAACTGCATTTCCACAAAACTCCTTGATAATCTGCGATGTTTTTGAAGCCTTGGCCATAAAACCACTTGATACGAACTCGAACTTCAAGACCATGTCTGGCTTAGGGTTTACACTTTATACGTTTATATAACAAATTCGAAGGCTTTCAGCCCATTGTTAATTGCCATTAATTTTGATATGATTATTATTTGTTGTATATTTCTGCAAAAATCGTGGCTTTGCCTCCGGCTTAAGCGCAAAAAATGTGAGTCACAAAGCGTGGACTTGAAATGAGAGGAGTGTAGTACATATGGGGTGTGGTTAAATTAACTCAAATGGTTTGTGCCCGAGCAATTGCAAAACAAATAAAAAAAATACGAAATAAAACCGCCAGCGAAAACTCATGTGCGAATAATGCAAAGTGTAAATTGAGCATTTAAGTGAAACGAAACCACAACAAATCGTACATATATATTATACATAGTGTATATATTCATATATGTATGTATTAATACACGTATGTGTACACTTCTTCAATGGAGTATGCGATGCGAATATTTAATTGCATAATGCGAGACTGCCCAGACTGACACACTATGCGTTAATAATAAACAACAAACTTACCATCATCACCATTAGCGTTACCATTGATTTCAGCGATGTGCGTTTGGAGTTTTTCCAGCCAAACGGATTTTATTTATTCTTGCCTTATTCTTCTGTTCGTGAAAGTTTTCAATCATGTTATAATTCCCAACTGTTTGAAGCCCATCATTTAGGAAATTAAGTTCTGATGATAGAAAGCATCTGCACTTTAAGTTCTCTGGTTTATAGTGCATAAAACCTACGAATGGCTTTGAAATAACAGCATCACTAATTCACACCATCATCATTATCTTGGCTAATGACTAATGGGCCATGGTAGCTGTTGAGCTCATGTAATGGCCAGAAAGAAAAGCAAAGAAAAGAAAACGCCAGTAACAGACGCACAGCTTAAAAAAGCGAAATGAAGAAAGGAAAACAAGAAGCTCAACAAAAAGTGTTCAATTATGCAAGCGAGTTACAGTTAGGCGCCCACCAAATAAAAAAACTTGAAAACATTAAATAAAAGAGGTAATACGGGTCGGGTATTCCAGGGGTAAAAGTGGGGTATAGCCGTTTTTGGAGCTGCTGGCCAACATTTCATTTCGATTTCGAAGCGAAAGCGCAACGCAAATTGCAATTGAATTTATTTTATTTCTTTTTTTTTGTTTTTTTCACTTTGCTTTAGTTTTCTGGCGAAAAAAAAAACGTTGTGAAAATATTGCAAGTAAGCCGACTGGTATGGATAAATAATAAATAATTGATTGTTTGACCGATTGATTGAGTGAGTGACGACGGTAATTGGCAAACTTCATTCCGTATGCAGTGGAATGGGTTTCTGGAGCGCCATTTTGTGACGGGTGGTACAGGTGGGATACACTAAGTGCTCTCTTCAAAGTGTTCGGAAAAAAGGGGGGAAAATGGAGCTGTCAAATCAAACAGGTTGACAATGCTTTTTGCTAAATGGCCATGTGAAAATTGCCCCTGAATTAAAATTTGCAAACGCTGATGGTTTTTCGCACGTTCTACTCGTTTATGCGTCCCCCAAATTGGTGATTATTCCGAGAATATTTTAATCTGAAAAACAATGAAGTTATAATTACGCGAATACTTAAAATTGTAATTAAAATCTGCCCACTTAATATTTATCACTATACATTTGAATAGTTGTTACTGGCATGAATATGCATATGAAAATGCACAGCGGTAGATAACATAAATATCATGAACTTGCGATGCATAAACTTGGCAAAAAGGCACTTTTTATTTGCCGACCAAAGTCATCAATCAAGCCAACAAGTTGAGGTACTTTTTTTTTTTTATCCACTTCCTGGCGCCATTTTTTTAACGCCATTTTGTGTGTGTGTTCAGTTTGATGGTCAACTTGCTCTAGCTTTTTTATGAACCTTTTCTGTACGGTCATTTGAACACATTTGAAAGCATTAGAACAGTCACGCCTTCCATAAAAAAAAATATGAGCAGTCCCGCAATTTGATCGAATGGAATTGCTGCCAAATGAAATTACAAAAGTTTGAACAACCGCCCCGGAGAAATTGATAGTTTCAGTTCAAATGGAGGATATAACCACGGGTTTCGTCGATTTCCATCTCTCTAATTGAGCGTTCAAATTGAGTGGTTCGCAAAACGTCAAGTAATTGGGTATAGTAATAACCGCCATAAAGAGGACTATTGGGTCATTCGTGTTTTCCTGCTCAGAAAAGGACTGCATTAAACTGATATTAACTTAATGCCTCTGTCTTCGCCTTTAATAACATTTCACCGATTTTACTATTATAATTTCAAGATGAACTACATTTGAAAAAGTGCACAATTGCAAAGCAGTCTGGATTTAAGTCTCCACCGACGGCGACTGCATTTCCCTTATTTTAATCCTTTAATGTGCCGTACTCCCCTTCTCCGTGTCTGCCGCCCGCCGGGATGTGTGGCAGCATCTGTGTCCTGTGTCCTGCGTCCCATGTCCCTCTGCTAGCCAAATCCATTACAGCTCGTCCTTTTTCATTTTTGCCGCTCGCCTCATTTTCGCGGCAGTTTCAAGGGGATCCAGTCCTACGGGGGGGGGTCCCAATAGATGGCAGTGGGCGTCGGCAGAGCTCATTGTTTGCGGTGTTAATATTTGGCGTCTGGCACCAACAGACAGCGCCAGGAATGCCGACAGATGCACTGAGCGAAAATGGGAAGTCTGTGAAAGGAAACAAGTATTCCAAACAGCAGTAGAACCGAGCTCTAATGCGAAAGCTCAGTCAGAGAGGCTTCTTTGCCTTTTTTCGACAAATATATCTTAGATGGCAACTACATTTCTCTCTGTGCAAACGAGCTGGAGTAACAAGGACAACCGTTACCGTCGACACCCACTCATGCCGTCTCTGTCTGTATCTGTATCTGCATCTGCATCTGCATCTGCAGCGGTAGCTGCATCTCTATCTGCATCATCGTCATTATCATCATGATGTGCCATTTAATTGTCACTCGCGTTACTTTTTGTTTGTTTGCCAGTCGTCCTTGTTGCCTTTGCTGCCCGTATTGTTGCTGTAATGTCATTGCACTTTTTGTGATAGCTGAAAATGACGGAGAGCAAACTTTAAATGAAACTTAAACGGGCAATGTCATTAGAATTAGAAGGATACTCCTTTGAGAAGCACCAACTAATGTTATATGTTTGTATCTTATCCCCTTGCAGGACGTTCGATGTGCAGATCTAGCCATAAGTATACCCAATAACCCCGGCCTGGACGATGGGGCCTCCTACCGATTGGATTACAGTCCGCCCTTCGGCTATCCGGAGCCCAACACGACGATTGCATCCCGGGAGATCGGCGATGAGATCCAATTCTCACGCGCCCTGCCGGGCACCAAATACAACTTTTGGCTCTACTACACGAACATCACGCACCACGACTGGCTCACCTGGACGGTGACGATAACAACAGGTGAGTGATAAGCGCAGAATAGTCCTTAAACAAATGACTCACTTCAAGTGTAAGTAACTTCAATAAGAGGGCATATTACCAAGATTTCAACCGTATTACTCATACGCAACGTTGACCTACAACTCATCTGCCATATGTTCTTTATTGTTTTACTTGTTTGAACATATAACTACTATATTATTATAATTAATCTTAATAATAAGATGTCGCATCAGAACAACAGATATTAGTGGACCAACGTGGCGTATGCGCAATATTGAAAAGTTAGCCATCATTGCTCATCTTGAATTGCCTAAAGTCGTATAATCCGGTATAGGGCACTATACCAAATATGTAAAATCGATCGGCGGGCTAAATATACTATATATTGTTGTCTCCCTTTCACTTGCAAACTCTGCCGGTTTTTGAGTAAAAGTGGTTGGCTATTACTGGTTTTGTTTGTCTTGCCTTTGTTTTTGTCTTTACTTTTGCCTCTTTCTTTATTGTATTTTTTACGCTGTCGATCGGCGGCGATAACTTGAAATTTTGTGCACTTTCTTTCGTTATCCGCTTGGCTTCTTTATTTTTTTTACCCAAAAACAGCAGTAAATATAAAAAAAATGGGGGAAGAGTGTTTTTGCGGAATTTCTTGAAAATGCGTTGGCAATAATAACATAACAGCATTTTGCTCATTATTGCAGACGGTAAAAAGTACAAATGATACAACCGTTTGTAGCGCTTTTCTTTCCTCTTTCTCCCTTCGTCCATAACTTTTCCCCATTTTCCCAAAACGAGACCCTTGGGTAATTTATAGGCATAGACTGGCACTCAACGCCCTGTTTTTGTCCCCCCGGTCTTGCCACGCCCCCTCCCTTAATCAACCCCTCTTTTGGCTGGACTTTTGCAGGTGTCGGCCGAATTTTCACCCTGCCTAGTTTTCCACAGTGGGAAAAACACCGAGTTACGCCTAGTATATAAGTTAAAGCCACATTTGAGCAATATATTTTGTTTATTTCTTGTCATTCGCTAAATTTGTAGTTAAAATTCTATAAAAGTAAAATTAAAATTCTATAAAAATTATACTTCCAGAGAGAATACTCTTATGCAACTTTCTAGTTGGTAGAACATTTATTTGGTATCAGTGTAGACACTGCCATGTTGTAACTTTCGCCCACGTTGCACTTCCCCTTCATCCGTTTGTCTGATTGATTTCGTTACTTAGTTCGATTTGCTCATTAGCCAGCTTACATACATTTGACGAGGGGCTCTGAGGGGCTAATGGCTAATATCGAACTGCAATTAGCAGTTTGTGGCACTTGCAACTCGTATTTGGTTGCATGTTTCGCTTGCTTTCTTTCAAAAACAACGCAACACGGCGCAACTCAACACAACACAACAGGAAAAGGCAATTAGATGGAAGCCATTTAGAGGACAAGGCCAAGTTCCAACTGTTTGTAATCCTGCATCTTGAATTGAATTTCAAACTATTTCAAATGGGGGTGGTTGTAATTCACTTGAAATCCTTTGCAAAGGCTTCAAGAGCTGCTCAAATTGCAAAGCCTGCAATGGAAAGTAAACTACTGATACTAATTGCACTACATTTCCGAAGTAATCGCATTAATTGATGTGCCTTCCCACACCTGCAGCTCCCGATCCGCCGTCGAATCTGTCCGTTCAGGTGAGGAGCGGCAAGAATGCCATCATCCTGTGGTCACCGCCCACCCAGGGCAGCTACACGGCATTCAAGATCAAGGTGCTCGGCCTGTCGGAGGCGTCGAGCAGCTACAACCGCACCTTCCAGGTGAACGACAACACATTCCAGCACAGCGTCAAGGAGCTGACCCCCGGAGCCACCTACCAGGTGCAGGCCTACACCATCTACGATGGCAAGGAGTCGGTGGCCTACACCAGTCGCAACTTCACCACAAGTGAGTCCATCCACGTCCATTCGAGCCAATTAATGCCCAGATAATCCAAGTCAATACACTCCCTATATATATGTTATTGTTCTATTCGGTGATGGTGACTTAACCTGATTAACTTCTTTGTCTCCCGCTTTCATTGTAACTAAAAACCAAATATACACGCACAAAATATGAATTTAAATTAACAACACGTGACAAAAGGTCGAAGGACGCGGCATAAAGAATTGCTGGACATTAAGATCCTAAGAGGTAATGTTTAAGCTTATCCCTTGCCCTAAAAACTAATCCCTCCACTCCGCCTACACTAGCCCACATGGCACTGATTTACCTACTCAAACACACACCACTTTAGTGTTAAGTTCATGCGACTCACATATTACCCATTAAGGTGCTATTTTTGTGCCCTACATATTAAATGCATGCCATAAACCATAGATAGTGGTTCGTTTCTGGTGGTTCGTTTCTGTCTGTGTACCTAGCACATGGGTGACCTCAAACCAGCTGCTTTGCACAGGCCACCGTCCGAAATTGCATTCCAAAATGCATTTTTGATCCGACAATCGGCACCGCAGTGCACTTTCTCCACCCAAAAATGGAGGAGGCTTTTCCCCCATTTTCCCACACTTTCCTGCCGCTTTTCTCGCAGTTTCCCCCTTACAAAGCGCTTGTCCAGCCGCAGCAAAGCAACCGAATCACAAATAACAGTGGTCACTTTGTAAGTGCAACGCTTGGTGGCAAACATGCTTGAGTAACAAATAATCGTAAGAGAGGCTAGGGTACTTAAACACACAATTTACTTCTTTTCAAAAAGATTATTATATACTTGCTATTAACATTGTGTACTACTCAACGTAGTTCATTTGTTATACATTTTCTTAAACTTTTTCCCACTTTCCCTAGTAAGTTGTTTTTAGTTTTTCCTAACTTAACTCAAAAACAGTAAAAAATTTTTATTTCATTAAATCATAAACCTTTTGGTGCAGGAACTCACTTCACCCACATCCACATCCACTGTGTCAAACAATTCCCAACTAGCACACATACACATAAATATACGAATATGTACACACTGCCTGCGGCAAAATGCCCCATAACCCCAACCCCAAGAACTCGAACCCCCCGCAACACAAACTAAAACACCACCCACCCGAAAAATTCCGAATGCGACCGCAACTAACGCAAAGCCACTTCTCTGTCTTGTCCGGCCAATCCACATCCACATCCACGTCCACACCAACGTCCGCAATCCGCAATTCGCAATTGGGAATCCGCAGAGCCCAATACACCGGGGAAATTCATCGTCTGGTTCCGTAATGAGACGACGCTGCTGGTCCTGTGGCAGCCGCCGTATCCGGCGGGCATCTACACGCACTACAAGGTATCCATCGAGCCGCCGGATGCCAACGATAGCGTGCTCTACGTGGAGAAGGAGGGCGAGCCGCCGGGACCGGCCCAGGCTGCGTTCAAGGGTCTGGTGCCTGGGAGGGCGTACAACATATCCGTGCAGACGATGTCCGAGGATGAGATCTCACTGCCGACGACGGCGCAATATCGCACGGTGCCGTTGCGACCGCTGAACGTGACCTTTGACCGCGACTTCATTACCTCCAACTCGTTCCGGGTGCTGTGGGAGGCGCCCAAGGGCATCTCCGAATTCGACAAGTACCAGGTCTCGGTGGCCACCACCCGCCGCCAGTCCACAGTGCCGCGCAGCAATGAGCCCGTTGCCTTCTTCGATTTTCGCGACATCGCCGAGCCGGGCAAGACGTTCAATGTGATCGTGAAGACCGTATCCGGCAAGGTCACCTCCTGGCCAGCCACCGGGGATGTCACCCTGCGACCACTGCCCGTTCGCAATCTGCGGAGCATCAACGACGACAAGACCAACACCATGATCATCACGTGGGAGGCGGATCCGGCCAGCACGCAGGATGAGTACCGCATTGTGTAAGTATCTACCGAGCTAGTTTCTTTTTCCACTCGAATTTGTATGGTAATGTTCACCGTTTACTGCCACCAGATACCACGAACTGGAGACATTTAATGGTGACACCAGCACCCTGACCACGGACCGCACTCGATTCACCCTGGAGAGCCTGCTACCCGGCCGTAACTACTCACTGTCCGTCCACGCGGTATCCAAAAAGATGGAATCGAACGAGACCAGCATATTCGTGGTCACCCGACCCTCGTCGCCCATCATCGAGGACTTGAAGAGCATCCGGATGGGTCTGAACATCAGCTGGAAGAGCGATGTCAACTCCAAGCAGGAGCAATACGAGGTGCTCTACTCCCGGAACGGAACCAGCGACCTGCGCACCCAAAAGACCAAGGAGTCGCGTCTGGTGATCAAGAATCTGCAGCCAGGTGCTGGCTATGAACTCAAGGTGTTTGCAGTCAGTCACGACTTGCGAAGCGAACCACATGCCTATTTCCAGGCAGTTTGTAAGTTTGAGGATCGAGATTTGGCAGTACTTTATGCAACTGAAACTATTCGCTTGCAGATCCCAATCCGCCGCGCAACATGACCATCGAGACGGTGAGGAGCAACTCGGTGCTGGTCCACTGGTCTCCGCCGGAAAGCGGCGAGTTTACAGAGTACTCGATTCGCTATCGCACGGACAGCGAGCAGCAGTGGGTGCGCCTGCCCAGCGTTCGGTCCACGGAGGCGGATATCACCGACATGACCAAGGGCGAAAAGTACACCATCCAGGTGAACACGGTCAGCTTTGGCGTGGAGAGTCCCGTGCCCCAGGAGGTGAACACCACGGTGCCGCCGAATCCGGTGTCCAATATCATTCAACTGGTGGACTCGCGGAACATCACTTTGGAGTGGCCGAAGCCAGAGGGTCGCGTGGAGTCCTACATCCTTAAGTGGTGGCCCAGCGATAATCCCGGTCGTGTCCAGACCAAGAACGTCTCCGAGAACAAGTCGGGTGAGTTTGCGATCGACTGGCTTGGTGGCGCCTTCTCGAATCCTGAATGTAAACCGGAATCACTTCGCATCCTTCTATCTGATCTCTATTTCACTGCGTAAATCCTTTTCTACGTATACTTCTATTTGCTATCCTGTACCAATTAAGATTTCGATACGACTCTCCGCTAAAGTTTTCCGCACTTTTCCATTCCTCCAATGGATCCGAATGCATTCTGTTTATCGCAGAATCCTTTCCACTCAATCTTCTGAAGCTTCCCCTGTTCTGCTCCACTCTAACCCTTCCCCTTCTGCTTCTGTTACTCATCCAACCACAGCGGACGATTTGTCGACGGTGCGTGTCCTGATCGGCGAACTGATGCCCGGCGTGCAGTACAAGTTCGACATCCAGACCACGTCGTACGGGATCCTGTCGGGCACCACCAGTCTCTATCCGCGCACCATGCCGCTCATCCAGTCGGACGTGGTGGTGGCCAATGGCGAGAAGGAGGACGAGCGGGACACCATCACTCTGAGCTACACGCCCACGCCGCAGTCGTCGTCCAAGTTCGATATCTATCGGTTCTCGCTCGGCGATGCCGAGATCCGGGACAAGGAGAAGCTGGCCAACGATACGGATCGCAAGGTGACGTTTACGGGTCTGGTGCCCGGTCGGCTGTACAACATCACAGTTTGGACTGTGAGCGGCGGTGTGGCCAGCTTGCCTATACAACGACAGGATCGCCTGTATCCGGAACCCATCACCCAGCTGCATGCCACCAACATCACGGACACGGAGATCTCGCTGCGCTGGGACTTGCCCAAGGGCGAGTACAATGACTTCGACATCGCCTACCTCACGGCGGACAATCTGTTGGCCCAGAACATGACCACCAGGAACGAGATCACCATCAGTGACCTGCGGCCCCACAGAAACTACACCTTCACCGTGGTGGTCCGTTCCGGCACTGAATCGTCGGTTCTGAGGAGCAGTTCGCCACTGTCCGCCAGCTTTACGACCAACGAAGCGGTGCCAGGGCGGGTGGAACGCTTCCATCCCACGGACGTCCAGCCCAGCGAGATCAATTTCGAGTGGTCGCTGCCCTCCAGCGAGGCAAATGGCGTCATACGCCAATTCTCGATAGCCTATACGAATGTCAACAATCTCACGGATGCGGGCATGCAGGACTTTGAATCGGAGGAAGCGTTCGGCGTGATCAAGAACCTGAAGCCCGGCGAGACCTATGTGTTCAAGATACAGGCCAAGACCGCCATCGGCTTCGGCCCGGAGCGGGAGTACCGGCAAACGATGCCGATACTGGCGCCACCGCGTCCTGCCACGCAGGTGGTGCCCACCGAGGTCTATCGCAGCTCATCGACCATCCAGATCCGGTTCAGGAAGAACTACTTCTCGGATCAGAACGGCCAGGTGCGCATGTACACGATCATCGTGGCCGAGGATGATGCCAAGAATGCCTCCGGCCTGGAGATGCCCAGCTGGCTGGATGTGCAGTCGTACAGCGTCTGGCTGCCCTATCAGGCCATTGATCCCTACTATCCATTCGAGAACCGATCCGTGGAGGACTTCACCATCGGCACCGAGAACTGTGACAACCACAAGATCGGCTACTGCAACGGACCCCTCAAATCCGGAACCACCTACCGGGTGAAGGTGCGGGCGTTCACCGGAGCGGACAAGTTCACGGATACCGCCTACAGTTTTCCCATTCAGACAGGTGAGTTTGATCGCTTTTAACTGGAATTCAAAACAAGGGGACTTAAATGAATACAAAATAGGGGATTTCAGATACATAGAAATATAGGTTAGAATACCATTTATTTGGAACGAATAATGTTTATAGAAAAGCAGCTATACTTAACCCCAAAACCTCTCTAATTATCCATCATCTATGTATGTCTGTTCCGATGTAAACTTGTGTATAGAAATGCTAAGTTCACCGGGTAAGCAATTTGTCAGCTATAATATCTTATAAACGCCATCGTTAAGTTCGTTTAAAGACCAAAGTTATGTTTTGCTTTGAGAATTATTTAATGATTGTAATCTTACTCATCCGATGGATAACTTCCACCCTTTCGCAGACCAAGACAACACCTCACTGATTGTGGCCATTACGGTGCCACTAACCATCATCTTGGTGCTCCTGGTCACTCTTCTGTTCTACAAACGGCGACGGAACAACTGCCGCAAGACGACCAAGGATTCCCGGGCCAATGACAATATGTCCCTGCCGGACAGCGTGATCGAGCAGAATCGACCCATTCTGATCAAGAACTTCGCGGAGCACTATCGCTTGATGTCCGCCGATTCGGACTTTCGCTTCAGCGAGGAGTTCGAGGAACTGAAGCACGTGGGCCGGGACCAGCCATGCACATTCGCGGATCTGCCCTGCAATCGTCCCAAGAACAGGTTCACCAATATACTGCCCTACGATCATTCGCGTTTCAAGCTCCAGCCGGTGGACGATGATGAGGGCAGTGACTACATCAATGCCAATTACGTGCCGGGTCACAATTCACCGCGCGAGTTCATCGTGACCCAGGGACCACTGCACTCGACTCGCGACGACTTCTGGCGGATGTGCTGGGAGAGCAACTCGCGGGCCATTGTCATGCTGACCCGGTGCTTTGAGAAGGGCCGCGAAAAGTGCGACCAGTACTGGCCCAATGACACTGTGCCCGTCTTCTACGGGGACATCAAGGTGCAGATACTCAACGACAGTCACTATGCCGACTGGGTGATGACCGAGTTCATGCTGTGCAGGGTGAGTGGTAATCCGCCAAGCAGGCTCACGTACATTGGGTAACGTTCTCTGGCATCTCTCTTCGCATTCCAGGGCAGCGAACAGCGCATCCTGCGGCACTTCCACTTCACCACCTGGCCGGACTTTGGCGTACCCAATCCGCCACAGACTCTGGTGCGCTTTGTGCGGGCATTCCGCGACCGAATCGGGGCGGAGCAGCGACCCATTGTGGTCCACTGCAGCGCCGGAGTGGGAAGGTCGGGCACCTTCATCACCCTGGACCGCATCCTGCAGCAGATCAACACGTCTGACTACGTGGACATATTCGGCATAGTGTATGCCATGCGCAAGGGTGAGTATGTGGTTATTGACAAAGCGGTTCGCCATCACTAAGTTCACGTTTCTAGAGCGCGTTTGGATGGTGCAGACGGAGCAGCAGTACATCTGCATCCACCAGTGCCTGCTGGCGGTGCTCGAGGGCAAGGAGAACATCGTGGGTCCCGCCCGCGAGATGCACGACAACGAAGGCTATGAAGGTAGGTCTTTGGTCCTTTGGTCCAGGGGCATTGATCTTTCCCCAGCCAGCCCAACCGTTCGTTCGCACACTGACTAACCAAAGACAAGAAAAAAAAAAAAGAAAAAACCAGCTAGACAAAGAGCCCCAGGACATTGTGGGACTTGCAGCCTACTGTTATTTAGTTGATCCTTACTAGACCTAAGCCTTACGTTTCGATTTTCATTCTGGTGATGGGTGACTAACTATGAGCAAAATCATTTTCCTTCATTTCCCCCAACAATGCAATGCGTTACGCAACACTCAGGCCAACAAGTGCAGCTGGACGAGAACGGTGATGTGGTGGCCACCATTGAGGGTCACCTGTCGCATCACGACCTTCAGCAGGCCGAGGCGGAGGCCATTGATGACGAGAACGCGGCGATACTGCACGATGACCAGCAGCCGCTGACCAGTAGCTTCACTGGACACCACAGTCACATGCCGCCCACCACATCGATGAGCTCCTTTGGCGGCGGAGGTGGCGGCGTTGGCGGTGGAGGCCATACAAATGTGGATGCGCCGGATAGATGACATTCGGTTGTCAACCAGAGTGATAACAACAATTCCGTGGTTATCGTCCTGGTTGACAACAAGCCCAGCTCGATGATCTGCAAGGACAGCAAGGGCGGCAATATCGATGTGCTCGAGTCGCAGCAGCAACAGCAACAGCAACCGCAACCCATCCAGGGAGGCCACAACATAACCACCATATCCGCCGTCAACGGCTACAATACGCTGCAGCATAGACGGAAATCGCAGCTGATCACGTTCAGCTCGTCGTCCTGTGATATCAAGAACAGCCTCAGCCATGAGTACATCAATGGATCCAATGGATCGGCAGCAAATGGTCCACCCAGTGCCGGTTCCGGTCCCGGGAGTAATCGGGCCAGTCGTGCCAATGTGCGATTAAGTTTCGCCGAGGAAGATGTGATGATCTTGCCGCAGAACCACAACCAGCAATCCAATCATCAAGATGACGAAGTCTTCACGCGACGTCGTTCACTGCTGGAGGTGGAACTGGGTGTGGAGGTGGGCGAAGATGGTGAACTGGCACCACACGAAATGGAGGAGGATCTGGAGGAGGAGGACGAGGACGAGGATGAGGAGCTGTATATGCACGATGAGTTCGAGACCCACATCGACACCAAGTCGAATAATGCCAACGATGACAGCGGTGGCGGCAGCTATGAGGACTCCCATGCCCTGCACTCCTCACTGGGCGGCAGCAATCGAAACAGCCTGGAGAAGGATGACGACGACATCGAGGTGGATGTGATCAGCACGGACGTTAGCTGTTACGATCAACTGCTCGGAAGCAGTTGCAACACGCGAAACGGCGATGACGATGACATAGCCACGCTGGTCGGCGACGGCGACTATTCCACCACGAAACTCAGCAAGGCATCCAGATTATCCGGCCCCGGAATCGGCGGATTAGTGGTCAGCGGGGGAGGAGCTGGAACTGGCATTGGCGGTGGAATCGCTGTTAACGGTGGTGGTGTTTTGGGAAATGGTGTTGGTTCCGAGGCTGGCGGCGGCATCATCTATGCCAATCCGTTCATGGGTTTGTAGAAACTTACGCAAATCCCCAGGAGTGGGTCAGTGCGTTTCATGGGTACCAAATATCTTTGTAAATATATTATTCCTGTGACTAAGTTCAATGTGTTCAACATGAAACGCACTATGACCACATTCTCTAGATGTACTAGATGTATTGTATCCACACGTGATTGCTTATACCTGCATGATTACCTGTTTCTATTTTGTATGCAATCCTTTGTTTTCTAACCACGCATGTGCTTAGCTTTTGCTCAACTCATCGTACAATTGTAACCATGCCATTTCGACTGTCTTTCAGATGACGAGGGCATTGCAGAGTCGGGCATGTAAAGCCATTCCAAAACTCCAGCCAATACTCCAGCCAATCCCGACCAACTGAACTCAACTCAACCGAATGGAACCCAACCCAACCCAACCCAACCCAACCCAACCCAACCATCTTGTGGCAACTACATTATTGTTTACTTAAGGGACGAAGTGCGTGGAGAGCGCGGAGAATCAACGCTTGATATTATACTTGGATATATGTGTACTACACTGGATACTACTGGATATATATACTCTACACCGATCTATCGAATGGGAATGCAGCAATCTCGCCAAACAGAACGAACACGCATCAATTTATACATTTTATATATATCTAAGATAACGAGGAATCGGCGTACAATGTAACCGCAATTGCCGCTTCAAACCGACGGCAATACTAAATACTGGAATACTGATTGTATTTTTACGCTAGCCACAATTTGATATAAACTATATATCTTCCAATTTTTTTGTACACCTAATGTTAGTTGAAATATGTGAGCGAGACGAGCAAATTTTTGTAGCAAACTAAAAGCGCTAAATGTTTACTTTTTTATATTATTATATATATAAATACTTGATAAACATATACCTAATATTAGACCTAAACTAAACTAACTATAAATCGCAAACACTCATACACTCACACAAACACAATGCAATAATTGAGTTACATAGTTTTAAACAAATGTTAAAACATTTTGCTGCAACCGTCGGAGATGTAGTGTACAATTTTAAGTTTCTTGTATTTTTTTTTCCTGTTTTGTGTTTAATTTTTTGTAACTTCTACAAAGCGTAAACTGTGTATGTATGTGCTACATTGATTTTTGTTTAATTATATCAAGTTTTATTTAAAAAATCGAATACCACCTTGCATTCTCCTCTTTTAAACTTGGCGCTCACACTTATTACTTATAATAGGTCCAACCAGCGGCCGCTGGAGATCAATCCAATCAACAGAAAGTAATGTAAAACACCGAAGTAAATGTTTAAACAAAAACACACAAAGACAAAAGAGTCGTGTTTCCATTTTCACTTACGTTTATCGGCATGCGATTTTAGTAACAGCGAAAGAAGGTTTTAGATATTCAGCTTAAAACTCGAACTTTTAATAAATCAGCAAGCTTAAATCGATAATATTATTGTATATATTAAATAGTTTAGCACTGTGTGATTTTATTTATCTTAATTCGTTTTTAAGTGCTTGCTGTGTGATTTTCCTTAAACAATTATTTAAATTTTATAACCAGAACGACACTTGAAAGAATTTATTTATTCGTTTATTTATAAAAAAAATTGAATTAAGTGAATATGGAAACACAACTAACAACAAACAGACAGCACAAATAGAACAACAGGAACAAATGACCAACGCATTTCGTAAGGCGATAATCATTTACACAAAAAACCAATAAGAAATAACAGAATCCCACGCAAACTGAAGACTTACTAAAAACCAAGTTAAGGGCTAGTTAATGGAGCCGGTGCCAAAGCAAAAATGAAAACAACACCTACACAAGACAACTAAATGTAACAATAGCAATAAATTTTAATGAAAATTGTAGTCCAAATAATTTGCGTACATTTGTATTTTGTCCAAACTTAGTTAAAATGATTAACCGAACTGTGAAAGAGTGCAATAGATATCGTTTTGCTTCTAGATTAGTGAAAATACAACGAAGCCCCTAATTTGAATACGAACCAACCCAAAGGCCCCGCCCTCCCTCAATAACAATAAATACATATGCATAAATATGCAAAAGTTAGAGATGATGAAACTAGAAAGTCTGTATAATGCATACATAATATACGACTCCATTATACACATACTAAGGCCGACGAATAACATATGCATATACAATATAGACATATATTAAATATATATCATTGTAATAATTTGTAATGTTTATCAGTAGAATTATGGTCCGAGGTGGAGCAGACGAGTAAAACGCATGCAGAGATCCATTAAAGTGTACTGTAAAATGTGCCAGATATTGTTTTATCTAAATTTATTTTGCTGCAGAGGGTGAGTAAGACAACTAGCCCTATTTGGAAGATCCTAATGAATTTTTGAAATCATCGCAACATTTGTTAAATCGAAACAGAACTCTTCTTACTCTAGTAAACATTTGGCTACGTTCGGAAAATTAGCGAAAACTTAGGAAAGTTTTTACTCAATTAAAAAAAAACGTGTTTAACATTTGGCTACGACGTGTTAGTATTGCATACTTTTAGGTCCATCTTTTTGCACAGAGAATTTGTGAATTAACTATAAAATTGGCACTGGAATTGGTCGATGGTGTCCCACTACTGATTGCCAGGCGCTGTTGCTCCTGCAGCCTTCATGGCCAGCATGGCGTCCAGTTCGCCCTGGATGTTCTCGAACTGGTTGTACAGTTCCATTAGTTCCGGATGCGTCATTTCGATATTGATATCCTCGCCGACAGCCGTTTTCATTTGAAGCACGGCCAGCGGGGTCTTCTCCCGCTGCTGGCAATGCGAGGAGATCTCCATGTTGAGCTTCCAGGCCACATCTTCGATGACATTTGATTCGTACCGCTTGCTGGCCAAATTGTTCATAATGGGCGTCGTTTCGCGCACCCACAAACGCAATATGGCATCAATCTTGGCCTCATCCTCCAGCTGAAGTTTCTCGCGCAGCTCACGCTGCAGCAAACTTGGCTTGATGATGAACGTGGAGATGCGACGCAGGATGTAGGAGAAGGTCTTGATCAGCAGCAGGAAGTCCTGACGTGGTACGCCCACCAATCGCTCCAGTTCCTCGAGTGTGTACTCCGGTTCGGTGCTGCTCGTAGGATTCTCCTCGGTGCTGCCGTCCGCCCGGCCGGTGGTCGTCACACTGGTGCCCACCGTACTACTGGTGGCACTCGCCGACGCTCCGCTGGGGCTCATCTGCCGGTGGGTGTAAAACAGAACCGTCGTGAAGGTCTCGTAGGGCAGGGCATTGATGATTTTGATGCCCTCGCGGGCTCTAAAATATAAAAACAAACCATTAATTACTAATAGAAAGGTAACAACACATACCTTTCGGTGATCTTTATCCAGTTAATGCTCATTGTAAGATGTATTTAATTATTTTACGGAACATAGAGTTATCAAGTCTTCAGTAGCACTTCTTTTATTTAGATTTTAATATTATTTGTTTATATGCAGCAACAAAATAAAAAAACTATCGACTTGCCACTTTGCGGCGTTGCCACACAGATGGTATTGTCAATAATAACGGTAAATAATAGCTAGATATAGAAAATATTCCATTTTGCCGATGTGGCAAAATTGGTTTTTCTAATTTTTCAGATTCAAATTAAGTTGATTTATTTTTATGTATTTATTTCTGGTATCTCGATTCATCAAACCAAAAAACACTACAATGCCTTGCAGACAAGTAAGAATAAGACACAGCTAAGGTTGCCCTGCAAAATTAAATTTAACCAAAGAAAAACAGCCTAAGAAAATTTCAATACAACTCTGTCGACGGTAAAATTTTCAATTTGGAAAAGATTATTAGATACGTGTAATTTTCCAACTCATTGAAAGTGGAAAAGCTAGATTTAACATTAAAATCGCCCTACCTGGCAACTCCTCTGAGGCTTATCGATGGTCCGCTCGATAGCGCCAACAATCGATAGGCAATATTTGTGTATTGGAAACGCGGCTTAACTTAGTGCAGATTTTTACGCTGATTCGGCTGCAAAAGATGCACTTTTGAGGCACCCACGCCCCCGAATTCGAGTGCAGTTGCAGTCGGGAAAGTTTGAAAAGTGCGTGGAGCAAGGAGAGCGACGAGTTCGTTGAGCTACAGCGAAACAGAAAGGTGGAAAAAGCGGGGGAAACGAGCGCAGCGGAGCGAATGATAAACGGGAATTGGGATCGGAAAATTGGAAACAAAACCAACCACCGATTATAAAAAGGCAGCAGCTCAAAAGTAAGGATACCAAGCTTAAGTTTCTGCGAAAGCGCGAGAAAAACAAAAACGCCAACTAAACTAACGGAACAGTGCGTCGAGATATATGCATGTGTATGTAGTATGCGTATGTGTGTTTTTGCCATCGTGTGATAGTGTTGTTCCTGTGTAAATAAACAAAACCCGGCTCTTTAGTCTTCGGCTAGTTCGTTTTGCGTTTCCCTGCGTGGTATTTTTATGGGAAAAACGTAATTTGGCATATCATAACTTCCAGTTTATTTCCCTATTTTGCACTCGGTGTGTATCAGTGTTCTGGTGCTTCCAACATGCCGTAAAAATCGATAGCGCGTCGTCGGTTGTTTATTTTATGCTTCGTCTGCATTTTGCAGCCCCTTTTTATCGCTCTCCCCTTTTCACCCACCCTTGCACACACTCATACTCTCTCCGGCGGAGTCGTATTGATGCATACACACACACACATACGGCTGATACGGGAAATTAAAAATAATACTTTTTATCGCGGCATGCAAAAGGCAAAGCTGCAAAAACAGAAACAATTCCAATTCCAACAACAATAATCTAGCCATGCAATCAATTTTAACCAAACAATAAGAACAATCGTTTGGTTTCAGTTTCCCCGCTTTTCTTTTCCGTTTTTTCCCTTATATTCATTCGGTTTTATCGCATTTTCCGCTCATTATGGCAGTTTAGCATATTTATGCTGGAAAAATATTGGGGTTTCTTCGCTTCTTACCTTTGTTTTACGTTTTGTTTGTTTTTTCGCCGGGCTGTAAAAACAGCAGTTAATCCAATTAAGAAAAATAAAACTCTAAATTGTATAGCCACCACGAATTTTAAATCACCTTTCATCTAAGTTTAAGACATAAGACTTATCCATAAATTTGTAGAAATGGAATTTCTAAATGAATCATTTGTTTTACAGGCGTTTTTATTATTATTTATTAAATTATATTAGCAGGCTGCGATTTTATAAAAATTACTCAAGTTTTTATCTTGACTGCTATTAAACTTTCTACACAGGCATAAAATAATTACTGCACTGACCTATTCTTAAACAACAAATATTTTATACTCAACTTTAGCTTATCGCAGCGTATTTTTTATTAAGTATATATAGAAATATTTACTCCACGTGTCATGTTATATATTGATAAAAAAAAAACAGTACAGTGCATTAGAATATATATTATCCCTCATTTGTTGGTTAATCTCGAAAGCTGGTCGTGTAAACAGGGGATCTTGGGATAGTTTATTGAATTGGATATAATTTGCATGGTTGGCCAATCTTTTGGGTCGGCTATGCCCGCCTCTTTGCTTGGTAGAGGAGCTTGGGCAGTGGGCACTTGCAATTGGCACCAGCTTCGGGCCAGTCAGTCCGCCAGACTTGGTCTTTGGGTCGAGATGTAGAGCTGGGATACTGTGGCACACTATATAGGGGATACTGCTGCGATACAGATACCGCGGACACGGCTGACATGCACTAATGCCCCGAATAATGCCTATTGCAGACGGGGATAATGGAGTCACAGAAGCGGCCGTCGTTGGATTTGCACACGGATGTGACAACAGGATCAGCAGCTGGAGGATCTGGGCTGGGAGCTGCAGCTGAGATGTCGCCCACTTCCGGTTTCCTGCCGGACATGCCGCAGTGGAAGAAGGACCTCATCCAGCGTCGGAAAACGAACGTGGCCCGCACCCAGGCGGCGTCCATCACCTCGCCCACCGATGGCAGTTGTGGGGCTTTGGCAGAAGCCACCGCCGCTCCAGGTGCAATTGCAGGTGAGTGGTGGTTGGACAAACTGGAATACTTTCACCTGACTTGCAAATCAAAGGTATTTTCAAGCCAAGCATTTTTGTCAAGGCATGTTAGGTGCAAGTGTTCGTTTGTCTTATCGCTATTTATTACATTTTTTCTCTTCAAAAATCTTTATTTCGTACAAATGGAATATTTGCATATTATTATTAGCATTTCGCTACTCAATTTTCTTAAGAAATATTTTGAAAACACCGTTCTTATCTGTTTTAAGCAATACCGGTTGGTACTCAAAATAATCTAAAAATATTTTAAAACGTCCGTACTCTGACAACAAACAAATAATAATGTATTAATAAGTGTGAAATATATCGACTGGAAAAATCCGAAAGACTAATTGTGACTTACGCAATCTGCAATTGCTCAGTTGGCATTTAACACAGCCATGAGTAATGGTAACAAGTGCTTTTAATTCGTTTTGCCAACAGTTACGACTTCCATTACCGGTATACTTTTAAATTAACCGCCGCACATATCGATTTTCGCTTATCGATAGCTGGCAGAGTTGTCAGATTGCGAACGAATAAGATAAAAAAAGTTATGTTTTATTGTGCTGCCTGTATAACATTTGTATTTGGTTTTTCTTTTCCACCCTTTTTCCAACAGATTCCATGGAACCGGCGACAATCAGTAGCACTAGTCAAAAGAGAAACGTGATCGGTTCAGAGGAAAAGTCTGAGAAATCTTCTATTTCCAATACCAATTGCGATTACACTGGAGGTCATCACTCTGTTGTAGCCGTCTCTCTTTCGCCCGAAGCGGCAGCAACAACAAATGTAACAGTAACACCAATACCAAAGCAGCGATCGAGTTTACTCAACACAAGAAGTCAGGAGAGGGAGATGGCGCGATATATTCTAACCGAGAGCGGAGAGCGTGATGGAGAGCCAGAAAGCAGCGAACAGCCGGCTGGTGTGGTGAGTAGCAGCCGGTGCGGTGAAGTTGAAACTGGCACAATTGGATCGCCGTCGTCGTCAGCAAATCAAAATCCAAACCCAAATCATTTAAAAACGAAATGCAAACCGGGACAGAGCGTTGCTGAGGGCAAGCCTGCAGCGAAAGAGACCATCGTCGATAACAGCAAAAGCTGCAGCAAAACCAAGAGTATTTCCGATAAATTGCAGAGCAACAAGTTTATAATTCAACAGCAACAACAACAACAGCAGCAGCAGCAACAACAACAGCAACTGTCGCCCACAAAGGTAACGGTAAAACCGACAATGGTCGCCATGCAAGAGATGAAGAAGACAACCAAACAAAATGGCCAGCACCGACATCTAGCGGGCAAAATTGGCAGCGTAGCAGGAGGCGATGTGGATCCACAACATCCACCGACGAATCCCATACCAGATTCATTGGACACCGGTGAGGATCTGAGCTACGGACCCGGAATTGTGTCCAAGCTGCGATGCCGCTACTTGAGCTTGGCCCTCCGCGAGTCCCGCCAGCAGAGCAGCAAACAACGCCTACAACGCTCCACAAGTCTGAACACCCTGCTCGACCGCGACGACGACGAGGTAGAAGTGGAGGAGACCGAGGTGGCCACCAGCCAGGTGCGTGCCAAATCCACACCCCCACCGATATTGGGGGCAAAACCGACACTGAAACCCAGCAGCCAGCTGCAGCGTCCCGTCAGTCTGGGCGCCAATGGAGCTGGCTCAGCTGTTAACCCGCCCTCGAACTCGGATCAAGGCCAACCGGGCGTCGTTGCCAATGGAGGCGCAGGATCTGGTCAACGATCGCGACACTTCAAGCGCGGCAACGAGGTGATGAAGCGGGCACGTTCCGTTGAGGCTCTGCTCTGCGAGAAATCGCCTTGGAACAGCCAGAGAATCAGCACTGCCGGCGCAGCAGCAGCAGCAGCGCCTTCACCACCTGCTCCCAAGGCCACAGCCGCTGCTCCCTCACCTGTTACCTCGCCCACCTGCGTCACCATCGAGGACAAGATCCACAATGCCCGCGAGCGGCTGCACAGCGGCACGGATACGGCGCCACCCAAGCGCCTGACCTCCATCATAGATGACACCGAACGGCCGCCACCGGATCTGGTCAAGCAGACGCTCAAGATGTTTGAGGCGAGTGCCAATCGACGTCCGCGCGCCGCTCATCGTTCCAATGGCGTGGGCGGAGTGGCCAGCAAAGTGGCCAACTACAAATCGATCATTAAGGATCAGAAGCAACCATCATCAGCAGCGGCGACGCCTCCGCCGTCCGGCATAGGCTTTGCCTCCTCCACGCCGCTAAGGCATGTCCATCCGGATATTATACCCCGTCAGGTGGATTCGCCCGTATCAGCGTTGAGTGTGATGATGCGGCGCATGGAGCTGCAGGAGCCCGAGACGCCGGAAAGGGAGACACGGGACGCGGAGGCCACACCGCAGAGCGAGGCGTCAAGTGAGACTGAGCGAAATGATCGCGATGAAGGCGATGGCGAAGTCGATGACGACAACCACAACAACAACGACGACGATCACGACGACGGCGGCGACGGCGACGACAGCAGCGACAACAATGAGCAACGCGATAAAATGGGCGCGGCGGCGGCAGGCGATAAGCCTAAGCCCCCAACGGAATCGGTAGCGGGAGGCGCCCAACGATCATTCGCTCCCTCGACGGAGAACGCGCATGTAGCCAGCGGGAGTAGCAGCACCAGTGCCAGTGTACGCAAGCTCAGCAACAACAACGACTCCAGCGGACCGGCGGTGACCAAACAGATCGGAGTTATCCGTCCCCTATTCAATAGCCAGGGAGCTGGGAGCACTCCACTAACGAGTCGCGAGATCGAAAAGAATCGCATCAATGAGATGAAGAAGTCGACGGCCACAGAAGCCGGTGGTGCGGTATCCGGGTCTGGATCAGGAACGGGTGCTGGTGCTGGTGCTGGATCAGGAACCTCGCCCACCACTAGTCTCGACAGCGTGATAAACACCAAGGATGCGGCCAGCAGCGAAACGGAGGCCACTGCCTCGCCACTGTGGACACTGCGCAAGCTGAGGAATCAGAGCCAGGCGGCCGGCGGAGGATCGGGCCCCAGCTCCAGCCTGCATTCCACAGAGAACACCTCGATGGTGTTCAACTTTTCCAAGAGCACCAAGGAAGTGCCCGACTACATCGAAAGCGACGTTGTGATTTACAGGCGCAAGCGGGAGCTGCCAAAGGTGAGTCCAAAAGTGGGAAATGGGTACTACTATGGCTACTATGGGTACTAGGGTTCCTTTGGGTTTTTCTTTTTTTCGTTTCACCAAATCTTGCCCGGAAGAGTCATATTCGGGCGTCTTATCGGCGAGCAGCCTTGCGGATTATTCATGCTTAGCAATTACCCCATGCATTATTATTTTCTCCGATAGTAATTTGGTTTCTTTCGTCCGTCCTCAATATCGCTGCTGTTGTTGCTGCTGTTTTGGCTCATTTTGCGTTTCTTTCTCGCGTACTTTTTATTATTATTATTTTTTGTGTCATACGCCAGCCATGCCGTATAAACAAATATGAAACAAAGCACACAGAGAACAGCGATCATGCGCATTTCGAAAGTTCAGCAAGGCAGGCCGAGAACGGAACTGAGGAACTGAGGAACTGCGGAGAATCGGGTGTAAAAGTGACAAAGCGCCACTTGTATACTCTTTCTTTGCTCCGAGGAATATATATCTTGACTTTGCTTTCTGGGAAATTAGTCATGCGCATTGGAACACGTCGTTAATAGCGTCAATTGTGCAAGATGACTGACTAGCTGCTCCCTTGCGACAAGGGATCTTCTCCAGCTGTGCGATCACTGGGCGGCAATGCAAATATTTAGGGCTTAGATCTCCAGTTTAGAACCAGCAGCAGAAGATGCTATAGAGTCCAGTAATGGGACATATGTAAAGCCATTATGGTCCAGTTTCGATGTTTAGACTACTCCAATTAGCATGGAAATTAGCAGAACCACTGGTTTTCAATGACTTCTGATGGGTGTGCGCCCATTTATTATCTGCCGGCAGCCAAATCATGGTGCTGATCAATAAGTATCTTGCCCAGATTACACAGCGCAGTCGGTTAATTAACAATACGGCAATTGGGCATCTGCCACTGGTGCCTTTGCTTTAGGAAGTGGCAAACCCCTAATAGAGATCGAGACTTGCATCACGGCTGCGAATAGTTCGATGTGATCTTCTGCTCGAGTCAATTAAAATTCGCCTTGAATAGCTCGCCGATCGATAGCCCGAAACGTGTGCGACATGAGCAGATGCCCCTCCTATGTGCGATATGCGTATACATAACTCTATATACTTATCTACATATGTGTGCATATATCTGCATATTCTTTCCCAAGTCTGCTTTGTTCCCAGCCAGATGCAAGTCTCATCTTCTGGCAGTCTTCTGCCTTGTGTCTTCTGTCTTCGGTCGCTTCTTTTTCGTTTGGGCTCTTCTGGCTGCACTTTTCGAGATCGGAAGAATGGAAACCAGTTTTGAGGCATGCATGTGGACATGAGAAGATATTTCAGCGCTTCCTGCTGCCAGCAAAAGTCCGAGTCCGAGTCTGTGGAGATATGTGTACACAGTGCCCCTGAGATGTTATGTGTCCGTCTGCCTGTCCGTGGGGAACTTAATTCTGGGGGCACAGCAGCTCCTCGGGATGCCGGTTTTGATGGGATTCCATGCGAGACACGGCTGCTCCTTACAGCTGTTCCTGTTACCTTGCCAGGCAGCTTTCCCATTTTGTGCTGCAAATTGAGCTTTTTCTTGGGACCTAAATATTACATTAAATCTCATCTTATTTATAGTTGATGTGCTATGATTTGATCGCATTTATTCGAATTTGCTAATACTTCAGTACCTATTTGCTGTACTAAAGTTAACATCAAACTGGGAATACAGATCTCCAGCAAATACTGTTCCTCGCAGTTGGGAAAGCGGATGGTGTGGCCCATACTCTATAGCGTCTATAGCTCTCCCTTAGCTTTAGACTTTAGCTTTCGGTGCGGTTGGGTTTTCCTCTTGCCTTCTTCTCGCTGGTAAACCCGTTTGGTTTGTGCTTTGTGCCGTTCTCCGCTCTCTCTCTCTCTCTGTTGCCATGTTTCTCTCCATGCCCACATCCACATCTCCATATCTGCATGGCTCCATGGCTCCATGGCTCCATAGGTCCATGGCTCTCTTCCTACAGCGAACTCAATTTTGTCAATTCTTTTTTGAGGCTCACTTTACTTGCTGTTTGCTTTGCCTTTGCCTTTGCATTGTCTGTTTTATCTCGCCTCGAACTTTATTATCTGCGGCAGTGTATGTATGGCATATATAGCATATGGTGTGCTATATGGCTGGGGGTCGATTTGTGCCGCTAAAATACAACAAAATGGGCCAAGAACAGGGGTTGGGAGGGGGAGCAGCGTGTGACATGGAACGGGACTGGGAACTGAAATTGGAACCGGGACCTGGACCTGGACTTGGCACCGGGAGCTGGACCTCTTGGAACCCCCGCCGTGAGTCACTGATGACCCATAACATGACGCCGATTAAGAATGGCTTTCCATGAATTTCACTTTTCGAACACATGGTGACCTGGAAACCGGACAGATTTTCGGGTGGAAGGGGTGACGCCGATCCTCCTCTGCTTTGTAAATTATCGAGATACAGCCATTTAAATCCAGCAAACAAAAAACTTATGCTAAACGAGTTATACATCAGCGAAAAGAGGAGGGTTGCTGGACATTCTGAAACTTCAGTGGGTAGTTAAAGCGAAGAAGAAGGCGTGTCCACCATAAGTGATAATATCTGAAGTAGCAGGAGAACATTGCAAATTGCTTTAGCAACAGACAAGAGCAATACGACATTTTTAGAGTGGCTTGTTTGCATTTAAGCGCATTTCATTTCCAAACAAACAAAGCGTTTGCCATGCAGGTAATGAATATTTTTATTAGGTGGTATTTCGTTTGAAGTCAACATTTACTGTATGCACACTTTGATTTATTTGTACTGTTGATTTGAAATTGAAACCTTGCAAATGCTAAGAGCCAAGTATTTATTGCCTGTACTAATAGTGTTCCCTCCTTCCTATCCATTTAGCCAAACGAACCTGGCTTCGTGCTGCTGGGCGATCTCTCCGTGGAAACGTCGACGGACACGGACTACGACGACTACTGCTTGTGCCCGCCATCGCCGTGCGATGTGGAGTTCGAGAATGCCAACATTGTGATCGACGGCAAGTCCAGCATACGCCAAAAACCCAAAGAGTCTTCGGTATGTACGAAGGGAGTGGACTGGATTGAACTCCGAACTCCCCATCCATAGACATACAAGTGTAGAAGTCACATACCCCACTCATGAGTGAGTCAGGTGCGGTGTTCTATTTGCCGCCGGAGGGCAGATAGCACTGGTTCTTTTTCCAATTCCAATTCCACTTCCAGTTTGAGTTGTGTGTGTGCAAAGGATAAGATAAGATTACTTGTGCCCCTCGGCAAGGAGGGAATGTGCGAACTGTTTGACCACTCCAATGGGCGCTGGGTGAGGGCGTCGATAAGGGGAATGTGAGGCAAAAACACTTTTGCCTTATATAACATTTATCGGTTGGGTCGGGGTCGCCTGCCTGTCCAGGAACTATTAATCAAACCGCATTAGGTGCGCCTTATTTCGGGATTTGTTTGCCCATTTTGTTTTCGTTGCGGCTGGATCTGTTCGCCTGGCGCTAATTTATTTATTTATTCCTTCACTTACTCCTTTGCTCGGGTGCGTTCCATCAGTGTGACTGATATGGGAATCGCTACTATTGACTTTAGCCTCAGCAGCCACCGGCCGTGCTGTATTTAATCGGAACCAATTCAATCGCATTGTAGTATCGCATCGCATCGCGTTGCGTCCGCCTGCTGGGGTTTGTTCTCCGATAAGGAAGGAGCCCGATTTCTGCAGTCATTGGGGTTGACTCACTGATGTGCCGTCGTGATAAGGCATCCATCGATGAGTAAGTGCCGAGCGGGTTGGGAGTTGCTTTTGGAACAATCTGCTTACAATTAGCCCAATGTCACGGTTAAGTGCCTTTATTGCCAGCTGAAAAATGGCCAAATGCCCGATGCATTATGCATTTGCACCACACTGCCTTTCATTCGTCAATAAGTTGGCTATTTTATTTATTTATAACATAGGCATTGGTCCAATGCTTTCGTCTAACCTTGAATTTTATGGCAAGCAGAGAAACTACTTAGTTTCGGCTGTATATTCGGTGATTTGTGGACCGCTAATGTAAATCCAGCCTTCTGGTTATGTAAATTATACACCAATAGTTGAGCGCAACCAAAAAAAGCACTGAAACACATATCTTAACGTGGTGATCTGCACTTTAAGGCCTACGGTCCATATGTCAGAATGCGATATCCAATTAGTTATCACCAATTTCGATGGCGCCAGTATTGTAGTATACTTTACATTGGCATTATCAGCACTGCCAGTTAGTCATAGATTTTTGCCCATGTAATAAATAGTTTCGTTTAAAGGGAAAGTGGCTAAGTGGCATAATTTCAGTTTAGTATAGTGTGCATTAATTATATGACTACAGCAGTTAGTAACAGCATATATGTACCGAAAATGGCACAATCATTTGTTTGCTACTTATTATTATTCAACCAGTGATTAATTATAACATGAGCTGAGGGACGTGAGGGCTGTGACTGCAGATTCATCCACATTTCTCGATGCCCCATTGCACCCATCGAAGTGAAAGTAATCTCAGAATCGACCAGATCACTGATCAGATTTCTTTCGATTTTCCCACAGTTCCGCGTGCAGTTCAACGACACGCTGACGTCGACGTTTGAATACCCCTCCGAGGCATCGATGACCATCGAGGATCCGCCGTACGCCGATCCGTTTGGCCATGTGAGCAAACACCACCAGATGCTGCTCGCCGAGCAGATGCACCTGTTGCAGCACCAGGAGCAACTGGAGCTGGAGCAGATGCACCAGCTGGGGCTGGCACCGGAGCAGCATCATCACGTCACCGTCGACGAGATCATCGAGCTGCCCACATCGACGGCGGGACATGGACATGGCATCGCACTTGGACACAGGGCGGGGGCGGCGGGGGGCGGCACGATGCTGGGGAATTTACCGTTGGGTAAGTAATATCTGTTCCATCGAGTCCATCCAAGCGTGCATTGTATTATTATTGTTGTTGCTGTACGTTGTACGATGTATGTTGTGTGTTGTTGTATGTGGCATGCAGCAGCGAATGATGATGGAATGGCTTTTTGTCTTTGTCTCTCTGCGCTCTCTCTCTCTCTCTCTCTCTGCGCTCTCTCTCTCTCTATGTCTCTGTCGCTGTCTCTCTCTGTCTGCCTGATTGCCTGCACACTTGCCTCTATCTATCTCTATCTATATCTCTATCCCCATCTCTATCTCTGTCACTTGCCTTGTCCTTAATCTTGATTTACCATATACCAGCTGCGTTCTTGAGTTTTGTTTTTTGTTTACCATCATTAATACCCACTCATCCATCACACATCGTCGCGATCTCTTTGTTTCTTTTTTTTCCGAGTTCAACACTTTCGTTTGCCTTGGCCGGATCGCAAATATCGCAATTAAAAAACACCAAAGACACCTAAATACACTTGCTTAGCAATGAACGTGGAATGGTAGTGCCCACTGGCAGCAGGGAAACATACAATATCAGGTTATCAGGATAACTATCCTCGTGACAACGCTAGTGCTCAACACTTTGGCAATTGATTTACATATCATATCTAAACTCTACGAGCATACTGTTTCAACCAAAGTGTTTCATAGAAATCATAGTTAATCAATGTAAAGTTCTGATACAAAACTGTTTAAAGCTGAAGTATAGGACTAGGAACCCTCTGAAATCGGTGACCTGAAAGCACAAACCCAATGCCTCGCTGAACAACTGAACACTTCGCTCTCGGGTATATAACAACGAAGGTTTCTGCACTTTACAGATGCTGATAGAGCCACAGAGCACCCCGTCTCCGTATCAGTTTCTGAGCCCGCTCCAAACTCCGCACCAGCCTCCGTCTCCGCTTCAGTCTCCGCCTCAGCTTCCGTAACCGTCTCAGAACCCAAATGTTTTAGCGCCAGGAACTCTGGCAACGGCTGCTGGCCGTGGCCGAGGTTCCGTGCGGTCCTTGGTGCTCAGTTTCGCCGGCTGACCAGGCGCATCAGGTGGGTGCAGCCATCAGCTAGCAGCCCTTCCAACGCCCCGTTTACCCCGATCCTCCTGCTCTTCTATACACGCTATTATGTCACAGCTCTCAACGAAACCAGCAAGCTAAACCCAACCAAACGAGATCTCCACCAAATAGCAAACCATCGTGCTCCGGTCTTTTCTGGCTGAAAGCCTTTCAATTTCGCCTCACGCATATTTGCAGATTACCCAAGTTTAGGGAGGGGTATTATCTTGCCACAGTCGCCACAACAGCAGCCACCGCAGCAGCAGCAGCAGCCAGAACCTGCAATAGCCACATCAGCAACAGCAACGCTGGCAGCAGTGGCAGGATCACCACTGGCAATGCCAACAGAAGTGGCAGTCGAACCACCACTACCAGCCACAGTCGCCAAGCGCCCCCAGCCCCCGGCGAAGCCACCAGCACAGCAGCAGCAGCAGCAAGCGTCGCGTAGGGCCAGGCCATCGGTGCTGCTGAAGCCGCAGTACGCCTGCTTCCTGCAGCACGACGATAGTGCGCCCAAATCCCAGCCAGCTGCTGCTGGACGACCGCGCAAGGCAGCCTCGTTTTCATTGGGCAAGCAACGCCAGTCGAGGGAGAAGCAGCAGGAGCAGCAGGGGCAGCAGTCGCCTCATCATCATCATTACCAGCCACAGCAGCAGCAGAGTAAATATGAACGAAGCGAGTGCAGCAGGAGTGGGGGCAGTGGCGAGAGTCCAGCTCCAGATCTCCAGCAGCGACGTCGTCGGCCTAGTCTGCCGTCGTCGCTGGCTTTGTCCAATGCCAGCTCGGCCCTGCTCCAGGCACGCATTCCAGGCACCACGCTCTACTATGTCTGATGGCCACCCGATATGCATAGCACTAGTCTCCACACTTCAAACTCCAGATAACCAGATATCCAGATATCCAGATATCCAGATAACCAGATAACCAGAACTCCAACTCCGAACCGATCTGAAACCGCCAGCGAAACGTAGGCATTGCCCAAGCTTTACTATATGTTTACAACTAGGCTAAAGAACACCCATCACCCCTTGGATACCTCTTGGTGACCCCGTTCCGCTCCCAAAAAAACAAAAAAATTGGTTTGAAGGCCGCTAAACTGTAAAGTGTAACCCTGTGCATATCCGACTCACTCCAAAACAAATAACTCAATGCGGAAACCAGGAACACCAAACCCGAACACACGAATCACAATACACACAAGAAAACACTGGGGCAACCGGACACTCGAAACACACGTTTAATCGATTCATAGATGCCCAGATGCTTCCCAATGCTTCCCGATGCACTGACGCCGTTTATGCGATGCTGCGGATAACAATCAAACGCAATTCGCGAATTAGCGAGGGAAGAGTACGCAAAGGATGGATTTTCAAACTAACTTTAATGAAGGAAAATGCTGGTCTCCCCATATTCCACTAAAACCAAACCAAACGTTCACATGACTGCTGCTTGATAATGCTCTGCTCCCCGTCTCCAATCATTATCCACCACCTTATGTATAAGCTGCTCCATAGTGTATAGTGACCATCAAATGGCTCTCCACCTAGTAAATTGTATGCCAAGCTCATCTTAAGTTGAAGATGATTGTAGAAAAGTTGTCAGGATATCTATAAATGCTGTCAATGCTTAAAATTAGCGAATTAAGCCAACTATTCAGCTGGAGATCGAGAAGACTGTTGAAATACTTGATGGCATACTTGGGGTGTAATAATAGAGATTTCATTAGGCTAAAAGTTAGGCCGCCAGTTGCAAGGAACCTCATGTAGTGACTAAGTACGACTTTTGTCGGTGTAAACCAAGCAAAAACGAATCATAGAACACTAGTTAGTGACTATTTTCATTTGAGTTACGTATTAAGTATACATATTTGTGCACCCGTGTGAGTTGGCGTTAGTTATGTGTTATGTGCTTATGTATGTTTGCTTTGTTTGGCTCAGTTCGGTTTGGTATGCAGTTGTGGGGCATGTATTGAATTGCAATTTGCGATTTGAAATTGTAGCCATGTAGTTACGCTAACCTACCTTCTAGCCCCCGGTGTTGCCCGCCACCCGAATGGTTTTCATTTCAACAACAACCTTTTGTTAAAGTCACCGCTGTCGCTTTGTTTTGTTTGCTATTTGTTTACTTCTATTTCTATTTTTTGTTCATACTAATTTCTTTTTGCAGATATTATTTAAATGTAACAGAATACATAAGCAAAGCGTTGAAATAATATCTATTGTATACCAAAACCAAAAATATCCATGATAACAAACAAGCAAAGGCAATTAAACCGATCCGTAAACTGAATAACCGATTAATAACTGCAGACGCTCAACCCGAACCACAATAAATAACTATCAAGTAACAAATATAACCACTTAATGAAATGCAAAATGCAAAATGCAAAAGCCAATCCAAATAACCCAATAACCGATTCAAGTGTGTCTAAACATGTGTTTAGACATGATATGTAGACAATCTATAAATATGTTCTATTTAAGGGCTGCAATAAACATGTCACGGGACAGCATAAGTGGCAACTACAGATAAGTACGGTTGCAGTGGTCTATTGCCGAAGTGTCAAGAGATATGATCACGCGGGAGGTGACTAGCGCGGTCATAGGCTTCAAACATAGATTTGAGATAAACCTCAGCTGCATTGACCAACGCAGACTGCAGCGTCTTACAAGCGCTGCATTATATAATTAGATGATAAGAACCTATGTAAGAATGAATAAAAGGCGATGCCCTCGCAGTAGCGAGTCAGTTAGATTCAAACACCCGAATTGAACTCATTAAGTGTACGCATTAGTTTATAGTGTGAACATTTTGGTCCTTCGAGCCGGATTCGACTCTGCAGTTTCCCCCTATATGGTAAGGGATTCAGAGAAAGGCCAGCTCCTTTAAGCATTGCTAAGTTAATCTTGCAGCTAAAGGTAGCAAAAATAATTGACTCTTGTTTCCCCCTACCAAAGGTAAGGAACAGAGATAAACATAAAAAGCAAAAAGATACAAAAGAATCTTTTATGTTTTTAAATAAAACAAGCACCTTATAGTCTATAGCTAAAGGTTGCTTTGTGTACCATTATAAATTGTGGTAAGGCGTGTTGAGGCCGTACATCAGCAATTCTGAATTTAACATTTTGGTCCTTCGAGAAATTCTGTTGTTTTCCCCCACCAGTGGTAAGAAACACAGAAGAAAAAAAAAAAACCAGCGCTTCAAAGTAAAAAGAGCAAGGTTATTCGAGTGATTCTGTTGTTTCCCCCACCAGTGGTAAGAAACACAGAATAAAAGACCACGCCTTAAAGTACTAGGACTATAAGGTGAAACATTGTGTTCTTGCTTTTCCTTGGCTGATCAATCAGCTGTGAGTCGAGGCACAGCTAGGTCAACTGGGCGACCAATCAAAAAATCCTCCAACGGATCACGCCAAAGAATATAAGCAGAAAGCACAAAAAAGTCACAGTGATTGTTTTCCCAACATGTTGTCGGAAAGATCTGTGAAATTGATGCAAGACCAAGGAGAGCTGCAGAACAAAATACTGCAAGCAATCAAGGAAAAGGCATCTATACCAGCAATAGAAGCATTGGTAGTTCGATTTACTACTAACAACAATGCGCTGGTAAAATTGGGAGTTGGCGATCATCAATATTTTAATGATAAAATATTTATTAAAACTATGGATGCTGTCAAGGCCTACAAGGAGTCGCAATTAAAGGTAGAAACACTTGAAGAAATAAATATACCAAGTGGATCAAAATTATCTGATAGCGCATCAGCTCGGAGCTCCAGTCCAGTTGATAATCTGGTTCAACTGGTGGATAGAAGAGCGGACAGGGTGAGGCAACAGATGAGCCTAATTTACGAAACCCTGGATAGTTCAAGTGAGATTGAACTAGTCAAGCAGCTGGCAATGATGAAAAGTCATTGGTCCAACGTGACGGACACACTGAAACTGCTTGAAAACAAGTATGACAGAACTGTCTTTGATCAAGATGAGGCAGACATTCTGCAATCTGAAGTTGCCGCACTAGAAATGGTACTTCAAATGAAGTTGGAACAGTTCAAAAGTTCCAACTGCGACGTGCCAGAACTCCCAAAAGTGGACCTTCCAACGTTCAATGGAAATGCGAAGGAATGGCCAACATTTTTCGAGCTGTTCTCTGAACTAATAGACAGCAGGAAAGATCTCAGCAACACAAGGAAGCTGGGATATTTAAGAGCCTGCTTAAAAGGAGAAGCTCAAATGGTGGTTAGCCATTTGATAACGGGATCAGCGGCTAGCTATACAGCAGCGTGGGAGCTTATCTGCAAACGCTATGAGAATAGCAGAAAAATATTCTCCCAACACTTCAACAAATTAATGGAATTGGAGTGCTTGCTGCCCCACGATGAGAAAAATTTAGGGAAGTTTTTGGATACTGCAACCGAGAGCATATTCATCATAAAGCAAAAAGGAAAAATAGGAAGCTCTGCTGACGTAATTTTAGCAGAAATTCTGCTGCGGAAATTTTCGCCAGAAGCCTTGCAGCTGTATGAACAGCATGTAAAAAAGGCAAGAGATATACAGTCCTTACAAGACGTACTGGAGTTTATTGAGCAACAATACAACTCAGTAAACGCCATTACCAAAAATACCGCTCAGCTTGCTACAAGAAAAGTGCAAGTTAGATCATGTGCCTTTTGCTCTAAGGATGGCCACGATATGATAAAGTGTCTCAAATTCAGAGCACAATCAATCGAAAAAAGAAAAGAATTCGTTCAAAAGAACAACATGTGCTTTAGATGCTTTGGAAAGCATAATGCTATCGACTGCAGAAAGGAAATTACATGCAATCGATGCTCCAAAAGACACAACAGCCTTCTGCATGAAGACACAAAACGCAGTATCAACAGCAATAGCCTTAAGCAAGGCCAAGACACACTATTGGCTACAGCTGTTGTTTTAGTGAAAAACAAAGCTGGAGGTTACAATGAGTTGAGGGCGCTTATTGACGGTGGATCCCAGAAGACGCTGATTTCAGAGGAAGCAGCACAAATATTAAGGATTCCCAGAGTAAGGAGTACTATAGAGGTCGAAGGTATCTCCCAGACTACTCAATTCTCAAAAAATAGTGTCCACCTGACGATCAAACCAAAAATTCCAAGCAGCTTCAAAGCATCAACGGAAGCATTGGTTTTACCAACACTCCATAGAGCCCTTCCCAGCAAAAAGTTTGATATTGATATCAGCAAAGAGTGGAAGGGCTACAGGCTAGCAGATCCACGATTCAACGAGCCAAGCAGAATTGACATAGTGATAGGTGTGGATCTATTTCCCCTGATTATGATGGAGAAAATTAAAACCGTAAATGGAATCTTGGGACAAAAAACCAAATTTGGATGGATTCTGTCCGGAAATATAACTCGAGCAGCAAAGCAAAAAATTACAAGTGCCACTACATCAATAAATCAAAAGGACCTGAAACGCTTTTGGGAATTGGATAGATGGAAGCTGATTCAACGCATCAAAGGTGATTTTTGGAAGAAATGGAAAGAGGAGTATCTGGTGTCATTGCAAAAGCGAACCAAATGGCGCCAAGAAAAGCCAAATCTGAAGGAGGGACAGCGGGTTCTTATAAAACATGAGAACACTCACCCTGCAAGATGGCCAATGGGAAGAATCATTAGTACGACTAAAGGACAAGATGATAAAGTCCGGGTAGTCACGGTTAAAACAAGCGATGGGGAAGTAAAAAGATCGCTAAACAAGATCTGTCAACTTCCTGTTAGCGAAGCAAAACCAGCTGGAGCTGGAACGCATAAATGATAGACGACTACTGGCCGTACATTTTTCCCCCCCGGAGAATGTCTAAACATGTGTTTAGACATGATATGTAGACAATCTATAAATATGTTCTATTTAAGGGCTGCAATAAACATGTCACGGGACAGCATAAGTGGCAACTACAGATAAGTACGGTTGCAGTGGTCTATTGCCGAAGTGTCAAGAGATATGATCACGCGGGAGGTGACTAGCGCGGTCATAGGCTTCAAACATAGATTTGAGATAAACCTCAGCTGCATTGACCAACGCAGACTGCAGCGTCTTACAAGCGCTGCATTATATAATTAGATGATAAGAACCTATGTAAGAATGAATAAAAGGCGATGCCCTCGCAGTAGCGAGTCAGTTAGATTCAAACACCCGAATTGAACTCATTAAGTGTACGCATTAGTTTATAGTGTGAACAAAGTGCGAGAACAGAAATGCCACACCTCTAACCCAGTGCACTTGCTCTGTCTGCTCCGCTGGGCAATCAAACTAATCGCCAATTCATATTACTATTAAGGTAACTAACCCAGTTTAGAACAGACACTCAAACACTCACACTCAAACACCACTTGGCACATCCTCAACTTCCATCGCTCATCTCCACCTCCATTTCTCCATCTCCGGGTCATGTTTCGTTTTCATTTGCTTGAAAAGATCCGGGCGAGATCCTCCTTTATCCACCACACCATCGTCACGCCACCACCCCACCTTGATTATATATATATATGCATATATATTCTCAAATATATTTCCCAACTCGGTGCCACCTTATTTACCACTGTACTAACCCCAAGTCCCAACGAGGATTTAAAACCCACTTGAAATTAGGAAATACAATCAACTAATCTCGATCTACGCATAATTGCAGGCTCCACGGCTCTGGGCTTCTACACGCCCATGAAGGGCACGGCGATGGACAACCTCTTCCAGCTGGGTGTCACCCGGTACGCCCTGCCCGAGAGCAGCAGCAGTGGGAGCAGCAATGGCAGCCACAGCCCAGGCAGCAACGGGAGCAGTCCAGCCGGAGCTGCTGGCAGCCGGTTGATGTTCAATGGGAATGGCAGCATTATGGGCATCGGCGAGGGACTGATCAAGGAGGGCGACTTGCCGGCGGCGGCGGCGGCGGAAGCAGGAGCTGGAGCAGGTGCCTCCAAAAAGGGCTCAGCTGTGGACGAGGATGATTACCATCTGACGGCAACGCCAGGCGCCGAAGTTGTTTACAGCGAGGGTACACAGAAGACGGATTTGCTATATTAAGTCCTCCTGCCAGCCAAAAAAACCGGAGCGTGTTGCTCATTTTCTATCGGTTTCCTCCCAAAACTCCAACGCTTCCGAGCATAATACCCTGCCCCATCCCCACCCCCCACCATGCCCCTAATTGAAAAGCGTGCGCTTAGGTGAAATATCAATTTCGGTTAGAAACAAAAAAAGTAAAAAACAGTAATGAAAGAAAGAAAAAAATAACAAGGCAACGTAAACCAAGTATGGCAAGAAATCCATCAAGATACGTATATAAATAGATATTATTTGTAAGTTTGTAGGCCTAGAGATCCGATGTGTATGTGTACAACAGCAAGCGTGTGTGTCTGTCTTCTTTATATATATATATATATATGTTTTTTTTTTCGATAAATTAATAATTATATTATTGTAATGTATCTACATACGGCACTGAATGAACAACTTTGCTGCTGCAATTGTATTTGTATTGTGTATTCCATTTACGGCATTTTGATAGTAAATATACAACAACAAGAAATCAACGTATTTCCGACTGCAACCCGATGGTTACTGAAATCTTAATCTACGAAGTACGCAACGAGCGATCAGGTCCAGGTCCACCTGAGTATTAACTTAAAGGATCTTTACGATCCGATCTTGTGACCCATCATCATCCCTTTCCGCGACCCTTCCAAAACGAAAATGAATATTCTAAGCTCCGCTTACCCATTCGGAAGAAAGCAAAGGAAAATGTAACATTTGCCTCATAATTATTATATACATTAGCGCTTATTGAATATTTTTTACAATTGTATTCCGTAAATAAATATAATATACATCAACATCAATAACATTTATTTTCAAGAGTTATTGAATAATTGCTTAAAATCTATCAATTCGTCGATTGTATATGTGCAAGAATATTTGGCTAAGAATATTCAATTGTCTTTGAAATTTGTAAGTTGATTTTTCTAACCGCCCAACGCGGTGTGTGTCCTTACTAACCACAGGAGGTTGTCTTTGCTAGCAAGGGTTGGTGTCTTTGCTAAACACACCATCCCTGGGTAGGCACGAGTCTTTGCTAACGATGAATAATCGATATGCCTCGATAAGTTATCGATGTCGTTTAGCTTCGTGAATACTCGATAGTATCGTGCGGATATCGAGGCTAGGTCACCTCTAGTTTTGTGATTGTGTCAAAAATACAGGGTTTGATTGTTGCATTTGCAATTTAATCCGATAAATATATATTTGGCGTGGAGTTATGCACGAGACGTCGTTGCCAGCGATTAGAGAGCCGAGCGGCCACACGTGTATGTGTTTCACTGGCGGTGCGTGTGCCAACTCCGCCAAAAAGCGTACTACTTTTAACCTTAGTTGACATTGAAATGTACCCGCTTAGTTGGATGTCCACGATGGTGCGTGTGTGTGTGCGCATATGTGTGCTGTGCGGCGTCTGTGTGCGCCAGTGTGTGTGATTGCAAAGCAGGATGGGAGAAACGAGAGCAGAGCAAAAACAAAAACAGAAGGAGCCTGCTGCACATAGCCTGTGTGTGTGTGTGTGTGTGTGTGTGCATGCGTGCAAGCAAAACAACTGCAAGAAATCAGCAAGAGCAGTAAAATGAAGAGAAGCAGTATCAGTGATAAGGAGGCTAGACAACAACAAGAGCAACGATAATGCACCCTTTTGAAATGCAAACAAAACAAAGCGTTGTAGTTGTGTAATCATTCACCACACACACTCACACACACTTGTGTAATAATAAATTTTAATTCTATTATTTTTGATTTAATTTTTGCCTGTTATTCAAATCGATCTGTGTTTTTGCAGTTGGCATTCGTTATTAATTAAATCAGTCGCCAACAGCTGAGCGAGAGAGCAATAGAGAGCGACAGGAGAGGATCCACCTCCAATCGAATCCGGGAATCGAAAATCGGAGCAGCGCAGTCGGCAGCGCAGTTAGCAGAGGCTTGGTAATTAAAAGGAAAGACCGAACTGAACTGAACTGAACTAAACTGAAACGAAACGAAACGAAGTGACAAGAAACGAAAAGAACAGAACGAAAGTCGGCAGAGTCGGAAAGTCGGCAAGTCTGATTGTCGGCAAAGGCCCAAAGTCGCAAAGTCGGAGAGTCGCAGTCTCAGTCGCAGTCGCCGAGACAGAGATTCCACTCGTGTCGCACGTCCGTTCGTTTCCACATTGTCGTTATAAAAATAGCAACGCCTTAAACGATCGCATCAACCTCATCAACAGAACACCACCAGAAATCACCGCCTCCTCCTCAGCCTCCTCCGCCGCTATCGCCATCGCCATCGCTACCGCATCCCATCACCATCATCTTCATTAGCAGGCAGCCCGACAGAGTAACTAACTGATCTTGATTGCGATCATGATCACTGTCACCATCATGTAATCCTTCACTTACCAATTGCTTCCCCCAATTGCGAACAAAACAGATTGCAACCTGCCGATTCGGCAGCCGGCAAGATTTCACTAGATCTAATGGCCAAGGACGAGGAGGATGACCTGCTGCCCGACAAGGATGCGGCCAAGGGCTTCTATGCCAAATACGAGCCTAAGGAGATTCTGGGCAGGTGAGAATCAAAAGACATTTGGCGGAACCTTAAGCCCCTTATCAAATGCTTGAAAATTGCATAGAAGTATCAAATATGTTCCTTTCTATTTACACTTAAAATCAAATTAAATTCTTGGCTTACTTATTTCTGCCACTTAAAGCCCTTTAGATCATAGAAATAGATATTGATACTCGTAGCCTCTGACTGCTAAGTCTGCCCTAATGCACAGTTTGGCTAAATGGTCCCAAGTGAGTCAACCTCATCAACTTTACACTCTTCGCATGGAGCAATGGCATGGGCTGCATTTCAAGCGGCGCCTGTCTGCCGGACACTTATCCGCCCACTCATGCCTCGACGAAGATCACAATTTGCTAAGCAAATAGCAGAGGCTAAGCGAAAACAAGGGCTAATTACATATTACAATTTAGTGATTAGAGATTAGATAAATTCCCGATCATGGCAATGTCAAGTGCAGCGAAGCAGAGTTCTTTATCTACATCAAATGTTTGTGTTACAGGGGCATCAGTTCGACCGTGAGGCGATGCATCGAAAAGGAGACGGGCAAGGAGTTCGCCGCCAAGATCATCGACCTGGGCGCCACCACAGAGGCGGGCGAAACGAATCCATATCACATGCTGGAGGCAACCAGACAAGAAATCTCAATACTGCGCCAGGTCATGGGGCATCCCTACATAAGTTAGTCTCACACAGCACTCACATGTACACCCTAACACCTCTAATAATCTACACTGTCGTGCCATCTACAGTTGATCTGCAGGATGTGTTTGAGTCAGATGCATTTGTTTTCCTCGTGTTCGAGCTGTGTCCCAAAGGCGAGCTCTTTGACTATCTGACCTCGGTGGTGACGCTCTCCGAAAAGAAGACGCGCACCATTATGCGACAGATCTTCGAGGGCGTCGAGTACATACACGCCAAGAACATTGTCCATCGGGATCTGAAGCCCGAGAACATCTTGCTGGACGAGAACCACAACGTAAAGATCACGGACTTTGGCTTCGCCAGGCAGTTGCAAGAGGGCGAGAAACTTACAGGTAACTATTGCCCAGTTTCCTTCTTTATTTCCTAAGCTAACTACGTACTTTAACCCATCAGATTTGTGCGGAACGCCGGGATATTTGGCGCCCGAAACGCTCAAGTGCAACATGTTCGAAGGTTCCCCCGGCTATTCGCAGGAAGTGGACATGTAAGAACGAATAAACTAACCTTTATTACTACACTACATCTCCTTTGGCTCACGTAATTCAAAGACGTAATTTAAGCACAAGAAGTATAATGTTTATTGTAATGCGAATTGTCTGCTCGAATTACAAACTGCTTATGTTAATGGCTAGTGTTATTATTAATCTTTTTTTGCTTACATAGATATAAAAAAAGGTCTAAGCGCGCCCATCGATATTAGACCCGTTTTCCTCTTTTTTTTAGATGCAAATTTACTGATAATTTTTATACGTTGCTTTTACTAGTGTTTTTCGCGTCAGGCGATTTGTTTTGATCTTTAGGTGTGCATTTTAATGTATGAGTCACAAGCAGAAAGGCATAATAATCTGAAATCTGAGTAGTTCCGATACTGACGTCTATTTTTTCTCGGTTCAGCAAAACGTAGGGCCTTTTGTATTTTTGGTTTCTTTAACATTTCCCACTGGTGTCTACATTACTTGGTTTCAGCAGAAATTTTTAATAGGAGAAATTGAAACCTTTTACCCATTTCTTTTTCGATTTCTTTTGTTGTTTGCAGATGGGCTTGTGGCGTGATTATGTTCACGCTGCTCGTCGGTTGTCCACCTTTCTGGCACCGCAAGCAGATGGTCATGCTGCGGAATATCATGGAGGGCAAGTACAGCTTCACCTCGCCGGAGTGGGCTGATATTTCAGGTTGGTCCAATGATACATGACACATGACACTTGCCAAACGAATGCTTATTTGCTCGATTGATTGCAGAGGATCCCAAGGATCTGATACGCAAATGTCTAGTCGTTGATCCTGCGCAACGTATCACCGTCAAGGAAGTATTAAGACATCCATTCTTCAACCAAATGGTAAGTGCCGGAATTGTTGGCAGCCGCCGGGCTCCACTTACCACCACCACCACCACCACTACAACCACCTGTACAAGAGGAAAATCAGTCAAATTAGTTCAATTAGTCGCCCAGAATGAGGTCCGCCTTCGAGTCGCCTTTTGTGTTCGGGCAGCAGTCTATAGTTTTCGGGTTCCTGTTCTTGTACATAGATGCTAGATCTCTAGTTGATGGGCTTAACCTGTGGAGGGGATCTTCTACACAACCAACCCACCCAACCAACACCTGGCCCTGCAAATGTTTCTAAACACAATGTACACCTAAGAACACACACTCTGATGGAAAGAACACACCTGTGACTCACAAACCACTCACAACAGCCTATTAACTGCTTCTTCTTACTGTTACCTCCTAAAATTACGATTATGATTTCTAATTCGGTTAGGGTAGCAGCCTAACCCCCCGTAGCTTAGTCCAATTGTCAGATATATGGCCTGACAGGATCTGTCATTAGTTTGGATCCCCCCAAAAGAAACCCTTCGGGCCCTCTTAAGCAGCACCTCGCGTTTTGTTAACTTTTTATTTTTATGATTACTACTTATTATACCAAACATTTTCTTTCTTCTTTTCCTTACATATAAACTATATATCAAATCGAATCCAATTAATTTTAAACGAACCCAAACGAACGATAACGAACACACACTACCATCGATAGCTGTTCGAGCAAAACATTGATGGCCTCAAGCGCAGCCTGTCGACCAAGTCCCGACGAATGAGTCGCATCACTGAGATCGCACTGGTAACGAACCGTTCCCGGACTAACCCAAGCTCTCTCTTAATCTCTCTGTGCTGTGTGTATCCGTGTCCATTTAATATCGGAGCCGTAATCGTAATCGCTGTAATAACGATGAACTCCCGATAATCCCGATAATCAAACAATCGGGCCGGCAGACCCAACTCATGACCATATGCAACCCTGCCGGCCCAGCATTCGTGTCTTTGTTCCGTTTGCATTCTGTTTTGTTTCGTTCTGTGCCGATCTAATATAACCCAGCTAAACTGTACATCATAGTGCATATCAATTGTATACTATACATATTTATTTATTTAAAAGCCGTTCAGGTCATCTGTGCCAAGCATAATAACTTTTATTCGACAATAGCCAGCGAAATACGAAACGAAAACTAAAACGTATCTGCTTCGTTTTTGTTTGCATCTGATTTGATTTGATTTGCTTGTCTACTGATCGATGCCCCACGATGATAACAAAAATACAAAAAATATACCCCCTCCTCTAATTCCATTCCTTGTTGTACTCGATGTTTCTGTCGATTTTGTGTGTTTTTTGTACAAATCCAGCGATTGCCTCGATAACTAAAAACGATAACCTACACGTTTGCAGCTCAGCGCTCGCCATTTGAATCATAATCTGTTAAGTAAATAACTGTGTCTGCATGCCAACCAACCAACGAAAAAAAAAAACAAAAAATCCTGCAGGGTTTCCCTTATCCCAACCTCCAAAGAAAACCCCCAATCCCGATTTCGAGTCACTGCATGCAAGCGTGCATTAACCACTAGTCAGCGAGAAGAAGGAGAAAAAGGCAGTGAGATTTGAGTATAGTACCCCCATACCTTGCAAAATGCACATAGTAAAATAATAGGATAGACATAAATTCAAGGTATCGGGCGTACTTTAGATGCAATAGGCAATCAAGGTGCATATAAGTATGAAAACGAAGCTATCTTACTCCACTAGGCTGTAATTAGTTCCACTATGTAGACCGTAAGTTGAAACAGTTTAGGTATTATATTCATATACGTATAAGAACGCCCTGATTCGCCCATTTTTGATTTAACCCCCATGACTGATATACCAATTTTAATTTCTTCCGCGCCCACTCTGCTGCTGCCTCTGACCCTCCTGCCCACCAATCTCATCCTTCCTCCGCCTCCGCCTTCGCCTCCGTTTTTTGTTTGTTAATCGCGATGTTGACGGGATCAGGTGTTAATGGGTGACCGCCGACATCCGGCCCCGCCCATCGCGGCATATACGGCCCACTCGAGCAGCAGGTACCTGCTCAATAACGAGGCGTCATCGTACCGCTTTGGGCAGCTGAACAGTGGCAGTGGCAGTGGCGCCGGCGCCTCCAATTACCTGTACTGTGCGCCACAGAGCTCCTACTCGTCGAATCGAATGCGCGACGGGCCGCTGGACGATGCAGCTGCCAGTGCATCCGCCCCCTGCCATGCCATGTCATCCACCGCCTCCACCTCCTACGCCATCAGCACCAACGCCACCGCCACCACGAACTCGGCCCTGGCATCCGCCTCCTCCCACAAAACCCTGACGGCGACGGTCTACTATCAGCAGCAGCCGCAGCAGCATCAGACGCAGCAGCAGCAGTACCAGCAGCAACCGACGACGCAACTGCCGCTGCAGTTGCAGTTGCACCACCCACAATTGCAGCCCGGTGGCGATGGCAAGCAATCGGTGTATGCACCTCCTACAGTGCAGGCAGGTTTTCCATTCTTACTCTTTGATCTTGCTTACCCATCACGATGGCCCAACGGGCGATGGCAGGAATCGCTAGGGAAACGTTAAATTGCATACCACAGACCTGGACGAGTGTGCCCCACAATTCCATTAGAGTTTCCTGAGATTATGCAGCCAGTGATAATTGAAATTTTGGCTGTGATCCTAAATAATTTTAAAATTGCATTTTCTTTACACATCTTTCAAATGTGCCATTTGTATACATAAATTTCCCTTATTTTTGCATTTAAATGAGAACTTGTGTTCATTTCTGTTCAAACATATCTATTTATTATAAATTTCAAAATATTTCAATAATAATTGAATCACCTTTGGATCACTATACATAAATATTACTATATCAGTCAGTTTCGTATGGAATTTTTCGTTTTTGCTAACGTTCTTCGACTGCCGCGTGGGCTATACCTAATATTTAGTTGCCACACGTACTATTACCGATTAATTTCTAGTGCTTTTAGTTGATTCGAATCAGTCCACTCCACTCCATAAATCATCAGAGACAAGCTGCACTCGATTCACCTCCAATGTATCATCCACCCAGTATTTCGTTCCATTCCACTCCTCTCGCTCCCACTCACCCACACGCGCAGCATACCGTTCGGCTGTCTCTTTCTAAATGATGTTCGATCCCTCGATGGATCGTAATATCGAGCGATCGATCAGCCGCTGCTTTCCACTTAAACCCAGCCATCCTTCCACTATTTAGCGTAAGACTTTGAAAGTACTCGTACTATACTGCATTATACTATTACTATTATTGTATTCTCTTATAGCTGACACTTAGTCATATAGCGAGTAAACACTATGTTTGTATTATATGCACCTTTCTCTAGTACATATCTCTCGGGTGAACTGGATGATATTTACAAGAACTGTATGTAGTAGTTGACTTGCTTCCGCCGTTTACACTTTACTATACCTCTGTGTAGCCATAGCCTATAGTAAATAGTTATAGTATATAGATCGTATATAGATCACTAATCCTCTCGGTGTCTCTCATTTGTCTCGGTGTCTTGTGGAGGAAGTCAGGATAGTAAGATAAGCTAACTAGCATGTTAGACTTAATAATGATTAATCCCACACCCCCATTGTGTATGTGTGTACACGCAAAGATAAAACTATAGTGCTTCTCGATCGTAACAAAGTTATTAACCATTGCTGCTAAACTTCTAATGAACTATATCAACTGTAAGGTTTTGCTTTATTTGGCTAATATGCGGATTTAATATTCTTTTGTGTGCATATACTGCCCATCTATAATCGTATCAATTATGAAATAACGCCAAAATCGATTCACTGACAGATTATTTTGTTTAATTTCTCCTCTGTTGATGATGTTAAACACGTTTTGTTTGTGTGTCATGTTCTCTATATTGTCAGAGTCTCAACGCCCTTATAAGATGTGTGTCTATAAGTCGGTGTTGTGGAGACTCCCTTGTGAGTAAACCAAGTCAAACTGAGATAGATTTGCATATAGTATTTTATCCATACAACCACGCCCACTCCGCATACCTTAAAAAACAAAGAAACACTTAAATCTATGTATATGTATATTTGTTCTATCTGCATAATGCCACACATGTGTATATGTATGTATGTTGAATGGTAATACGTAAATAGCTTCAATGTTGTGGTTCACCTCAAAATGTTTCTCTGACTGTAATTACCCCACTAACCCGTGCCCTAACCTCTGACCTTTGACCCCGACCCTGACCCATGACCTTGGCTAATGGCTTTCGGTTATGGCTTCGTTGTCTTCTGTTACTGCGTCTGCTTGACCATCTAAAAACCCTCATCCGGAAAAGAACGTGACTAACGCCAACCCAATCACTAACGCTCACCCATCGAAACACTGACCCATGTGTTGTATCACCTCACCAACAATAACACCCAAAAAAAGAAAAGGAAAATGAAAAAGGACTAACACTGGGCACTCGAAACATATCGCTGTCCCCGATCCGTGTTGTTTCCCTCGCTTGGCCGAGGGAGTAACCATTAATCATTAGGCTATAGTGTCCGGCAACTGCTAACCACCAGACGAACTAACCGATACCCTAACAACCCGCTAATTTAACCCATGGCGTGTGCACCTCTAACCCAAACACAAAGCCAAAAGAAAGAGATCAATCGGCCATTCCGAGTATCCAGGTGGTTAATCCGTATCCTTTACCCTCTCTCACGTTTAGCTGCGCAAACAGAGTCGCTTCAATGCGCGCAAAAAGTTCCAATTCGCCATACTCGTGATACGGGCCGTCATCCGGATACGGCGGCTGCGCTTCACCGCCGAGCCGCTGCACGTTGAGGAGGCCATCCGGGATCCATACCGCGTCAAGGTTCTGCGCAAGGTGGGTTACTCCAATCAGACTGGCTGGATAATGTGCTAATTGAACCAATTTCTCGCAGGTCATCGATGGCTGTGCCTTCCGTGTCTACGGACATTGGGTTAAGAAGGGCGAGGGCCAGAACCGGGCCGCCCTCTTCGAGAATACTCCGCGCACCGAGCTCCACGCGCTCTACATCAACAATCTCAGCCGATAGGAGGCGGTCGGTCGGGCGGCGGGGCGTGGTCGCTGAGCCACATAGCACACACAACACACACAACACACACAAACCACACAGCAGCTTACAGAAGGAATTAAGCGAACAGCAACCAAGAAACGAATTAGCAAAAGTTACTATTCAAAACAGGAAATTGCAAATGCAATGGGAGAGACATACCAAAAAAAGGAAATATCAAGGATTCAATCTAACCATTCGGATTCGCCTCGTTCTGGAAGGAGAGCCAACTAGAGAAGCACGCACTCGCAGGTGTACATATGCCTAGCAGCATTACCTCTCTGCCTTCTTCGTCCTTGTGATTTTGTTTAATACTTTTTAATTGATTTTATTATGTTTTATGCGCCGCCATCTAGTGTAATCAGTTAGTAGTGTAGCGTCGAATCGGGCCATGTAATACCCATGCCCAGTGGTGTACCATATAACCCGACGCCAGAACGAGTCGAATCGGATGCAGATGAGTTGCATGGGTCGATCCACACCTTGTCTCACCTCCACCTTGTCCTCCAAACCCAACTAAGCCCTAAGCCCACACAAGCAAGCGTACATGCATATGTATTTTCTGTTAATGATTCTATTAAATTATTTAATTGTATTGCTAAGCGTTTACATTTTAATTGTTATGTTGTAGTATACACAATAAATAAAACAAACTAAAAAAAAAAAGTAAATGTAGGCAGACGATGAAAACAAAACCATTGCATTGGTGAGCAACTTGTAGGATTAGCAATTAATTGCATTAGATGTGCTTTTCGCAATTGTACTTCCGCTCGCAGCACGCGGGAAAATCGCGATTGATGTCCACAAAGTCGCGCTGCTTGCAGCCGCGCGGCGGAGCAACTGCATCACAGGTCTTGAAGGTCACCACGCCATCCTCATGGCACTCGGCCCTCACACATGGCAGATTCGGCGCCAGTCCCGTCTGTCCGGGCGACAGGATCGTGTCCGTGTCCAGCACACACTTGCCGGGATGCGCTGCAAGCGATGATGATGGAGCATGTGGTGATTATTATAGTTTGATCCCACTCACCTGAGTTGTTCAGCTTGACCTTGGCCACGGCCGCCTGGCCTCCTTGGCCGCCAAGGATGACGAGCAGGCAGAGGATTGCGGCAACGGGAGCGATGAAGTGCGACATACTGCTTGGCACTGGCTGGAAACTGGCACTGGATTTCGTTCGGTAATCTCTGGTGGCACTCCGGGATCGGGATTGGGATCGGGATCGGGATCGAGCGATGTTATCAACTGGGATGCTGGTAAGCAAGTGCTGCTGTTTGAGCCCCAATGGCAATGTTTTATACGCGCCGGTTATCAGAAGACGAAACTGAATCCGATACCGAAGCCAAAGCCCCCGGAATGAGGCGGCTTATCCGCTCCAGCTGCCGACGACATCGACTTGACCTTGTCCAACGAACGGAGCTCCTTTTTCCGATTCCCCGGCTGCCGGTTTAGCTGCCTGTTTGGCTGCTTTTTTATTTATTTATTTATTTTTTTTGACTTCCCTGCGGTTCATTGAGTACTTAATTACAATTGCCCATGCACACAGACGCCTTTCATTTATACATATGCATGTGTATGTTTATTGTTATTATTCTTTTTTAATTGACGGTGTGGAAGCTTATCACGTTTCTCATTTTTTGGCTTTTCGGCACCCGGTTTGCTTCGGTTTTTTTTGTATTTTGTGGGGAATTTTCTTGTTTTGGTGTTTTGGAATTCCTGGGGGCTTTCAGTGGGGGGCTCCAGCGGCTTACTGCGACTTGACTCATCATCCCGAGGGCACGCATCTTCCATTTGCACTTTTACCGGCGCCTCGGGGTTCTTGAACCGCCGCAAACCCATCATAAGAAACTGGTCCTCCAATACCCGATGGCTATATGTATGATATTGATGAATGATCGGTAGTATCCGTCTCAGGTTGAAAAGGCTTTCAACGCTCAGGCTAATGTGATTGATAGAATGGAATGGCATTTTTGTGGTCATGTTGACTCTTCGCTTTCCATAAAATCGGAAATTAATTGTTTGTTTTTCTAGTATCATCCTAATTTGCGAAAATGGCCCAGAGTTGCAGAAAAGAACACTCGTTCCCAAGATTTCCATTTTAAAACATTACTATTTATTTATTTTACTGTGACGCTTGAATTCATTTATCAGATTTAGTTTTGTTTTGCGTTCCTTTTTTTCCTTGTATTTTCAACTATTTTACAGGTGATAGACTATATTGCGCTTAGTGAAACTACATGCACTTCTATATATAATTAATTTAAATATATATAAATATATTTATGTATATTCTTGTCAACATAATTTCTTCGGCTTTAGGTTTACATTTTATTAAAGGACTTGTACAAATGCAGAATAAGAATTATATGATTCGGAATCCGAATCGGAATTAGAGCGAAAAAGTGCGTAGACGAGTACACGAAGAAAAAATTCACATATTGATCGACAAGTTACAGAAAGAGCGAGATTTCATTTGAGATTCTGGACATTCGATAGATTCTGGAGATGCTGATCCGAGCCGAATCGAACTGCACCATGGAAATTCCAGGTGGAATGCGGCAGATAAGAGTTACAGATCAATCAACAACATGGCTGAGAAAGAAGTGCTGTGAGCAGCTAACTAAATGCCAGCGTAAAGAGGCAGCTTGGCGGTGTCCACCTTCTCCTCCACCTTGAACGAGGGGAATAGGCCGCCTTGGTTGGTGCGGGTATTCTTGCCCTTGGAGTTGCCATCCCAATGGTTACCAGCCACTGAGACGAGGTCTCCAACACGCAGCTGTAGATCCTCGTGCGTGCGCGGCTTGTGGGCGATAACGACACGTCGATTGTGCGCATTCTGGCCTCCGTAGTAGTATATGTCGTCCAGCGACTTGAAGCGATGCGCAGCATCCGGATACATCGTTTGCATTATCTCGTAGGCCACGCGACACACCTGCGACGAGAAAGTGCACACCAAATGATCGGACATGGAGAGCAGGTGGATATCTAGAATGATCCCGTTCAGGGCCGTGTCCGTGTATCGTGTGGATACGGACGCCATGCGCGCCACCTCCGGATCACCAATGATTTGGTACTGCGGGTACTTCCTGCGAGCCTCTTCAATAACCTGAGCATCGTCCGACGCGAGGAAAATCCGGCGGGCCACAGTGCTGCCATTCACCTCCAGCGTGCGGTAGTAGTCCTCGACATAGGTCATGTACTCCTCCACACTGTGACAGGCCGCCTCTGTGCCCACTTTGTCCGTGCGACGGACATGAACGCTGTAAGCAGAAAATGATTGAATATTTCGTTTCTTCAAGAGAACAAACTCTCAGTTCACTTACCCAACAATGGGACGCTCCCATCCCAAATTCCGCATGCCTGAGGTAAGGAAGTCCCGCGTCGTCGGTTGCGGTCGGAGCAGATATTTAAGGAACTGACCCACCCACCAAACGATGGGGTCTCCATGCAGACGCTTGAGTCTCGGCGCCAGATCCTCGGGAACGGCGAGCGGCAGGTACGGCGGTCTCGGCATTAGCGAGTCGATGATGGGCAACACCAGCACCTGGGTGTTCGGCTTGCCCGGCCAATTGTATGTGTTGGCGGTGCCCGCATCGTGGCAGCTGTTGGACACCGGCTGGAAGACCTCCTCCCAGCCGCCCTTGTGATACCGCCATCCGCGGGATTTCAGGATGAGCGTCCGCTCGGTGGCATAGGCCACTATAAAGCAATACACCACATGGTGCAGTTGGCAGCCGTAGCCACAACCCTGGGGATTCAGAACTTAGGAATTAGATTATGCCGTCGACACTAATTCACTAACAACTAGCAGATTAAATGATTTCCTATTTGGTATAAGCCGAGTAAACCATTTCCTAGGAATTTCAATATTTCTATCAGACTGACAGGTAAAGTGGCTTTGTGGTAACGGAAGGATTAGCTCGAGAAATAGAAATAAATCAATAAAACGCACCTTGTTGAGCTTGCAGACCAGCTTGCGAGCATTCTGACAGTCACTGGGATTCTGTAGGTAATGCAAGCGCCGCTGCACCAGATCGCTCAGTTCGCGCGCCTCCTTGTGCCGCCAGGCTTCGTAGCCATCGGACTGACGCATTCGCTCCATATCGCTTAGCAGCGAACGCTTGTGCTCGGCGCCCTGTAGCAGAACCTGGTTGATGGACTCCTCCAAATCGGCACTCGCATGGCCGGCGGCCACTGCCTTGCGCACTTTGCCCAGTTCGCTGCTGAAGAAGTTCCAGATCTCACCGATGTTCGTCTGGATGCGTCTGCGCGTGAACTCGTACTCCAGGCTGGGCTCAAACTCGCCATGATCGGTGGCACCTGCCTCCAGATCATTGGGCGCACCCTCGGCCACATTATTCCAACCGCGCAGGTCAGCGGGCGCCGACTCGAACATGGATTCTGGTTCCGGGCCGCCGACCTCGGGCGCTAGCTTTGGATTCAGCGCATCGTTCTCCAGCCTTTGCACCAGTTTCAGTGCGCTCTGCTTGTCCAGTTGGTCACTGAAAAAAAAGAGATGGGGGTTCAGGTTAGCAAAGCAGCTTATCGCATGTAATTCCGTCTACGTGCCATGCATAATTAGCCACACTGCTGACATATCAGCATAATGATGATCGCAAAAGTGTAACTGGGAATGCTAAAATGTTTCAGGAAACTATACGTGGTTATAATCACTGTTGAACCTTCTTTATTTCCATGTAAGCCGAGAACTGGTTATTGATGTTAATCTCTGTGATATCACAACTATTGTGGTATATAAAACTGACAGTCGACTAAAGGTGTTTTAATGCAGGTGAATGCGAACAATAATATTGTGCTGCCCTCGGCTGTATCGCCAGCTCCAACCGACTATAGCAGCCACTATAACCTACCTCATCAACTCGTCGATGAGCTGTTTAAGCTCCTCGTTGCGCTGACGCGTGTGCTCCAGCATCTGGAGCGCCTGTGAGATGCGGCGGGCGTTCAGCTCACTCTCCCCGGCCGCCTGCTGTCCCTGTGTATTGGTCAGCTTGACCACAAACACGTAGACCAATCCGATCCAGGCCAGGACGAATATGATGAGGGCACGGGCCCACGAGTTGGCCGAAGCCCCGAATAGCTGACGCACCAGCAGCATGGCGTCGTTTCCACTGCTCCTCCTTCTATGGATTCTGCCCTCCGCTCGCCGGGACCACAATCGATCTGCCAGGGGATCAAGGAACGGGGCTCCGAACGGGAGGGGGCGGACTCGAGAATGCTCTCTATGCGGACTTCGATGCGGAGCTGTTTCGATTCCGGCACATAGTCCCAATTAACTCCGATCCGGCCAGCGACCAAGGCGGTCCAATGACATGGTCGGCGGGGGCAGGGTTCCGCTTTGATTTATAGATATGGTATATATGGTATATGATGTATGATGGCCAGCTGGAATGCGCGTTTCACGCAGCTCGATCAAATCTAGAATGAAATTTCTGACTGGCGGAAGAGGCGGATGTGGATATCACTGATCGTGCTGGCCAGTGGTGCTGGTAGTCGTGGCAAAGTCAAATTAGGTGCGAACTTATTCTATATATTTCCGTCCTGTTCTGTGTTTTCTTTTGATTAGCACTAGAGCTGTGTTGTCAACACACAATGTTATCGATATATAGACATAGACATCCCCGAAACTAGAAAAGCGTTGCCACATTCGGGGTTCTATCAACGAAATTACTATCGATAAGCCGATGACACGAACGGCTGAAGACGCAACGCTTATTTAAACGTCAAATTCAAAGAAACCTATTGAAGTGATAAAACAATTGAAGATGCTTTGTGGATGTTTTCAGTTTTATGCCGTGTTCTCTTAATATTTCACATTTTATTTGGACTTATGCTACTAATAATAAAAATGATTATAATTTTCAGATGTGTTGTTATTTTCAAAGTTCCGACCGATCTGCGAGTTGTATGGGTCGTGGATATCGGGGGAACCACCCTCGTTACCGGCAACCCAAACCACCCGGAGATCGGACGACCTGCGCCGGATGCACTTAAGATGCGGGCTTCTTATGCTTCTGTTTCTTCTTTTTTTGGAAATCAAATGAAAAGTGATTAGCGTATAAATTATAAAAAATTCAGTATATGTAAAGTTAAAAAAAAAGTTGTACACATAAAATATAAATTATATTATTATAATTACGACCACAAAAATTTCTTAGTGTTGAAATGAGTTTTGTTTCTTCCGAGTGTTTGTGTGTGTGTGTTTGTGTGCGTGTGTGTGCATGGAGAGGGGTGTGGTGTATTGGGGGTACTGTGTGTGCGGCGTGTCTTGAGTGAGAGAGATAGAGAGAGCGCGAGTTGCTGCGGGTCGAAGGTCGAGGGGGTGAAGGTGGTGGTGGGGCTTGGTTTATGCGACAAGTTTTGATTTATTATTAAATTTAAATACCTATGTATATAAATTACGTTTCTGTTTTATTATAATTATTGTTGTTTCCATCTTAATCATTTTCTTTTGTTTCGTTTTTTTATTTTCTCATTTTTTTTTTTTGTTTTGTTTTTTGTATGTAGTGGGCAACTGCGGCATTTGTAAATTTCTTTATATTTAAATGTTCCTTTTGACTGTGTAAAAATATCGATTTCCATCTGATCTTGTTTTGTAGTTACTATTAATGTATGCATTTGCTTTTCATTTCAGTTATATTACGTTAACGCTGCATTCTGAACTCTCTTTTGCTGCTGCTGCTGCTTCTGCTGCCTGTTCTTCGGATTCTTGATCGCATTCTTCAGATTCTTCATCTTGGCGCGCTTCCTATGCTATTGAAATGTTGTTTGTAGTACTGCTTACTGCCTTCTGGATCGGGATCTTATATTCCGCTCTGATCTGATCGGTTATGTTTATGTTATGTCGGGTTGTGTGTGTGTGGTGTCTTGTTGTGTGTATGAGAGTGGAGTGTGTTGGGTGTTCGCTTCTCGTTATATGTTGTATATATATATAATATATTATATGTATGTATAATTAGTTGCTTAATAGTAGAATTTCTTGAATGTTGTTGTGGTAAAGTGTAGGTAATGTTGCTCTATGTCTCTATGTCGACTCAACTGCACTACATACATATGTCTTTCCACCAGATACGCGGCGAACCGAACCGAACCGTGCCGAACTGAACCGAACCGTACCGATCCCCGTTTCTGATCCGCATCCGTATCCGTATCCGTATTTCGTATCCTCACCTCCGCCTCATTCGCTGCGCAGTTTCTTTAGCTCCGGTGACTTCTCCCCCACGCTCACACCCACTCCGCCGGCGTTATTCAGCTCCATATCGCAGTGCAGGGCCGTACGCTTCTGTCCAATAGCTGGCGCTGAGTCTGCAACCGCTGACGCTACCGGCGAAACCGCATCCGCCGCCTTGTTCGCCGCCAGCTGCTGCAGTTTACTGTCCCTCACAATGCCGTTGCTGCTATTGCTCTCGTCAGCCTCTAGCTCCGCCTCATTATCCTCCTCGTCCAGCTCATCTTCCTCCTCGTCCTCCGCCTCATCCTCGTCCTCGTCGCCCAGGACGCCGTTTCCGTTTCCATTTCCATTGGCTGGTGCTGCAGTCGCTTTGCTGGCTGGCTGTGGTGCTGCTGTAACCGCTTCCTCCTCTGCTGCCAATGGAGCCGCCTGGCCATTGTTGGTGATCGAATTGTTGGTTTTGTGGGGCTGGCTTGGCGCCTGCGTCTGATTCTGGGTCGAATGCTGTGTTGGAGTCAGGATAGTCAGGCTGTTGGTCTTGGGCGGCGCCTCCTGATTACTTTCAGAGTCGGAGGCGAGCGGTGTGCCACTCAAACCGATGCCAATGCCCAGGGCTATGGGCTCGCCGTCCTCTGTGGAGGTGGTGGCCGTTGTCTGTGTGGTGCCATCGTTGTCATCGATGATCGGCTCCTGGGAGGTGGAATCGTTCGACACAAAGTTGGAGTCACCGTCCTGCAGGGCGGCGCCTACGGCAGCTACGTTGTTCTTGGCCTCGCCCGACTGAAGAGGCGTCAGAGCAGCCGGGTTGGTGTTCTCGTTCTCCGTCTCCGATTCTGTAGCAGTGTTGCGACCGCCTGTGGATAGAAAGCATTGGGTTAGGAATCCATGGAAAATTTGTTAACTCGGCAAACTGCGGTCAGAATAATTGAAGAAAGAAGGCCTGTGTTTGCTATCTGTGGTGTCATATAAATTATTAGACGTCCTATCGCTCTTGGTAATCTAAAAAAACTATTAGCTACTGATAATCCAAGCCTGTCTATAAAATTAAACTTTTTCTATTTTACAATAGTTACTTTAAAACATGCCTATTATCTGTTCTTAAAATTATCTATTATCTTTTCTTCGTCAATACTTTTCACAAATATTTTGTAAATATTACTGGTAGTGCTTCTACTACTGTGCTACTACAATATAACTTTTAATGTAAAATTGCGGATAGAAAGAATGTTTGGTTTCTGGAGAAGATTACTCGTTTGCGTCTGGTGTTGCACGTGGTGTCTGGTGTTGTACTCTAGCCGCAGCTGCCGGATCATCTTAAATGCTTACCTGCTCCCTGGCTTTCGTCGTCCAAATCGACACCCACACCGTCGTTGGTATCGTCGCCATCGAGCACCTTGCTGCTGCTGCCGTTTGTGCTGAGTGAACCGGTGCCAGTGGCGGAGGCGCCGGATCCCGGCGGCGGCATATCGTCGAGCATCTCGGGACTGAGATCGTTGGCCACATAGTGAGACCAGAGGGCCAGCTCCACGCGATGCGGCGACCAGTGCGGCGTATCCCCGCCCACCTCCGCATTGAGGCGCTCCACGGTGGCCTGAATGTGATTGACGAAGTTGAGGTACTCCTTGGTGGTGTAATCGATACCCTCGATCTCTGGTATGGCCATCAGGCACTCGTCGGCCATGAATGGTGCCGAATCGGGAGCGGCAGCCGCCAGCAGTGCACTGGCCATTGTGGTGCCGACGCCCTTGAGGTTCGATAAAGCTGTGATCGCCTGCTCCAGATTGGGCAGCTTGCGGAAGGCCTTCTTTGTCTCTTGGATTACGGCGCGCGGTGTGTTGACCTTGACCAGGTAGGATAACTGCGGATAGAATTTGCCGCGCGACTGCTTCCACTTCATCGACTGGACGAGCTCATCGTATACCATATGCGCATCCTTGCCGCGTGCCTTAATCAATTTGGGCAGTTCATTTTGATACCACTGATCCAAGCGGATCAGTTCCTGCGGCTTCTTGCATCGCTTCTCGGCCTTCAGCTTAAGAACCTGGGGATAGAGCTGGTAGCAGTACTCGAACTGTGTGGTGCTTCCGTTCTCGAAGAACGAGACCGTCGCCTTGCCGTTGGACATCTTCTGCGGATGCGGATGTGCCGTTGTCGCCTGCTAATGATTGGTGGTATCGGTGTATATCCGTATCGTGGTATCTTTCTTCTTGGGGCCCAGGACGTTGGCTGATCCGCAAGTGCCCGGCTGGCTGACTGGCTATATATATATATTTGTATATATATATAAATATGTACTTAGGTGTAAGCTACTATATATACGCCAAATCAATCTATTGCTGACTGTTTAATCTCCTGCTTTATCCTGTCCGTTCCGAGCTGCTCCTGTCAATGTACTGCTATTCGTGCGTTGAGAGTTCCCGGCGAGGAAGAAGAGAGTACGTCAGAGAGAGCGTGTGCGAGAGAGGAAGCACGAAGAAGCAGCAAACCAAAGGAGAGTGGAAGAAAAGAGAAGGAAAGAGGCACACAATTAGGTTTACAGTTACGATTACATATGCAAGGGGGATCGGTGGCATCGGGAGGTACTTCGATTGATTACTGTTAATGCTGCTGCTGCTGCGGCTGTGTCTCTGTTGTTTGTTGTATTTACTCAATCCGTTAATCGCTCACTATTTGCCAAAAATCTGCTCGCTTCTTCCGCCGTGTGCACAACACACAAATCGAATTTTTACAGTGCCGTCGTCGGGTTCTTTTTAGTCCGCCATACACTCACACAGGCAAACTGACAGCCACACGGACGGACACAAACACACACACACACACAACCAGCACACTCGCTCTCGCACACCCAAAGAGAGCCAGGCGCTCATACACAGGCAAAAACACGCACACCACACACACACACCGACTAAAACACACACGCAACACACTTATATACTGAGGCAACAGCAGCAGCAGCAGAAAATTTCTTTTTCATCTAGGTTTTCGAAAAAATACGAACGCGAGCATTAAGTAAACGAATGCTACTATTTTTCGCTGTTGTTGTTGTTTGTTCTTTTTCGTACCTCTTGTCTTTTTGGCAAAACGCTGAGAACAGCTTTTCACTAGCGCACTGCACGCACACAGATGAGTGGGTGAACAACAAATACCTTTTAGTTAGTCGCCGCCAGTCTTCCTTTCCGTCCACATCCAAACAACTACTCCGATGCTTTGCTGTTTTTCTGTGTTGCCTCTGCTTTGCTTCGCTTCGCCACTGTGCTTGTGCTGTGTGCTTCGTGCTGTGCCGTGCTGTGCTGCTTCTTCTTCCTCTGCTGTTTCAGTTTCTGCTTTCTGCCTGCAGGGGCGTCGTTGACAACCGACAAATGAAAAAGGGGGTAACTCTGTTCTCCAAATGAGCACGCCACAGAAAGCACAACAAAAAAGAAAAAGGATCGGAGCGGAGCGATGCAGCTGTGCGATGTGCTGCTAACTCGTGTGACGGGAATTGGGAATTGGGATTGCGAATGCGAATGGGAATACGAGAAGCGAATATGGGAAAGACAAACGACGGCGAACCGGGAACAGGAGTTGTCGCTCTATCTCGCCCGCACTCGCTGCCCGAATGTATCTGTATCTCTCTGGCACCCTCGGCGTTCCATTTTGCCGGCGACGTCCGTGCTCTCTGTCGCCGCTCTGCCATCGCCTCTGCCGCTGCGTTTATGCGCAGCGCGTCGTTACACGAAAACCTGTTCAAAGCGAAGGCATAAACGCGGCTTTGTCGATCAACTTGCATGTCACCTAAAGTCATGTTTGAGTTACAGAAACTTCGAGTAAACAATATATATTTTAGCAATGTTTACCCTTATTGGCTTAGTTAATGCAATTATGTTTGATGTGTTTACACATATCAGGCTTGCACTTGAATTTCCGTAAAAACTTTTTCTATTTCTAGCTTCAGGGCCTTTGATTTAATCCATACAATGCTGGAAAACAAAAAACGAGGGGGCGCAAACTCGGTTTTGTTGATCAACTTCCATGTCACTGAAAGTCTTGTTTGAGTTATAGAAACATCGAGTAAAGAATATTTATATTCGATCAATGTTTGCCCTTATTGGCTTTATTTGTGCAATCGTGTTTTTTGTTTTAAAAATATTTGTCCATTTTCTGGGCCTGCGATTTAATCCGTACTAAGTTGGATAACAAAAAGGAATGCGTTCTGTAACAATAAAGCATGGTAATAATTTAAGAATTCGCGATATTCTAGTGTAAACAGCGTGTCTCTGCTTGTTCGCTGCTTTTGTTGTGCCAGTTGCCAGCGGCAGCGGCGTCGTTGTGCTATTATTCATGAGGGGGTGCGTCAGGTTTGCTGAATTTTACCGACTTGTTTGCGCAAAGCGAAATTATTTATGGCTCAGCACGAACAGCGATAGAAATGCATGCATATGTTGTTGGTTGGATAAAAAGTTGGCTCTACATGCAGTTAAGTGCTTATAATTTGTCTACTTGCGCATACATATAATATAAATGCATACATATTAAATAATGTACATAATTAATCAGCGGTTCGAGGGTTGGAGAATTTACAGAGGGAATTTGAGTGATCAAAACGTTGCTATGTACATATATTCACATGTACATAATTATATAAATATCAAAAATATTACAAAACTGTTTTAACTTGCAAGCATTAACTAATTTGAGAACAGCTGCTGGTTCCATAATCGAGTACACACGTGTGCTACTCAAAGTTTAAGCTGAGAGAGCGGTCGAGCGGCAACTTGATATTTAAAAAACAGAACCCTACTTAACAGTCGACTCAAGTTCGATCCCCCCGCAGGTACGCCCCTCAGTTCACCTATCGCTCGTTTGCCTTTGCCGCCATCATTCGCTGTTGCCGTTTTTACCCTATTCGTCGTCGTTGAGCGACGAGCAACATAGCAGCTGCAATTTAGCTGTTTCTGTTTGTGCCTCCTCTGTGCCTGCCATTCGCTCATTATACCCTTGCAGAGAGAATTATCACTTTTTAAGATAGCAGTAATCCTATCTTATACATTATCAATATGATCAGTCAATTGGTTTTATATGAACTTGAGTGCGATTTCCTTGGTAACTTGATGAACTATTAAAATAAGCCCTTGGCAATGGCTTTATCTTCGAAGTTGTTTAAGGGAAATCTAATTTATTTAATAAGCGATCGGACTATTCTAGTTTGTAGGGCACTAAAACGTCGGCTAGACAAAGTTGGCTTCTTTTTCTTGTTTTGCCCCGCTGCTCTCTCACGCACATACACAAACGCACACATGCAGTGATGCATGTGCGACGCTGCGATATGCATGCGATATATCGCATCGATACTCGATGCTGATGCCCATCTGTTTTGCGGCATTTTCCCGCATTCCCTGTTGAAAAACCAGTTTTTCGAATTACAAAACCGATTGTATTTCAAAACTGATAATGATTAATTTTCTAAAATCCCCACTGGAGAGCGGCATTTGTAGTGGTTGGATTTGTTTTCTCTCTTTGCCATGACACGGCTGTATGTATTAATCATTCGGTATACAAGCAACTTTTTCGCACATCCCCCTCCCAAATTAACTACGTCTCTGTGTGTGCGATTCGCTCGTTTTTGTGTTTTGCCATTCTCACTGTTCACGCACTAATACACACAAGTGGCTGTTCGAAGTTGCCAGATCAGCAAGTTATGCGCTTAACTTTTTACCGGTGCCGGAGTGTTTAAATTTGAAGAGGAAATGTGCTCATTATTATTTTGGGCAATAAAAATAAATTCCTAAAAAAATTATTATTATTTTATTTGGCTTTGGGCAGCGAACACTTTAATTCGCGAGGAACAATTACAGTAATTTATGACTCCCCTAAAAACATGTGTATTTTTTATCGATGTGTACACATACACATTCTATCGATGATCAGCTGGCCCTGCCATTCGATTACCCCTGGTGGCATCTCTAGCCTTATTAATCGAAATTTTATTTTGTATCCGGACGTGGTCCCCCAGCACTTTCAGATCTCTCCAAGCGTTCCGTGCATCATGTTGACCAGGTCCATTCTAACCGTGGCCGTGTGCGGCCTCCTCCTGTCGCCCCTCCTGCCCCTCACCCGTGCGTCCCAGGAGGAGGACGCCGCCAAACAGGCGGAGGACAAACAGATTGCCGTTGAACTGGACCCGGAAACCTTTGACACGGCGATTGCCGGCGGCAATGTCTTCGTCAAGTTCTTTGCACCATGGTAAGTTGCAATTCGTTTTGGGCTCATCTCCCCTCCCCTCCGTTCCGCCTTGCGCCTACACTTTAACGAAATAAAAAATCGGCGTCCCAAATTGGCCAACTTTTGCCGGCGAATCGCAGCGGTCCACATCGGTCGTTTATTTTATGTGACCAAGCCACGCACACATAATTATTAGTGGTGTTTTGGTTTTCACTTTCATTAAATTTCTGGCAATATTAATATTTGACGATTTTTAGCAATAACAAATATTAGCGAAATTCTGTTAATAATCAACAAGTATTTACTAAAATAAAATGTAGCTCACCAAAAATGGTCCTAAGGCTAGTTAAAATAATTATTTTCTTGGGAATTGTAACAATTACAAATTCTATTTATAGTATTGACAATAAACACCATACAAGTTCCAACACCATTAATAACTATTATTAGCTTTTCAAATAAGAAATTTAATCCTTTGTAAAATTGGTGAAATACTTTTTGATTTCCAATCGCATTCTTTGCTCTTATAAATCCTCAAAATTTGGAATCTGAAAACCAGAACGTACCTTTTGTTAAATTTATTATTTTTGAGCTTGCGAGAAATTCCTGACGACCCTGAGTGACATGAATTTGGTAAAAAAACTGAAGATCCGTAAAACAGAAGATTTCGAACGAATCGCACGTTCGGCGATAAGACGATCAAAAGGGCTTTGTTGTCCCATGATTGACAAACTAAATACTACAGATTTCGGCCACTATTATATGTAGTTTTCATAGCGCCCGGCTCTCACGTCTTATCAAAAACCATCGCAATGTCTATGAACTAATTTGATTAGATTCAATTATGTGGCTAGGAAGTGCTCTGCGATTAGAGGGGGGAGTTTAAGGAAGTTCGAAATGCGATTCGACATTAGCAGCAGATGATAAACACTTTGTTTGAGACAAAGCGCCGAGTCTTATCGCTGCCCATTGTTTTGTGTTCCTTTGTATGGGGGGAAAACAATGTGATTTGACCGATTTATCGATTCCTATTTCAAAATCAATTTAATTTCAATAGGTCATGGGTTTAATATTGTCTCTTAAGTGTGACTCATGCAATATTTGTATCCATTTGGCATATGAAATTTTATCCATATATGTATATAAAATATTATATATATTCTATATCGTTAAATCCTGTATAGGTGCGGTTATTGCAAGCGCCTTCAGCCGCTGTGGGAGCAGCTGGCCGAGATCATGAACGTGGATAACCCCAAGGTGATCATCGCCAAGGTGGACTGCACCAAGCACCAGGGACTCTGCGCCACCCACCAGGTCACCGGTTATCCTACACTGCGCCTCTTCAAGCTGGGCGAAGAGGAATCGATCAAGTTTAAGGGCACTCGGGACTTGCCCGCCATCACCGATTTCATCAACAAGGAACTGGGCGCACCCGCCGAGGGGGATCTGGGCGAGGTTAAGCGCGAGCTGGTCGAGAACGTCAATCTTGGCAAGGTGGTGGACCTCACCGAAGACACCTTTGCCAAGCATGTGTCCAGCGGCAATCACTTTGTCAAATTCTTTGCACCCTGGTGCAGTCATTGCCAGGTAAGCAAAAAATACAATGCGCCTCCTCGCTTAATATGCCTAACTGTGGCATCCTTTCTGTGCAGCGTTTGGCACCTACGTGGGAGGACCTGGCCAAGGAGCTTGTGAAAGAGCCTGCCGTAACCATCTCGAAGATCGACTGCACCCAGTTCCGTTCCATCTGCCAGGATTTTGAGGTCAAGGGCTATCCAACTCTTCTCTGGATCGAGGATGGCAAGAAGATTGAAAAGTACTCGGGTGCTCGTGATCTGTCCACGCTGAAGTCATATGTGGAGAAAATGGTTGGCGTGCCACTGGAGAAGACTGTTGGCGAAGCCGGCGATGAGAAGGAGGCCACCAAGGAGGTTGCCGGCGAGGAGGAGGCAGCCAAGAAACTGGCCCCACAACAGCTGACTGGCGAGGACGAGTTCGACCAAGCCATTGCCGAGGGCATTGCGTTCATCAAGTTCTATGCTCCGTGGTGTGGACACTGCCAGAAGCTGCAACCCACCTGGGAGCAGTTGGCCACGGAGACGCACCAGGCTCAGAGTTCTGTCAAAATCGCCAAGGTTGACTGCACGGCGCCGGAGAACAAGCAAGTGTGCATCGATCAGCAGGTGGAGGGCTATCCAACCCTTTTCCTGTACAAAAACGGTCAGCGGCAGAACGAATACGAAGGCAGTCGCTCGCTGCCTGAGCTGCAGGCCTATCTTAAGAAGTTCCTCGGCCACGACGAGCTCTAAATCGTCTGCCGGTTCACAGGGGATAAGCAGTAGTCGAATGATCAAATAATCGCCCGCCAAATTAATTGTAATCATAATGTTTTCTCCAGCATAAACCTCTGTGAGGAGTCCGCATTTAATCAATATATCCAACAACTCCCAAAAGACAACGCGCTAGCTGGAATTGACAAATTCAATCTATGTTCCTTTGCTGTGTTTCGTTTTAGTCCTCCTTAGCTGAGTTTGTTGACCTTTTTTTTTATGTGTTTAGTGCTTACGTAGATGGGGTACGGAACTGTGTGCGCAAAAAGAAGCCATTTATCGAACTTTAATTTCAATTTTAAAATCATTCTTAGGAAAATTTGTCAACACCAAACAAATAAATACCAATTAAAAAACAAGAGCCCCGTTTGCTTAATGGGGTCAGAACGCATATAATACATATGGTTTATTTGAGTAATTGCTGGGAATAACCACAATTTGATGTTCTGAGGAGAAAAAACAATTGTTTCTTTTTGTTTCTTAATAAATATGAATTCTGTGTTGTTTTAGCTGACTTATTTGCGTACTCTAAATATTTCCTTTACACACTTTAAGATCTATAAAATATTTAACAATGCTGTCTGCTCCATTGTTATTTTTTTGAATTGAAATTCCAGCTGCGCGCACTTGTGTCGATACCCTGAACTTAAAATACGAAAACAATTAATCGATTGCAGATCTAGCTGAGCGAATCGCCATTTGATAACACTGCAGTAGCTCTTTAAGAATCTTAATTTGGGCTGCCATATCTACTTAATTGACAAATATGAACCAAAACTTGAATTGCATTTAAATAAATACTGTATTGTTTTTATATAGAATTGCGGATCCCGGAAGATATTCAGCTTAAAGGCAACTAAATTTGGGGGAACCCCACAAGAATATAATTATTAGGATTGCGACCAATCGATATATCGAACATTTATCGGTCAGTCCTGCTGTTGGAGATGCATCCCTGGCACACAGCTCCGATATATATCGTATCGGGTCATATGCATCGTCTGTCATTGTTTTTGCATCTAAAGAGAGACTTTCTGTCATGTATTCGGCTCGTGCTAACAGAGCCGTCCTGTAGATTATACTTAAGTCATCTGTCAACGCAGACCGAATCCGTAGCCGGCTTCCCATTGATACCCAAAATCCCTGATTCCCGATGAACGCCAGCGGTAACGGTGGTGCTGGCCAGGATGGAGCCAGCACGGTGGGTAAACGCCAAAAATATGCTCTTATTTACCATATATTAACCATATGATTGATTGTGTTATCAACACTATTGATTTTGTCCACTATTATTAGGGATAGTAGGACTGCGTAGGCAAACTAGCTTAGATCCATTCAGTTTCGTAGATCCTTGAAGAACATGCTCTAATCCTGATCAAATCTTACCCATCCAGATGATCGATGCAAATAGTGTGCTCAATAAGATCGCTAACCTGTACGCCGAAAAGCTGATGTCGGACATAGTGCTCCTGGTGGATGGCAAGGAGTATCCCGCCCACCGCGTGATCCTCTGCGCCAGCAGCGACGTCTTCCAGGTGATGCTAATGAATCCGGAGTGGAACGAGTGCAGCAAGCACGTTATCGAGCTGCACGAGGAGGCCTGCTGCTCGGCGGTGTTTCCGCAGTTCATCAAGTACCTATACGTTGGCCACATCGAGGTCACGTTGCAGACGGTGATGCCAATGCTGGCGCTGAGCGACAAGTACAATGTGCGCGACCTGATCGATCTCTGCGTGGGCTACATGAACAAGCACGTAGCCAAGGCGGCCACCAGCGGTTACCTCGTCTCCTGGCTGCAGTATACGCTCTCCTTCACGCCCACCCACAACGATCTCACCGAAACACTCAAGCGGTTCCTCAAATGGAACCTGGAGATGGTGGCCGAGTCGCGTGACTTTGTGGAAATGGACCCGGCCATACTGATACTGCTGTTGCAGCAGAACGATCTGGTTGTCACCAGCGAGTACAAATTGTTTGCCATCCTGCAGACGTGGCTGCTGCATCGTCGCGAACAGATGGAGGCCACTGGCAGTGGCGGCTTCATGGAGTTGATCGAGCAGACTGTGTGCCACATCCGCTTCGGCATGATGACGCCGCGCCAGCTATCACACCTGCTAATGGATCCGTTGATCGAGTACCACAAGGAGTTCCTCGTCGAGCGCATTGCCATCGGAATGAGCTATCAGTCGGGCCAGGAGGATCGTGTGCGGGAGGTGCGAGCCACCGAATCGGGTGAGCTGCAGTTTACGCCACGACTCTATTGGAACGACACCTGGAGCGTCGACATAGATGTGCACAACTTTGACGCGATCGAGGACTACAAGAATTATGTGACCTGCTTCTTTTCGCAGCGTCACATAGCCGAGACTGAAGAGGACGGTAAGTAGTGGCGCGCCAGCTGACTTCGATTGACATCTGGAATAAGATTACGATTACTTAATCCGCAGATCCCTGCATGACATGGGAAATCGAGTTTTTCCCGCGAGGCGTTAAGTACAACAAGGCCAAAATGGTATGGGGCGAGGACGTACCAGGCTGCTCCTTGAATACAGTGCGATTACGGGTTACCTGCAAGCACCAAAACATCGGCGAGGAGCGCTTTAAGGTGATTAACGGGCTACCCTTAATATTCTTTTTGGAATAAGCGAGTAGTTGCGATAGTTTCCCAGTGTACTTGTAGACTTTGGGTCATAATCTTTCATGCGTTATTTTTATATTCAGATCGCCGTGCTGATCGTGGGCATGCAGAACCAGATTATGCACATTCGCACAGTTGTGGAGCGTACGGAGTACTTCTCAGATACGTCGCGCGTTATCAACCTGGACAACCTGCTGCCCTACGAGGAGCTGGAGCACACATCACCGTACTTGAGTCCCCATCTGACGGGCACCGCACGAAACACGCTTACCCTGCACGTGGTCATCACGCCGATGGGCTCCCACACCTGCCGGGATACGCCGCCGTTTCAGTTCTAAAACAAAAAAGAAAAAGAAGCGGTGCTGTGGGCATCTCACCTATATCACCTCGTACTTCCCGGCGCATCCACAGACACCTCATGCATCTACAGCCACCACTGTATTTCAGCCTACCATTTACAATTTGTATGTATGTAAAAATCCAATACGACTGCGAATCCCCCTGGGCTCAATCTTTGCGATCCGAACTGGCGGTCTACTACGGACCCCAATCGATCACATCTCGATTGCAATACGATTTGTTATTAGTTTTTTTTTATATTACACTATTTCCTATAAGTAAAGCGCACCGACGGTGTGTGAGTTCTTAGACAGAGCCATATTCACTGATTGATGTTGGCCATAATGGACACGACGCCCATGTGGTTTGGTACGTTATTTATTTTACCATTTCGCAGAAGACTATAGAAAGGAGATTTTCTAATAAAAGGTTAACTGTAAAAAACTCAAAATCGCCAATGGCCAAAACCGACATGGCTCAGAAAGAGAGGGTCGCGTTTGGCTATTTGCCATCTCGTTTGCAAACTGTAGTGCCAATGCATGAGGCATCAGTTTTAATGTTTTACAGCCGATAGATATGTGTAGCCGCTTGTGTGTGCCCGCTAAGGCTTTTGGATCCCTTTACGAGTGCGTTTGTGGCATGGGATTAACCTGTCCGCGTCTCGGGGGCCTATCTTTATGTGTGCTCTGCTGTCCATATAGTCTACAGTGCGGAGCACCAAATGTGGCATTGATGGGACTCCGGTCTCTGGATAGTCGGTCGCCAAGACAAAACGAATATACATATATGTGTAAATCGGTTCAGGTATCGGTCATCAATCGAATTGATTTAATCTTGGCGTTAATGTAGTTGTTAAATAAAATGTCTCTTCAAAAATCAGCTATGGTCTATTATTGAAGTTTGCGTTATCATTAGACTGAACTAAAGACTAGAATTACTGTCATTTAACAATATAATTTAGTGTTTTCGGTTTTAATTTAATTATTGCCTAACGTTGACCAGTCATTTTGTAAAATAACTTCCCCGAAACCTCTAATAAAGGTATAAAGTATGAAACTATAACTTAATGTTTTTATTACCTCCTTGTAGTACAAATATGATAGGCTTGCCTGAGAATATCAATAAAGTATTTTATTTTACTTTAACCAGACTTATTGTTTTATAATTTCGCATGGTTTCCCATTGGTTCTAGGGAAACAATGGATTGCAACGTAAGTTATTGCTTACATGGAAACGAAGTGAAGTAATCCTCTTGAAGTGTTTACCTATTTACGAACTATCCATACCTATAGCTACCATCCCCACATTGTGTCCAGTCGAAACTGTTGCTAGGCTCCAGGAAACATCGCTTCTAGACTCTAGATATCCAGTCCCCAGGGGGCTGTAATCCTAGGCGATGCCATTTACGGCCGGTTGGCATAAGACTAAGCCGATCATTCATCTTGCTTGCTTAACTAACCAAGAACTTAAACACCACGATACTGACTTGCAAATTGCTTGAAGATGGTGCGGTTATTCAAGATTTACAGCTCTTGTTTTCGTCTTTACTTTTGTTGCGGATATCTCTGGCCGGGTTTACGATTGTGTTTCCGTACAGAGCTTTACAGAACACAATTGCTATCGCACTTTGAAGCACGTACCTCTGCGTTCGGATACCCGGACATACTTTTAAGTCCACAGCCCCGCGGAACTCATCAGTTGGCCGTAGACCGTGCCGTCAGCCGCAACGAATCCTTGCTCCGTCTGGAAGATCCAGGACATCATGGATAATCCCGCTTATGTTATAGACTGCGAGCGCGAGTTCGGTGAGTGAAAGAAAGAAATGGTTCTTAGTGGTTGCTACGGTTCAAAGTGAGGTCTAGTATAACATGGAAAGAAAAGAACAAAAATAATAAGTTGTGAAATGTCAGATGCTAGATATTTTAGTAAAATCTGCATAAACGTTTTTTTTACTAGTGAAGTTGGTAAAAAATATCCCAAAGCAATGGTATGTGTTGAATTAAAGGCCATACTTAACTTGTTTTTGTTTGCTATGCTTTATTATTGCCAAAATGACTTTGTTTTTCTTGGTATACATATATAAGATATATGCGGTATATAAGATATATATGCGGTATATGCCCATCAGTTACAGATTCAATTCTATATCGTATGCATATCGTTTATACGTATGTTATTGTTAATGAATTCAATTCTCGTGTCTTTGGATGCAGATGCAGTTTTACTATCTCTCCCTTTCACTTTCTCTTTCTCTCTATCTCTCCCTCTTCTCTAGCCCACTTTCGTGAACTAGCTTTCCCGCTTTTTCGCTTAGTGTAGTTGGTTTTTGATAGGTTTGCATTTAGTGTTTAAGTATGTGAATAGAACGAGCCAATGTCACGTCACACATCGGTTATATGCCCCATATATGTATACTCGAATAACCACATATTTGTTCTTAGGTTGAGCACGCCAGGTTTTATCTTGAGAAGCAAAGCGCTTATGGGTAATACGTCAGCTATTTATAGGCGACTTTATAGTACGAATATCTTATGGGTCATTAAAGTTGTAATTAGGCTTACATTTGTTTATCAGATAATACAGTTCCAAAACTAATATTTTTGTTGAATTTTTTGAAAAGTGTTACATTAATAGTCTGAGATACTTTTTGGGAATGTGTAAAACCTATGAATTGGTACGAGCCAATTTGAATGTAAAGTACAGCGAAATCGTAATAGGGGCATATTTAGAATTACATAATATAGTGTGCATATACCGATATCTGATCATGACATAGTCCTCTTTGCGTGAGGCGATTGTGACTTGGATTGTGTGTGATTCATTCCGATGCTGAATTGTAGTGACATTTATCCGCTTCCCCGTTGGCAAGGGGGTAAACTCCTTGGCTGGGTTACTGGTTACTGGTAATTGGTTATTGGTTACTAGTTACTGGTTACTCGTAAACTGGTTACACTAGGGTTGGCTAATTATTGTAGTTGGTGTAGCGTTCGCTAGCTGCCTGGAAGCAGTGTCCTAGGTGGGGTGAGTTTGCTGCTGAGCTTGGTGAGGTGAGCCGCCTGTGTGATCCGTGATCCGTGATCGCTGATATCGAGTGATTTCCTACTGAAGTGGGTCCCGTAGTATGCGTGTGTGTCCCTTTGGAGTGTGTTCTTGAATTGAGTTGATTGAGTTGGGTGGAGTGGAGTGGAGTGTGGTTGGTACATCGACTATCGTTTAGCTATGGTTTCAACTATCCTTTTGCAGTAGATAACGTTTATTAACCTCTATATGTGGCCAGGCCTGGCTACGTATATATGGACCAGTTTATAGCTCAGTACTGATACAAGTTAAGACTTATATGTAGCAGAAATAAATATACAACCGATCTACTTGCTTTGGCTTTAGTTAACATTTTAGAATAAGCGATTAAAACTTTTGTTCCTAAGTTATTACTATAAATCGTTCAAATTGTTCAATTGCAAACGCATTCTACGCATTAACTGAGATTATATTTGTACGTGTTAATTTCAATATGAAATGTCTAATATCTCTATCAATTTGGAAAACATTAATTGAAATATTATCCTGCTTATGCCAGTACTGAGCTTAACTGAGTTATTTCTCCATTGATATAGGTATGACAAGGTATGGAGGGTATTTCTGCCCATGTGTTAGTCATTTCTTTTTTGGGGCATTTACCATTTCTGTGAGCTAATCTCCAATTCCGATCTTGACTGTAGTGTATATTTCTCTATATGCATTACAAAAAAAAAAAAACTATGAACCGCGATTGGGTGAATCCTGATTGGGTCCAGTCCCTTACTTCTCGAAGATCAGCTCGCCGGTGAGGAACGGATTGAGGTAGGTCTGCGCCTCGTAGCCAGAAACGGAGGCAGTCGTGGTCCTTCGTCGCCCGCCGGATTGCGCCCCGTTCCGCCTCTCACCATGGACATGTCCGTGGGCGTGATGTGAGGGACGCTTCTCGTCGCTGGGGCTCAGGATCAGTGGAATGGGCATCGAGGTGTATAGCTGCAGTTGTGGTGCCTGGACAATGGTTCCTGCCGCCGGATTCAGTGGTGCGTCCATATAACCATGTGGCAATGTGGCCGCAGTGGCCAGCGACGCATCTCCTCCGGCTGTGGCTGTGCTCGGCGTGGAACTGGCAATTGAATTGGCAATGGACAGTTTCTTTTGACCACCGGCTCGAGATCTATGATGTTTGTAGTGACCCCGATGTGTCTTCCGCTTCAGGTGACCCATTCCGGTCACTTCCACCGGCGGCGAGGTGTCCAGGATTAGGGGCATATGAGACTGCTCCGGATCTGCATCCAAGTTGCCCAGGCCCAACTGATCCCCACCCATCGTTTGACTTATGTTGCCGGGTAGCGGGCTATATGGACCTAAAAGCGGCTTCTTGGGCGGCTCCCTGGGATGTGGATGGGGATGCGGATGTGCCTGAATGATGGTGGCCGTGGCAAAGACCTCCTGGAAGCGATTGTTTGCCTCCAGCTGTTGCAGTTGCAGATGTTGGCGCTGCAGCAGTTGTTGGCGTTGCTGCTGCATGTGGCTCAGGATGCGGTACTGCTCGAGGATGTGCTTGTAGAACTGCTCCGCGGTCACTTCCGATGAGTTCAGGAGGCGAATGGCTATTTTTTCGGGTATCACAATTTTATCTGCAAGAATTCGAAACGAATTTGTGTTTAATAGTGCGATTTAAAGTTTAAAATCAGCTGACGACAGCATTCATAGGGACTTATACAGATTTGATTAGTTTGTTACCTATAGGTTTTACTTTATTAATATCTTAACACGTTTTTTATTCAAAATCATTTCTTATGCTTGCTGTGACTATGTTTTATGCCTATTTTCTTAACGCCTTTTGCGAGCAAACACGCCTATTTTTGCAAGTGAATTTTCTAATTTGAAGGGGGCAAAACTTCAAAAGCGAACGCAGCAAATTACATTTAGCTCTGGCAAAGTGCATTCTCGCTCTCATAAATTGCAATTCGTTTGCCTTTCTGGCGTATAACTTTCATTGAGCTCCCAGATTTCGCATTTAATTGCATCAAATTAGATTTATTGAACTGCAAACTGCAAATAGAAAGTACACCAAGGAAAGCTGCACCCTAGCGTGTTTGGGGCAGCGGGTGGCTGGGTGGTTTCGGGAGGTTTTGGGTGGTTCGGGTGTAGTCGTGTGCATGACACCCCATTGACCTAATTTCGAGTTGATTTACAAAAACTGAACAAAAAGCCAAGAATCAGCGGAAGGATGAAGGCGGAACGAGCTCAAACCGAAGCGAGTGGAATATTGTGGGCGGCTTTTAAACGTCCTTCCTGAGAAAGTGTTGCCAATTGCGATATTTTGCCAAGGAATTTGGGTCCCTTCTATTTAAACTTAGCTGTGGGCTAATAACAACTACTTGTGCCATGGTCTATTACATAGTGCTTAGTAATAAACTAAACTCAGACCCTTTCTTCATGCATGCATGTTATCATCGAGTTAAAAAGGAAAAATTGCTTTAAATCATATCAGATATGGCAGTACTTAACCATATTTGTTCGACAGCGTGCACTTTACGTTGAAAACACTTTATATTGAGGCTACAAAAAAGGGTCAACATTATCCTGCCAGCCATCCAAGCCCATCGGTAATGGCTAACTACTAATGGGTAGCCCAGCCCCAACGTCAACCCTAATACCCATCCCCAACCCAATCGTAATACCACTAGCTCTTAACTCTGGTAGCCTAGATTCGGGCTTTGTCCCAGATTGACCGCTGGCCGCAAATTACCCGGCGCGTGATTGGTTTCTGGTTTTTTGGTCGCATGGTCACTGGTCACTGGTTGGCAGTCATCAGTTTGTGATGGAGCAGTTTAGCCGATGATATAGAGTACAGTGATGTGGAGTACAGTGATGTGGAGTACAGTTGATTAACCGTCGCCTTACCGCAATGCGTGGCCTTGGTGACAAATGGCCGGATGGTGGGGTCCCAAATGAAGATGTAGTACAGGGATAGCATGATGGCCGCCAGCGAAACGCAAAGGACATAGACGGCGACGGTCAGGATGCGGATGACCTTGCGGTTGCTCTGCTGCGGCTGGTAGCATCGGCTTATTGTCTCCGTGGGCGGCAGTTTCACTTTCTCCTCCAGCGAACTGTGTTTCGAGTTCATTTTTGATTCGATCTATTCGTTTTTGATTGTTTCGATATGGCTCTTCTTGATTTTGGTTGCTGTCCTAAAAACTTATTTGAATTCTCTTCTCGTGTTTTTTTTTTTCTTTTTTGGCAGTGTCCCGTTATAGTCTAGGATTTTGTATTTGTTTGATAAATGCAAAGTTCTTTTCGGTTTTTAGCTAGCCACATTCGATTAGTTTCACATGTAAATGATATATATTTGATTTGAATTCATTTATTATCGTTGTTTATGCGTGGCGAGCTTAAAAGTACAAAAAAAGGGCGCGCAAAAACTTGTCTGCCAACCGACGCGTCGAAAGTGTGAAAGCGAAATGAGAGCAGAGAGAGAGATTCTGACAGGAGTTGGTACCGTTTTTCGCCTTCGTTCGCTTTTGCAGTTCCTGCTTCGTGCGAGAGCGAATCGGTCTCTCTCTCTCTCACTCGGTTTTTCTTCCTTCGTGGCAACTTCGGCTGCCTTTTGGGGGAGCATTAGCGTTGCATTAGCGATCTTCGCTTTTAATTTCATTCATAAAATCCATCTCTCTCGCTCGTGCTCATTTGCATTTTCGGCTGCCCACGCTCACTGTTGTTTCTTCTGTTTTTCAGTTTATTTTTTTTTCTTTTTGTGTTCTTCTCATTATTTGGCTGGCATTCCTTGAAGGCGAAATAAAAACAAAAACAAACCGCACGTCGGCACGTTGCCGCTCTTTGTGTGTCAAGTGCAGTTTTCACTCCCTCGAAAATCAACGCTCCCCTTTTTGCGTTCTATTCACATACGGAAATTAAAATGCGCGCTTGAATTAATTTTCCATTACTTCAACGATTTCAATGCCAATCAAATGTTTTGCCAATTTAGGCGATTTTTCGCATCGACAAAATCAAATGTTGTGCAATTTGTGGTAGGCCCTTATTGGGCGTTGGGTGGTGTTTGTGGGCGTGAGCGTGGGCGTGGGCGTGGCGGTGCACTGCTGGCTTTGACAGCAACCTTCGCAGGTATCGCGAAGGACGTTCAAACTTTCGCTGCCCCGCCCCCCATAGCCCACCTTTAACCCGCCGTGCACACCTTCGTTTCCCGTTGCCTTCGGCGGGTTAACAAACTGCAACTGGGTCACTAGGACAAGACGAGAGAGAAAATGGGAGAGAGCAACAGAACGAGCAAGAGAGAGCAAAGGGAGAGAGCGAAACGAATGCAGTGCTCGGCGTATTGAAATGCAGACGTGCGAGTGAGAGGGCCGAACGGTATTGCAATGTTGGCCATTGATTTTGTTGTATAAGTTCCACACACACACACACACACAAAGTGCTGGGAAAAGAGATAGCCAGTCGCACACCCACATGCATGTGCAGTTACAGGTGAACTTCAAAAACGGAAACACAGGATGGCAATGCCCAAAAGTATGCAACAAAAACATCGAAATGTGCAGAGTGATATTTATCATATCTTGAACACCCTAGAAACCTATAAACATATTTTATAAATATGTCACAAATTTCAAAGTAAATCTCAGGGTTTTATTAATCAAAAGCTAAAAAAATAATTTAGAACTTTACGAGGTTATTTAAAAGAAAATCTTAAGAGTCGCTAGTGTTATAGTGTTCCAGAAAGATCTACAGGCGCATCTTGTTCGCTAGAACAAAGCCCCACTGTACTTGCACTTAAATGCATATTCATCATGTGGGCCAGGATGTAGGACACGCTCACACTCACACGCAAGTTCACATGCATTTGCCGAGCAGCATTGTTGCTAAGTTTCCTTCAAGGAGTTTAGTTCGCCAACGTGGCCAGGTAGAGCTCTCATCCTGCCTGCTCTGGCCTCGAAATGTTTTGGGCCCGGCCTATTGCATTTTCCATTTTCCATTTCCCATTTCCCCCCATTTTCCGCTTCCGATTGCCTGCAGCCATTTTGCCCATCGCAAGTTTAAGGATGGTTTATCCATCTGCTAACTTATGTGCAGACAAAGCTGATTAAGCAGCTCGGGCAGCCGGAACGATGGGATAACTTGGGCGATGTGCCTTGGCAAGCGAGTAAGGGTAAACTTGTTCCCCCAACATGCATGATACAGAGTTGGATACACATAATTAAACTTAAACTTTTGCTGGCGGAAAGTTTCTGGGCCAAAAACTATGGGCGAGAAGGGTGCTTTATCAACTTAATAAGAACTAATAGCATGACTGGAGTAAATTTGTGCGCCGGAAAGATATTGGCTTGAAATAATTAGACCAACAAGGCTTGCCATTCAAAGTAAAATTTAAAATCAAAAAATGCTGAGACAACATGGCGTATGAGTAACAAAAGCGGGACCCTCTAATATAACTCATACGCCACATGTGCCAGAAAGCAGCAGTTAACGAATGTTGACAATCACCTTTAGGGGGACACCAGAGTTAGTTTCTCTTCGATGGACCGCTGCATTGGATTCTTACCAAAAATGAAAGAACGCTTCTCATGGTTGGGTGCTTTTTTAGTGACTGAGGTGAATGGATAACCAGGCCGCTCTAGCCAAAGGCAGGCGCCTTCTTCTGGCCCTTGTAAACGGGTGGCATGCGTGAGTCCCAGAAGAAGATGTGGTAGATGGACAGGAAGAATCCCAGACAGCAGAGCCCGCACAGATAGATCACGATCACAAAGTATCGGGCAAACCGCTCGGTGCACGTGGGCTCCGCGAACACAATCTCCTCCAGCTGCGGTGACTTTGGCACGTACGATGTGGCACAGGCACTTCTGCGCGGGGCACTGCTGCTGGCCAAGCGCACGCTGCTGCCACTTCCGGTTCCGGTTGATCCCCTGACCGCTTCCTCCAGCACCTCCGCTTCCTCGCTCCTCACATTCGATTCGATGAGATTGACGATCTTGGCCAGATTCGCCATGCTGGCCGCATTGCCCAGGCCCACTCTGCTGGATTCCGACGTAGTGGACATTACTGCGGATATATACTGTTCAGTTCGCGATGCGCCAACTACTGATTTGGAATCGCCACCACGATTAAATCAAAATCACACGAATGACGCCATATCCCCCCGGGCTGTGGATAGTGCAGGGCAAATGGGAATTGGTGGTTCCAACTCTGCGGTTCGGTGGCACGTAGCAAAGCGGATTAGTTTTGTGCCTGGCTGTCAACTTTTGATATCGGCCGCGGGGGCTAATTAAGCCACCAAACCAGACCCGCAAACAGTGTTGACTGCTTTTTGCCAAATAAAATCTCTTCAGCGGCGGCCAAGCTAACCACAATAGCATTAAACTACTTTTGCCAGATGTTAGGGCAAAGTGTAAAGGGCATAAAGCCCTCTGCAAAAAAATAACTTCTACAGGAATGGTCAAATAGGAAAACATGTTATGCAAGTAGTAATGATTAGCGTTGATGCACAACAGTAATGAGAAAACCCGAAGAGCAAAAAGTATAGCATACTTTTTCGCGCAGCTCCTCAAGATTTAACCTCAGTGAATATTTGTGGGTAGTACGTTTGAAAGCCAATCTAATTAGGTAGCACCGATAAAACTGACAAATAGCCGAGCTGACAGCACTGTCTACGAATGGCCCTAAATTCAGTCCGTTGTCGTGGTCAGTTTCACGTGGCCACTCACCCAATTCCGGTCACTGATGTAGCTGGGAGATGGCTAACTAACTGGCTGACTAGCTGCCCTTCACCGTCCGATCCTAGCCAATTGGATGCGTGTGCTTGAACACGGGCAGCGGCGGCATGCGGGAGTCCCAGATGAACAGGTAGTAGACCGCCAAAGTCAAGCCCATACCGCTCACGCCGCCCATGTAGAGCATCAAGGTGAGCAGGCGGAAGGTCTTGGACTCGAAGAAGTCGTTCGACTTGGGCATCGGGATCTCCTCGTCCTTGGCCTCCTTGACCACATCGGCCAGGTTGGCCATCAGTGCTGATTGTCCGCTCATGCTGTCGCTTCTTTTCTGCGATGTGCTGAGTGGGGAGATATACAATGCGATATAGAAAAAGGTGGCCAATTGCAACCGTAACCGCCTCTTCGAACGAACTGAACACAATTGAGCAAGTGCTCCGACTGTCCGTGGATCTGGTCTTTGGTTCTGTTTCTTTTGCTGTTCGTGCTTCCTCGATTTTCGCATTCCGCTCGACGGTTTTTTGCGGTTTCTTTGGGTTTGGGTTTGGGCGTGGGCACCTAACTTGGCTCGGGGTGGAGGAGCGGGTTGGACTCATCGTCTTGGCGGCCACGCTAATAAGATTCGCCAGTTGCACTTTGGGTATCCCAGCCGAGCGCAACCCATTCCAACCGGATCCGCATCACGTGCTGCGTTCTTGGACGCCGTCGACGACCACTTGACCCGGTTAGTCGTCATTGCTCCAATCCTGATTCCACACCCACTTCGCTTTATTCTTCTCCCCCTATTCTTTCCGTTCTGTGCATATGTAGATTCTATATTCATGTTTGGCCAGGGAAATGAAAGTGACGTCGCTGATGGGCAGTGCGTCCAAGAAGGTGTAACCGAACTATAAAGCATCTGGAACTTGTTAGCGCGTTCACATGAATGGTATCGATTGCTGACCTCGAATACAAGTATTTGAAATGGAAGTCTGATATTATAAGTTTATTTAGTTTATTTATCCTTAAACTGCTTATATTTCCTTCTCTTGTAACTGGTAAATATTTGCGCATTTGTATTCAAGGGCATCGCCTCGTCGAGAGTTTCACTTGGGCACTCGTTGCCCCCTTTGCTAGCATTCCCAAATCCAATTAGCAGCAGTCTGCCCTCCTTCCCTCCCTGCCTGCAATTGTGAAGGTACTGGTACTTACCACCCGGCTGGGTCAAGTGGTCAAATGGCCAAATGGTCACTGGTACTCGTGCACCTTCTGCACTGGATGGCCGCCAATGGAGACGGGGAACTTGAGGTGGATGTCCGGCATGCTGGAGTCGAAGAACATGAGATAGTAGAGTGCCAGCACCATGCCCAGGCCACTGATCCCGCCCAGGTACAGAAAGATCGAGATCATGCGGAAGGTCTTCGATTCGAAGAAGGCTGCTGGCGGCTGCTCCTTGGGCAGACGCACGTCGTCATTTTCCTCCTGCTTCTCGCCCAAATCCAAAGTGGACGTGGCCATGATTGAACGCCAACTGAGCTTGGATTCCCTGCAAAGCGAACTGCTTGGGAAAAACTTTAATTATTCCATAAACTCTAGGGTTTCTCTTTGAATGACAATGATTGACTGATCCCTTTTGATTGGTAAACTGGAAAAAAGCAAAATTAACGGTTGACAACTAACTTAAAGATACACGGATACTTGTGCTATTTTTGATTTGAAATTTACAGCATACCTATGCAAATAAGCGATGTTCTGAATCAAATGGTTATGCCTATAATTTATGGATTGTATCACCCACATTTTCGCTCCGTGCAGCAACCATGGCTGGCGCTCGCGAGGAGAACCTGTCGGAGAAGACGCGGCCCCACACTTTCGAGGAGGCCATCACGCTGACGGGAGTGGGCCGCTTCCACTACAAGTTGCTGCTCATCTGCGGCCTGTGCTTCATGGGCGTGATGGTGGAGATCATGGGCGTCAGCCTGATCATGAACCAGATGAAGTGTGACCTTCAGCCGACGCTGGAGCAGCAGGGCATCCTGGCGTCCGCCGGGTTCCTGGGCGTCGTCCTGAGCTCCCACGCCATGGGCTTTCTGGCGGACACTTGGGGCCGGGCCACCACACTGCGATATGCCCTGTGCCTCAGCTCTGTGTGCTCCATTGTCTCCGCCTTCTCGGTGAACATCTGGATGCTGATCGTGTTCCGCTTCCTTACGGGCTTCTTCATCTCCGGCGGACAGGCGTGCGTGTTCAGCCTGTGCGGCGAGTTCCATGGCTCGGGTTCGAGGATCAGGCATGTGACCCTGCTGTCCGGATTCCTTTGCACGGCCATGATCTTTGCCCCCGGTGAGTTCAAGTGCTTTTAAATTCAAACAGTGAAGTGGATTATGATTTACATCTTATATACTTGTAGCTATGGCAATTGGTATTTTGCCGCTGCGGATCGAGACCATTGTCCTTGGAATGCGCTTCTCGTCCTGGCGCGTTCTGCTCCTGGCCAATGTGTCCATTTCGCTGCTGGCTCTGGTGGGGATCAGCGCTCTGCCCGAAACACCCAAGTACTTGCTGGTCCAGGGGCGTGGCGATGAGTCGCTGGCAATTCTGCGCACCATTTTTGCCAAGAACTCTGGCCGAGATCCCTCGGAGTATCCGGTCAAGGAAGTGGCTCTGGAAAGCGGTGGCGCAAGCTTGTCCGATGTCCATGGCTTTCTGGACGCAGTGCGCCTCGTTTGGCACCAGACAGTTCCGCTATTCCATCGCAGCCGCCTGTGGCACACCCTGAACATCTGCTGCATCCAGTTCCTCATCTATTTCCTGGCCCAGGGCATCTTCATGTGGTTCCCCACCATCCTGAACGAGTTGGGCACACGCAATGGCGAGGATACGCTGCTCTGCAATGTCCTGCAGGATTTCAATATTGCTTCTGGGTCTGGAGAGGACGTGGCCAGCTGCTCCGTGGAAGTGGACACCTCCACTTACCTGGTGATGATCATCATCGGCGCCTGCTTTGTGTTGATCTACCTGATCTTTGCCTACATCATCGACTATATGGGCAAAAAGAATCTGCTGAGTGAGTAAACCAAACTAGCGCGATTATTGCTCATCTGATCATCCGACTGATCATTATCCGTTCCAGTGGCCTGGATGGTCCTGACCATAATCTGCTTGGTGGCACTGCACTACGTGGAGCAGTTCGCCCTGGTGGTGATCTCCCTGACCATTGTGATGGCCATTGGCAACTGCGGCGGCCTGGTTAGCACCATAGCCATGGAATTCTATCCAACCCACATCAATGCCATGGGCATGTGCTTCATCATGATGGTGGGTCGCTTGGGCGCCGTGGCGGGCAGCAATATCCTTGGACGCATGCTCTTCGCCAGCTGTGACCCGATCTTCTGGGCCCTTTTGGCCCTGGTGGTGCTCCTCTGCACCTTGGGCTTCTTCCTGCCGGAGAAGAAGCGAGCGCAGCAGAAGAAGCCCTCTGCCACAGCGAAGGCTATTGTGGCTGCCACCACCAGTCCCATTTTCGCTATTAACTCCAAGTAGGATTAGGTAATGCTAGGTAGAGAACAACCCATCGATTCACTCATTCAAATGGCATCCTCTGTCGCTGGGGAGAACTTCCGATATCTTAAATACTGTATATATTAAAAACACTTTCCAAAGATACTTTTTTTCAATATGATTAAATATATATTTATACGCTATTATAGTCTAAAGTAGAGTATTCGTAAGCGTGATACAATCAAGGACTTCTGCAAGTCCCACACCGAGTTGTGCATTAAAAAAAGAACACATTTAAATATGAAGTTAAGCTCTTTATAATGTTTAGGAATGGTGTTGGCAAATAAAACTCCACCAGGTTACACGCAAATGGCTGAGGAATCAAGAGCGGGATCAAGAGCAGCCGCCTTGGAAATGGGATATGGATTAGGTAAATGTTTGTGCCCATTCCTCCGCCAGTGGCGATGGATGTTGTCACCGTGGCAAGAGGCACAAGTAGAAGTAGCTGCATTAACATTCCAGGCATTCGTCGCTGGGCGCAGGGGATGGTGGTCGAGCGGTTCGGGGAGGACTAAACGCATTCCAAGTGCCGTCGCATCACCAACTTCAACTTCAACTGCAACTGCTACTCAAGGTGGCGTGTGGGGCATACTAGTCACTTGCCTACTAGGCTATACTTTTATTCTGCCCAAGCAATATAAAGTTGTTGTAGATGGATTTCTTGTCCGCTCAAGGGTTGTCCGCTCAAGAGAGAACTCGGTAATTTGCACTCAATTCACTTGTATTTGAATCGTAATGTTAATGTTTCTCAGCATATTTGCAGCACTTGTTTTACAGGGTAGAGCAGAATCGAGTTACCCAAACGAGTTCTAGCCAACTTGGCGGCCAGTGTGGTTGTGGGCCTTTTTTATTTTGTTTGTATTTATTCAGCAAAACGGTATTTGCTCCGCCGGCTGGTCACAGTCTGCGCCTGCGTCTGCGTCTGCGTCTGTGGCGGCACCTCCAACCCGTCGATCAGGTAGGAAATGGGCAACCGAGCAAGTGAACAGGTAACCAGGTAAGCAGCCAAATAGCCAAAGAGCCGGGCTAGCTGGCCAAGCAACAAACCGTTGCCAATCATAACACACACGTTGCCACAGTGAAGCCAACCGACGCCGCGACTATGAGACAGTGTCATTGCGGATTCCTAACGCCGATTCCAACTGCAAGTCCAATTCCGATTACCTCCGCCACAATCCCTGGGCCCAAGAAACGATCGCCGGCCATTGATTGCCTAACTGCGCATTTCTCGGCTTATATGGCATTGGCCAGATAACCACCTAACAACTGCCAGTCCCCAGTTCCCAGTCTTCAGTCTTCAGTCTCCAGTCTCCAAGGCCCAGTCTACAGTTCTACAGTTCTTCACTTCTCCAGTTTACGTTTCGGTACTCCGGTGTCCGTCGTCTGAGTGTCAGATTCATCTTCGTTCTGGTCCCAATGCCAGTTCCATTAGCCAACGGCATTGCCATTGCCATGGCCATTGCCATCTTAACATCGCCGATGAGCCATCTGTGGGGGCTAGCTGGGAATCCAGTCCACAGTGCAGGCAGCCCACAACGTCTTGGCCACCGCCCAATGCTGGAGGTGGCTCCGAGTTCACCATCGGAGAAACCCCGATTTTCATTCTGACAAATTTAACAAATATCGTTATCAACAGATGCATCTGGGTCACCTGTTGCAGATACAGAAACAGATAGAGAAACGTAAATGAGTTGGCACAGTAAAAATGGCATAATCACTTGGCAAGAAATAATTGAGTTGGATTTGAAACCATAATAAAGATATATTTCATTATTTTCGATGATTCGGGGTCACCATGTTGCATGGATATTGTGCTGGATACCATCGACCGGCCCACTTACCCATTATGCTGGCCAGTTAGCATCGACATTAACTCAGTGGCGGTATCGCCTCCTCCAGTCACAAATGCCATGGTAATTGCAGCAACACTTGCGATGATGGTTACTAATGGCGATGACAATGGAAGTGTCTAACCGCGGAGACAGCTTCATTTGCTTCTGGGTCACGATGCTCGGTTTCTTTGTTGCTGGTGTCGAATGACTTGGGACATCATTGGTGCCGCAGGTGCTGGGCACAATTCCATCCAGACCAGGTGGGCTCACGGAGGGAATAAACATGGCGCACGCCCCAAATGGAGCAGCATCTGCCGGCGTGTGACAAAAATAGTTAAATAGCCGACTTAGCCAAATTGGCACTTGGCGACCAAGAAGGCAGGAGATGCACTTAAAGAAATGTTAATAGCACACTTTAGTTAAAGAGTGTATCAATACAATTCATTCGTCTTAATAAGTCCTAATTTGTGTAGGAGTTCATTTATTTCCATTTTATTGTATATGTTTATTGAAAGTCGGTGCTTTTCCCTGAGTGTAGCTGCAGACAGCAGTCGGAGCAGAGATGGATTTAGAGACAGCTTTAGAAGTGCGTTGAGGAATTACAATGATGACAGACGGGAGAGGAGCAGGAATACGGGGCAGGGAAGGCGTGTTGGTCCGCCTCCCGACCAGGTGAGTCTGGGGTAAGGGGGGGTTGGTGGGGCAGCGGGCGGACAAAGTGTGCCGATGGATAGCTAGCACGCCAAGTGGGAAGAATGAACGAGCAACTGAGACGGCGACAGACGCCAAATTCAAAAGTGGACTGCGCATGCGTGGAATGGGAATGAGAACGAGAACGCGATTGCGATTGCGAACGGAGCATCAGAGAATCGGAGAATCGGGGAATCGGGGAATCGCACTTGACGAGTTGGGACAGAAACAACTTTGTTGCCCTGACTCCCATGTCGAGCTAATGAAGCGGGCCAAGAGGTGGTTTGGTGGAGCGACCAGGAGGACGCCCGCCAAGTCAAACGTTATTTAATCACAATCGGCAACAACAACAGCTCCAGCCTGCCTGGGTGAAGTAGCTACGACAGGTGCTGCTGCCGCAGCGGTACTGAATCCAAAGGAATGCATCAAGGCACAACAACAAAAACACAAGTCCCAAAGATCGAGGCTATCTTTTCGAACTGGAATATACTTATCACTACTGCGCCAAATGCATTTGTAACTTCTTTCAGTTGATGAGCTGAGTACTGATAGCAGTTTTGAAAACGTTAATGTTTTAAACGAAATTGGGCAATTAATAGGGTTAGTAACATAATTATTTCAACTAAAAGTCACTTAAATCCAAATATAAAATGGTAACAAGTTCTATAAGCTAATTCGTTTTAAGGAACCTCGAATTAAGGAGCTTTGTTAGTTCGCATTCTTCTGGGCCCAGGAATTCTTCACCTTGCTGCTGCTAAAGACATCATGCTCCCAGGTGCCCGAAAGAAGAGGGTATTAAGCAAAAAACCCGATGTGGCAGCCAAGACTCTGGAAGAGGCAGTCGCAGTGGCGTGTGGAGTATGCAGGCGCGACGGCCAATCAATTCTCAGAAATGAAAACGCCGTCTTCGGTGGGTATTACCGTTGCTGTTGTTCTGCTTCTGCCGCTGGCTCTTCTGATTCTTCTGGCTCTTCACATTTCTCCGCCTTGTTGTTGGCACAATTGTGCGATGCAACACACAGCAACAGCCACATAAACAGAAAAGAATGCGAAGAAATGCAAAATGCAAACACCACGAACCACAACACAACCACTTTCCAAATGCATTCATGGTGTTTACCGTTTAAATGCGCCCAGTCTACAAAGAGAGATAGAGGCTGGACGAGGGAAAGAGAGGGATAGAGACAGAGAGAGCAAGAGAGAGCGAGCGAGGAGTAGCCTCTCAAACACGAACAACAAATGTGGAGAAAAGCAGCTGCCAGTAGAAGACCAAGAGGAAGAAGAAGAACGAGGAAAAGAAGAGCCAGCATGAAAACCGTTGCAGATTCTTTGCCAATACCGATGGGAGCGAAAGAGATGGAGCAAAAGATCGCAAGAGGAAACGGATTTTGTTCTTTTTTTGTTTATTGCTCAAATCAGCTCTGATCAACTTCTGTTCCCATCTTGATTAGTTGTCAACGACGGGCGAAAACTGTTTAACCGTTATGAGACGGCAGATCGGTTCCCAGCCCCAAAAAACTAACTTATGCGCCTTGCCCACCTGAAAAGCTGGCTACAATATTTCGCCCTGCCTGCGCACAACATTTTTTGGACGAGGTATGAAGGGTATAACGATTATTTGGATAGTCTATACCAAGATGTTCACTTTTTAATTATTACTTATAAAGCCTTTCTTCATTTTGTACAATAAATTAAAGTTGTAATAAGTATATAATGTAAACTTCAAGCTACCAATATGTGGTATTTTATTACAATTAAATTGCGTGGTTAAAAATACAATCATTTAATGTATGAATAACACTTTAGGGTATCCACTAAGTCGAAAGCTTCTCTACGAAACGATCGCGCCGAAAGTTCAAGTTCAAGTGCGCCAAATTCCCGACGTCGACGTCGGCAGCGCTGCCAGCTTCCAGTGCAGTGGCATTTTCCTGCAGGAAAAGGAGTTTTCCAAATGAAGGGGGCGTTCGATTGGATTTTTTTGGAAATGCTAGATGTTAGTTTTTGTTTATTGTCTGCCTGATTGGCAGGCTTTGTCATTAGGCCGCTTGATTAGCGCCAGCAAAAACAATCGCAGCAGTAACAACAACAACAAGTTCGGGCTGAGCTGTGCTCATTTGCGCAGCTGCCAACGCAGGTGTAAAAAGCTCGTCGCGCAGTCGCAGTCGCAGTTGACGCAGGCAGAGATACTCTCTCAGTGCGGTTGTGTGTGTGTAAGTATGTGTGCTTAGCTTCGCCTGCTTCTTTCGCTGCCTCTCTCTCCCCCTTGCTCTCTTGCTCAATCTTCTGTGCTGCTGCTTCTTCTTCTTGTGCTGCTGCTGCTGCTGTTGCTCTTTCTTCTGCTGCTGCTGCTGCTGCTGCGACCGCGGCTGCTGTTCCCGACAGTTACATTACGAGGCCAAAGAAAGTATCGCCTGGCTGGCTCGCGTATTTCGCGTTCGTCGCTCGCCGAGTCCACACGTGCTGCTGCTGCTAACGGTCGTGATCGGTGATCGTGATCCGTGATCCGGTGCCCAGTGTGCGCTGTCCAGTCCCCCCACACAACAAAAGTTGTTAAAATAAATCAGTTTCAAATAAAATAGAAAATCAATTGAGTAACACCATCCGAAGTGCTTACAAGTGTTAGTGCATTTTTTTTTTATTGTTGTTGTTGCCACTGCCTGTTACCGTTACTTGCTTAAGCTTAGCAAGACACCGAGAAAGAGAAAGAACGAGAAGAGAAGTTGAGAAGAAACGTCCCCGCGAAGTGAGTGTTTCTTCCACCCAAAAGCAAATAATTTTTTTTTGGTTTTTGTCTTGTTTTTGCCATATTGCCAATTTGAATTTTGAGTTGTGTGAAATATCCACACACGAAATGCAACTCCATTCCTTTGGGAGAGCCCAGTCTATGGCTTGCCAATATCTGAGTCTATTTCTTCTGCTTCCTGGGAAGATTTCATTTAGGATCTGCCATTCGCATATCTCTCTTTCTGCTGAGCCAGCTGCACGGCCTGAGTTCTGTGAAACATCCAATCTTTGCCTTTCCAGCATCTTCTGCCTCGTCTTCTTGCACTGCCAGTGGAGCCGATTAACCAGCTAGACAGCAAATGCAGCCGAGCATTTCATGCTTTCTAATTTTCCCAATTAGCACAAATGCGGCTGGCTTGTTGCCTCCGCTTCTTGTGCGCCCCTCGTCCCCGGCTTTCTGCCACTGATTCTTCTGCTGCACCTCTTGCCAGCAGTGTGTCTTCTCAGCCTGGCCAGAATCGAAATCAAAATCAAAGATGTTGCATGCACTGCGCCTTGGCGGCTGGCACTTTCCAAAGTTTTTCCCGTGTGGAAAATATAACAATCATACATAATAATAGTCATAACAATCACACGTACCAAGAAGACGGGACGCGAGAGTTAGAGCCCCATAAAAAACAGCAACATCATCTGGCGGATCATATTCCCACACGCCCAGCAGGTGCACTATTTATTGACCGTACCCCAAAATCCCCAATTCTCCCTGCCCTGCCCCCAGCTCCCTCACAACTCGCATACACCTGTCAAATGGCAACTAATCATCAATCAGCCGCCATGAGCACGGACTTCTCTCGGACTGAAAAGTCTCTGATGACGATGATGATTCCTCTTTATTTGCGTTACGTGTTAGGCGGTCCGGTTCGGTTTGGTCCGTTCTGTTCCGATTTCACTTCTGTCCTCCTCTGCTCTTACATACATATATACCACACCATTTTGCTTCTTTTTTTTTTGTTTGTGCCTCACTCACATTTTTAATGCATTTGCCAAACGCAGAGCCGGGATTGCACAAAAGCACGGAGACATAAGGAGTCCAGAGCAGCTGCATCACATTCAGCTGTGTCTTGACCTTCGGAAAGATTACTCTTTATCGGTAAGTTACAAATATTACTAACTAACTTTGTGGGTAAACTAGCTTTTTATTGATAACGTTTAGTGCTAGTTGGATTAGCTTGCTCTTTCCAGGATTCCAAATAGAAATTGTTGTCAGATGACTTAAGTGCATGTGGTGTTTTACTAGGCAGTCAGCTATTGGTGGTCTTTATCAGGTTTCTTAGCTTTTATTGCTGGATTTGCCAGCATACTTAAATCAAAGGACGTAAAGCCAGAACCCCCAATTCCCCGCACCCCATCGACTTGGTAATTAATTAAATAACTATTTTGTATGGACGATGGTCGATACGAGCCAGACGGATAAGATGAGGATGAGTGGCAGAAGCAAGTTTATTAACATACTACTTTGACACCTTTTGCTGACCACAGTGCCACCATTAAGCCGTGTGGCAATGCGACAGGCAGCAGATTAAATGTTATGACAACTTTCTTCACTTGTCTAGTCTGGGAATTTGTCTGCAGCGAGCAGATAAATAGAACAGATCTTTGCACAGATACGGGGCCAAGCAGATGGAGAAGTGAGTGGTAGCGGTGCAAATGCATTTGATCCGTTTTGGAGCGCATTAAATGCACCGTTAACTACTTCGAATTCTAATTAAGCTGATGCGACAATCCAAAGCACGCCGCTGTGGCACAATAAACTCAATTCCAGGAGGCCAGATTGGCAGCAGCAAACAAACACGCGACTTGGCCATAAATGCAACGCCAAGTTGCAACCAGCAAGTTGCAAGTCTCGTTGTCGCATTCGCATCGGCTCGCTATTGGAATCGGTATCGTACAACGGCAACTATCTCCACGCTGGACTATCTCTTTGTTTGGACCCAAATGATTGGCTTTAGCCATTATTGGTGGGACCCTAAGCGGCTTTACCCTTGCCCCCTAGCTCTTTTCGATTCAAGGTCTGCCCCTTCGTTTCTTCATTCATTGTTCCCGAGCCTCTCGACTCGTCTCATCGATGACGCATAATTTATGATCTGCTGCCGCGATCGACCCAGTAAATTCTATTCCCAGTGCTCTTTCACATCCATATACCATATTCACATTCGCAGATACATCGTGGTAACAGTAGATACATGGATACAGTAGATACAAATACAGATACAGATACAGATACGAAGACGTGCACAATATGCAGATGCGGATACAAGATAAAACCTCGTCGACAAGTCTTTTCTTTCACAGAATGTTAATTTGTATTCAGCCAACATCAAAGATACTTTGGACACTGGAAAATATGTAGATTGGGAAGGAGGGGAGGGGGGGATGGTGTTTGAGATGCCGGCGTCTCGTCGTCTAACTGTTCTTTGCCTTTCTACAAACATTCCATAATGAAATGGAAACTTTTCGTGGCACATTTCGGCCTTTAGTGCATCTCTGGTCCAATCAAGTGGTTAGAAAAGTGAGAGTACTGATCGACCCAATGGGGCTCATAAAATTAAGATCTCTCAAACACATTGAAAAAACGCCTTTTGGAAAAAATTACAAATTTTTGATGGTCATTTTAATCATAACTTGGCTATAAATTGTCAAAAAGATGAATAAAAAACTGTTTTGTGCAGCTTATTTCCCATACTAACTATCCCCATCACTTTTTGTAGGGTTTTGAAAAAATTAATTTTTGGTCAATTTTTGCATTTTTTGTAAGGGGTAACATCATCAAAATTTGCGAAAAATGGCAAAAAATTAAGATTTTAACTTTTAAATGCAGTTTGATTGGAAATTTAATGACGAGCTCAACGAGATATGACATTCCACATTCGGATAAATATTTTGAAAGTTTTGGCTAAAAAACTGATTATTTTATGACTGAAATTCGGAAAAACGACTTTTGGAAAATAATCAATATTTTCGATGGGCATTTTAGTCATAACTTGGCTAAAAATGGTCGTAAAGATGAAAGAATTACTGTTTTGAGCAGCTAATTACCAAATCTAACTATCCCTGTCACTCTTTGAAGGATTTTGAAAAATTAATTTTTGGGTCAATTTTTGCATTTTTTTTAAGGGGTAACATCATCAAAATTTGCGAAAAATGGCAAAAAATTAGGATTTTAACTTTTAAATGCAGTTTGATTGGAAATTTAATGACGAGCTCAACGAGATATGACATTCCACATTCGGATAAATATTTTGAAAGTTTTGGCTAAAAAACTGATTATTTTATGACTGAAATTCGGAAAAACGACTTTTGGAAAATAATCAACATTTTCGATGGGCATTTTAGTCATAACTTGGGTAAAAATGGTCATAAAGATGAAAGAATTACTGTTTTGAGCAGCTAATTACCAAATCTAACCATCCCCATCACTTTTTGAAGGATTTTGAAAAATAAATTTTTCGGTCAATTTTTGCATTTTTTTTAAGGGGTAACATCATCAAAATTTGCGAAAAATGGCAAAAAATTAAGATTTTAACTTTTAAATGCAGTTTGATTGGAAATTTAATGACGAGCTCAACGAGATATGACATTCCACATTCGGATAAATATTTTGAAAGTTTTGGCTAAAAAACTGATTATTTTATGACTGAAATTCGGAAAAACGACTTTTGGAAAATAATCAATATTTTCGATGGGCATTTTAGTCATAACTTGGCTAAAAATGGTCGTAAAGATGAAAGAATTACTGTTTTGAGCAGCTAATTACCAAATCTAACTATCCCTGTCACTCTTTGAAGGATTTTGAAAAATTAATTTTTGGGTCAATTTTTGCATTTTTTTTAAGGGGTAACATCATCAAAATTTGCGAAAAATGGCAAAAAATTAGGATTTTAACTTTTAAATGCAGTTTGATTGGAAATTTAATGACGAGCTCAACGAGATATGACATTCCACATTCGGATAAATATTTTGAAAGTTTTGGCTAAAAAACTGATTATTTTATGACTGAAATTCGGAAAAACGACTTTTGGAAAATAATCAACATTTTCGATGGGCATTTTAGTCATAACTTGGGTAAAAATGGTCATAAAGATGAAAGAATTACTGTTTTGAGCAGCTAATTACCAAATCTAACCATCCCCATCACTTTTTGAAGGATTTTGAAAAATAAATTTTTCGGTCAATTTTTGCATTTTTTTTAAGGGGTAACATCATCAAAATTTGCGAAAAATGGCAAAAAATTAAGATTTTAACTTTTAAATGCAGTTTGATTGGAAATTTAATGACGAGCTCAACGAGATATGACATTCCACATTCGGATAAATATTTTGAAAGTTTTGGCTAAAAAACTGATTATTTTATGACTGAAATTCGGAAAAACGACTTTTGGAAAATAATCAATATTTTCGATGGGCATTTTAGTCATAACATGGCTAAAAATGGTCGTAAAGATGAAAGAATTACTGTTTTGAGCAGCTAATTACCAAATCTTACCATCCCTATCACTTTTTGAAAGATTTTGGAAAATACATTTTTGGGTCAATTTTTGCATTTTTTTTAAGGGGTACCATCATCAAAATTTGCGAAAAATGGCAAAAAATTAGGATTTCCAAATTTGAATGCCAATAGATTGGGGATTAAATTGCGAGCTCAACGAAGTATGGCAATCCATAGTGGGACCATTATTTTCAATGTTCTGGCCTAATAACTGATTATTTTCAGGAGGTAAATAGAAAAAAAGGAATTCAATTGGCTATTTAGATGTGAAAATGACGCAGAATCCAAAGCCAAAAGCCACAACAGCGTGGGCTTGAGTATATGAGTATATTTTAAGGTCTCGATTCCTCTTCAAGCGCAGAGTGCCAAGTGACCCAAGGGCACAGCGCATCGAGGAAACTCTTGAACACTCTCTGGCATAAACATGCCCAATAAAGAAGTTAGCTATTCGTCTGTGCATCCGATGATAAGCAGCTGGATGGCTAGATGGCTGGGATGGCTGTGCCGTCGAGACGGTCTGCCCCATTGCTACCAGCTCCAAGCTCCAAGCTCCTCAATCCCCACTCCGTGCTCCATTCTCGATTCCGACCAGCAGCATTGTTTGCACTTGACTCTGGTGGCAGTGAGGCAGTGGCAGTGGGAGTGGGAGTGGGATTCCGGGTGGGAGTCATGGATGCTCATGGAGGTTGGGGGCTCTCAGTTGGCAGTTGTCATGTTGACAACAGACTGCCAAACAAAAGTTTTGCTGCAACGAGTTAAAAGGCGGGGAGGGTGGTTTTGGAGCTTTGCAAATGGGTCTTCAAGCCGAAGCCATGATTCCCAGACTCCGGGCCTGGCCCAAATTTGAATGGCAACTGCAACAACTGTCGGAGGAGGAATTGCTATGCCATAGTTGCCATAGTATGCCATGGTATGGTGTGGTGTGGTGTGGAATGGAGTCAGGGGCCATTTGACACGTTCTCGGTCTTTGCCAGCGCCATTTGAACGTTTTCCAGCTGCAGAATAGCTGTTGACAACTGCTGCAACAACTGGGAAACGATGTCATCTTCACTGTCACCCCACATCCCATCTCGCTGCCATGAGATTTAGTGGCAAATTGTTGCCATCTTCGAGTGGAGGCTCACAAATTTAATATTCTGAAGCTATTAAGTCTGGACTGTGCACCAGCTTGTTTGGAAAACTTAAGTTCGTAAATTGGTCATCTCTATGGATCTGCTTTAGTTGCTGAGCCGGCTTTTCGTACCAGCCTAATTAAACCGAATAAAATTGCATTTGGGGATTGTGTTTCGCCGAATGCGCACCCGAAATAAAACGAAAAAATATGAAAACGGTTGCCAAAAGTGGACAAACTTGCTGGAAAAAATAAAGGTGGCTAAGTCGGAGGTGGCTAGCTGGTTTGTAACCAGTTTAATTAAAAGAAAGTGAACCATTTAAAAATGTATTTTGATTTCGGCATTGCTTTTCCCATAGCCAGCCAAAAGCATCATTATCATTATCGTGATTATTGTGCTTTTCACTGGGGCTTGGCTAGCTAAAAATACGAGATGGTATACTCGTATACATAGATGTATCTCATCAAAAATAAGCCAACGAAAAGTTATGTACGTTTATATCTATATCTAAACTGAAATGAAGCATGGGCAGGTGATTTACCGTTTGCTTTTTGCACAGACCGTTATTCGATTCGAAAGTGGTCGGCGCCATCGGCATTTCCAACTCGGATCCAACTCTAACTCCAACTCCATTTCCACTTCCATTTCCACTGGCATTTCCATTTCCACAAGAAAAGTGAAAACTGGGGGAACCGTAAGCAAAGTTCGGCTTCGATCGCCTTTTGATGCGACAATTTCTATGAGATTTCGATTTCGATTTCGATTGCGCTTTGATTCGATTTTGATTCGAATTTGATTCGTTTTTGATTCATGTTCATTCGCCTCGATGACTCGATGCATAGTTAATGAGTCAACGACTGGATCGCATCGAGTCGGATCTATTGGAGTGTTGCTTTATGTTTTTTTTTTATTTTGGCCATATAAATAGGTGGCTTTTAGGGGGCCCAATTCACAGAGCGTGTCGAGTTAACTTCTACTTTTCCGCTCTTCCGCTCTGCCTCTGCCTCTGCTTCTGCCCCTCCGCGCGTTGCAAGTGCGGTACTGTTAATTGCAACGCGAGCAGTGGAAGAAGACGAAGAAGAGGCACCACCATCAGCGGCGGCGTCATTAATTAAGCGCCACTAGAGCGTGCAACACGCGGCCAAAGAGCTCCATCGCACTTTCTTTGGCTTAGTTAGTTAGTTAGCTTGCCAGTTAGTTAGTTTGCTAGTCATGTCCCCAAGCGAGCATCCCAGCGATGGGAAAGGTGCTACATTTCTGTGCTAAAGCCCAAAAAAAACCTTGTCTTAACTACCAATATCATATAAACGTGCTAAAATATGAAGCTTGGATACGTTGAGTGTACGCACAGTTAAGTTCCAAATCCATAAACTAATCCATAACTTAGTACGGTAAAGAGACCCACAGATCCGTAGATAACACCCATCAGTGCCCCCGGCTAAAAGCTCTTAATTGGACGCCCTCTGTCGGCGCTCATGCAAATTAGCACCTGAGTTACAGTTAGTCTAGCCGCAGTCTAGGTTTTTTTCTTTCTATTTGGGCGCTACTTGGCAATTTTTGGGCTTAAATACGACCAGTTTTCACTCTTCACTCGCCAGGTAAAAGCCGAACATAAAAAAAGTAGAAAAAACAATAAACAAGTGGGGAGAAATTAATTGGCTCCGAATTAAAGACAAATAAGCATATCGGCTGTTTACCGTTTACCGTTGATGCTATATGAAGTCGGGGTGTTTTTTGTTTCTTTTTTTTTTATTATCTTTCAGTTTTTTTCTTTTTATTTACAGTTCTGCGCGAGATTCTCCAGTGACCGCATTTTTTCGCTTCATTCGGAGGCTTGTCCATCATATTTTCGTGCATTCGTATCTGGCATTCGGCATCTCGAATCCATGGATACGAATTCGCTTTGTTTCCAATTTCATTTTCACCTGTTTTATAGCCGCGCACCTGGGTAAAAGTGGGCACACGAATCGCACAATGAAAAGCAGACAAGAAATGAGATTTTATTATTATTATTATTGCTCTATGGATCGATCTCTGATCTGTGCACTGTGGGCTTGACCGACCAACCGACCAACCGACCGACTGACTAACTGACTTACTGACTATCTGATTGATTGATTGATTGCCGGCGTCTCCTTAATTGCTGGTCGATCTGGTGAACAGGGAAAGTGCTGCCAACGCACAATCGACCGGGTAAATATTTATCGTATTTATTTAACCGCCACTGTGTGCGAAAGAATTGAACAAATTGGAAAGTTTGCAGTGAAATTTTGGGCATCTAATGGCAATTAATGGCATTTCATGATTCTCTGCGCTTGAAAAGGTTCTACAACTAGTTATCAACGGGGAAACGGCACAGTTCTCTAATTGTGTTCATAACTACATTTTATAATAACTTACCAAATACTTTGTGCCAAAAATTCACAGAGAGGAAGATGCAGTATATGCAAAATGCAACCAACATTAATTGTTGTATTTAAAAAAGAAACTGATCCTTAAAAACAAATGTACTTAAGTGTTACTTCCCGCTGGGAATATATGTCTCAATAAATTAGTTTGACATTTGGCACATAATGGTGCTGTGGGTCACCAAGCGGATTTTTGCCCCGCCTCATGACTCACGACCAGTGGAGTTACCTCCAAATCCACCTCCGGCTCCGGCTCCAACTCCATCCCCAACTCCATCTCCATCTCCAACTCCAACTCCACCTCCATTTCCATTTTCATCGACATCGATCTCAGGCACCTCAATTTGCAATGTTGAAATGACGCCCCCGGGGGTCCCGTGATCGAATGGATCAGAGTCGATGGCGATCGGCAGGTTGCAAGTTCCAAGTTCGGGTTCGAGGATCAGGTCCGGCGAAATTGGCCGCCCGGCCGTTTATTAAATTTCAATTTGTTTATGGCTTCTTTTCGTGGTCGCGGTCGCGGTCGCAGCCTCACATTTGCGGCCATTTCACGTAGTCGGGCAATTTTCGGCCGATCATTTGGCCGTTTGGCCAATGGTCCAATGGCATAGTGGTCCAGTGGTCCATTGGTCCATTGGTGCACTGGTGCATTGGTGCATTCGCCGGGGGCGTCAGGTTAAGTGCGATCTGGCCCCGGATACGGGCAGAGCGCTAATGACGAGCATCGACATCTTTATTACCCCAACGGGCTCCATGGACGAGCTCCAAAAAATGGAAAAAAAAAAAAAGAACCCAAGGAGCGATGTGCATGCGAGTAAGGGCCTTTAACAATTGATATTTAACATACGAATTGGTTGGAGGACGACAACGATGATGATGATGACGATGTGGCCGCGCCCACTCTGTGTTCTTGTGCCGCCCCACAAAAAGAAAAAAAAAAGAAAAAAAAAAAACAAAAAAAAAAAGAAAAAAAAAACGAAAAAAAAAAGAAAAAAAAACGAACAATTAGGGAATTTCATGGGAAAAGGAGAAGAAAGGCCAAGAATTCGATGGGAAGAACGTCTGTGAACTGGGCTGTAATTAAGTCAGCTGGAATTTGCCTAAAGATACTGCCATTCAATCGAAGGATTTAATTTAGATGTATTTCGTGATTAAACTCCAGTACTATTAGTCGCGTAAAGATATAAATTCCCTGAAATTTCACTTGTTGCAACTACATTTAATGAGTTACGTGTTCCAAATAGAGTTTAGGTAGTATTGACACTCGCTCCCTTCAAATAAGTTAACCCAAACTATCCCGATTCTGGTTTCTTGCCCACAACCATCATCAGGGCAATGGGATCAGGAGATCAGTCAATCTCTGAGTGCAATTGCCGCAATTTTATGGCCACATTTACTGCGGATCACGACTTTCGCTCCCTCAACCTGTAGCTGCAAACCGAATTCGTGCCTTTAAATCGATTGCTTTCTTTGAAAGGTATACTATAGTGCAGCACATAGCGCTCAGTTTATTGTGCAAATGGGATCAATTAAGAGTGTGCAATTAATTGAATACATGTGGTACAGTGCTGATTGGCTTGCATGGACGTAGAATAAGTAACACACACGCAGTGCAGTGAAAGCGTTTCAATTACACGTATTTCTGTTGTTTGGGGGGGCGAACAGCTGATTTCTACTTTCTAACACGGCGCTACATGTATTCAGCATTATTTAAATTGTAGGGAAATAAGATAAATACTATGAGTGACAGAAAATAACATTGTTAGAGTGTGGCTTGGATTTTTCACCATTTGTGTTGCCCAATGAATGAGCAATCCATTAAAAAAGAGGTGAAGAGTGAAAACCAGTAAGACCCCTTCTGCGTGGCCCTCTTTTAAGCATCCAAGTCGAATTCTAATACCACTCATAATTGGGGTAGTCCCCGAACCCAACTAACTCTCCAACTTACTCGACTAATATCATTTTTTTTCCTATTTTCAGTTCCGATCGCCACGCCCACAGCCCCAACATGTGGAGCCCACAAAAAGGCCCTACACGACTGTGGGACCTTAGGTTTAGTAGCTGTATATTTATCTTACACTTAATGGTGAGTAAGGAATCTAGTAAATAATAGAATAAACAACAAACAGAACATTATCTTATCTACCGAAACGCCGCGAGAGGGAATCAAATTGGTTTGATAAACAAATGTTTCGTTTACAGCACATAAAGCAGTCAGGAAAGTTAGAAATGGAAATGGTTTCCTAAAGAGTTTATATATATATTTTATAATTTCGTAACGTCTTAATTGAAATACTTAAACACAATTTTTGGTGGCACTTGAACGAGCTCAGTGGGTTAAAATCTCATGAGATATCACACTCGATCAAATTTGTGCCTAGTGGATCCAGTTCCAGCTGTCGTAAACACAGGAGCAAGTGCATCCAGTGGAGGATTGTACGCCTAGAGGTTTTCGCCCACGGGCTTGATCATCAGCTCGTGGATCTGGACATTCGGCGGGGTTTGGATGCAGTAGCTGATGGCATCGGCCACATCCTCGGCGCGGAGAAATGGCATGTCGGCCAAGCCGGCGAGGGCCTCCTTGTCGATGATCTCGGTGTCCACGGCGCCGGGACTGATGCTCTGCAAACCCAGAAGAGAGATATTTTAGTAGGGGTTGATCGAAAACCCTGGTAATCCCTGCCCACTTACCGTGATCTTGGTCTGGGTCTTGGTGTTCCTGAACTCGTGACGCAGCACCTCCGTCAAGGCGGTGACGGCATACTTCGATGGCGAATACATGCCCATGGTGAGGCCGGGGCTATTGATCACCCGGTGTCCGGCCACACTGTTGACAATCAGGATGTGTCCATCGTTCACGTTGCGCTTCTGCAGGGACTTGAAAGCCTCGCGGGTGCACCACGAGACTCCCAGCACATTGGTATCCAGAACGGCACGCAGATCGGCGGCATTGCCCTCGCTGGTGATGCCCACTCCGAGCCGTACAATGCCAGCATTGTTCACCAGCACATCCGCGCCGCCCAGAGTGGCATCGATCCAGGCGAAGGCGTCGATCACCTCCTGCTCCTGGCTCACATCGCACTTGCGTCCATGGAAACGACTGGCCTGTTCCGCCGGCAACGAATCCCTCAGCTCCCTCAGCCGCTCCTCGCGCCGTGCCAGACCCACGACCACCAAGCCCTTGGCCACCAAATCCTTGCAGCAGGCAGCTCCGATTCCCGAACTGGCGCCCGTGACCACAGCAACGCGATTTAGCCAACGCTCCATAGTTTGCACTTGCTGTTTGAACTGATCTCTCAATGCCCACCCACTTGCTTTTATAGATCGCCAGCCCGGTTCCCCACAGAACCGACCAGTTCCGAACTTAGGTACTAGAGTATTTCACCACTCGTCTCCATTTGGCCCGAATCCAAAACGTTCTCACCGTTCGGCCGCCGTTTTTCAATTGTAGCGTAATCGTGACTCGGCACAAAGCCACAACTCATTCTAGAAAGATAGCCTACCCTTTGATGATAAGGAGAAGGCGTGTGAGTGGAATCCACTGTGGGTCAGCACATTTGGTGGGGGCTTCCACATTGTGTCGTTAGTTTGCGGCGCTCAATTAAAGTTTCACACAGAATTCGCTTTTTGGCCTTGCAACTCATTCCATATAAGTAGTTTGTTTTGCTTCCAAACTATCAAACTCATTGATAGCATTAATAGCTTGGCATATTATCAAACTAAACACTAATCGAGAAACAAACTCAAGCAATAGTTATTGTAAACCGAGGTGATAGTCCTAGGGCTTATTACGTATACGTTTGAGTTTGATTATTGCGTATACGCACTGTGGCCAGCGATTTTATATCTAAACTATTCGCTGGCTTGATCAAGATGTAAAACAATTACATCGCATTTGCATAAACTAATTTATACAGCAACAGGCAACTGGAATCTTGCGGCGACGTCAGACAATGTGGCACCAGCTAGGAACGGGTGCTATATGCCCGGTTATATATATCCATATAGTTATATATATACAAATTTTATGTGTATATACCCACTCATCCAGTAAGGCAACTTTTACTGCGGAGGGGCACGCTAAATGCAAATTCCTCGCTAGACTTCCCTCGATGTGATTTGGCTGATCGAAGCCGATCTATGCGGCATGTGGCAAGGCAGTTTGGGGCAGGTATCGGTGTGCAAGTATGCAAATATGCAAATGCCAGGCGCAACTACCTCCCGAAAACCACAAGCCCCGCTGCATCATGGGAGCACAGGTTCCAGCCAGATCCCCTCAAAAACCAAAACGGATGCAGGCCAAGTGGAATTCGCTTTCCCATTTCGATTGGCCTTCATTGGCCACCGAAATGGGGGGATTCGAAGACTGCAGACCGAGGAGTGGATAGCCTAAAGACTGAAGACTGGAGCGACTGGAGCGACTGGATTGCCGTTTCGTTTTTATTGGCAACACGTTTGTCAGGTGCCAGGTGCCAGGTGGCAGGTGGCAGGTGCCAGTGGAACCGTTAGGAGCCCACCCACAAGGCTGACCATTAAATTCGGGATCGAGACTAGCCAGTTACTGCTGATATCTATGCAACTTGTAGTTCGTAAAAGAGTTTTACGGGAAATTCCAATCTTTAAAAGGTTCCTCACTACGTTTAGACCGCAATACATAGTAGTTTGCTTCACTTGTATGCAATTAACGCGCTTTTTTCAATTACAGTTTAGTTTAGTCATAGCTGGTAATGAACTGTGGCCCATGGAGCGGCCAGACGGGATGCCCAATATCGTCTCACTGGAGGTGATGTGCGGCAAGGATCACATGGATGTACATCTCACCTTCTCGCACCCGTTCGAGGGCATCGTCAGCTCCAAAGGTGAGTCGTCTTCATCCAGTTGGGAAATTATATTATTAATATTATATATTACTCTCCCCCTAGGACAACACAGCGATCCGCGCTGCGTCTACGTGCCGCCCTCCTCGGGCAAAACGTTCTTCTCATTCCGCATCTCGTACTCCCGCTGCGGCACCAAGCCGGATCTCAACGGACAGTTCTACGAGAATACGGTATGTGTTTGGGGCGCAGCTCGCTGAAAATCTGCTTAATCTTCTCCTTAATGCGCCAGGTGGTGGTGCAGTACGATAAGGATCTGCTGGAAGTTTGGGACGAGGCCAAGCGACTGCGCTGCGAGTGGTTCAATGACTACGAGAAGACCGCCTCCAAGCCACCGATGGTGATTGCCGATCTCGATGTTATACAGCTCGACTTCCGAGGTAAGTGCTTCACCAAACTGATAGACTAATGCGTACCTATTTTACTCACTTGCACCATTAGTTGTGATCTTACGATGGAAGAAAAGACATTAACCCTTCTCGATCTTGCAGGTGACAATGTGGACTGCTGGATGGAGATTCAGCACGGCAAGGGACCCTGGGCGCCGCCAGTGAGTGGAATTGTACCACTCGGCTCGACTTTGACGCTGGTGGTGGCCATCAATGATTATCGAGGTGAGTTCAGGGCTACTTTGCGAGTGCTAGAAGTAATGAAGTCCATACTCGATCTCCGCCAGGCGAATTCGATATGCGTGTGAAATCCTGCGTGGCCTCCGATGGATCTGGTCATGTGATCAACCTGTCCGATGAGTTTGGCTGCGTGCTGCGCCCCAAGATGATCTCTCGCTTCCTAAAGGCCCGTGCTCCCGACGAGAGGGCCACCGTGATCACCTACGCCTTCTTCCACGCCTTCAAGTTCCCGGACGCCCTGAGTGTGCACATCAAGTGCAAGGTGGAGATCTGCCGGCACGGCTGCCTCGATCATTGCCAGAATACGGGCGTGGGCGGTGGTCATGGCGGCGGTTCCGCCGAGAGTCTGGGCTTGGGTCTCGGCCTGGGACTGACCAATGCCAATGAGCGCAAGGATGTGCACATGTCGGATGCAATGGGCAGCAGTAGCAACGATCTGCTCAGGGATTTGGCACTGCCGCCGGGCGGGCAACATGGCATGGGAATGGGTCCGGATCACGACATCTTCTACGAGGACATCATCCACGACCACAAGCAAACGCTGGGCGGCGGAGGATTGCCAGCTGGCGGGGATTATGGTCACGAGAAGAGTGTCAATCTGCAGCCACGCCCCGTGCACGAGGAGCAGGAGGAGGTGGATCTCTCAGATCTGTTTGGCGACGAAGATCTCGCCGACTTGGACATGGAAGGCAGCGAGGGCGAGCGGTACTTGGGCCTGAAGAAGAGCGGCAAGTTCCCACACGGTCCCCGCCAGCTGGAGGCCCAGAAACGCATGGGTGTGCCGATGGCGGGACCTCGTTCCCTGGAGCCACATGGCCATGGGGATGAGGACGTGCCGCGACCCGTCTACAGGCCACAGGCGGAGGCGTTGAAGCAGCCACGCGAAGATCACATCGATTTGGACAAGGAGGAGGAGGAGAAGGGGCAAAAGACGCAGCAGGAGGACAAGCTGGCAGGAGAAGCAGGTGCAGCAGGTGGAGCAGCCAGCAATGATTCCTCCAAGAGCCGTCGCCGTCGGTCGTTGGTCATTTCCGATCGCAAGGTGCGCAGTGCCGACGTGGGCGTCAGCGGTCTGTACGACGTTATATCCGAAGCGGACCTGGCCTTCTCGCCGGACTCCAAGCAGGAGGCGGTCACCGTGTTCCAGGGCAAGATCAGCGAGGAAGTCGTCTACGGCATTTGCATGCCGGTGCCCGGCTTCAGCATTCTGTTCATCGTTGTCATCTCGGCAACGATCGTGTCCGCTCTGGTGGCCGGTTCCCTGCTCTATCGCTATCAGCTGCAAAAGGAGGCGCTGGAGAAGCAGACGCCCATGCCGGTGACCGGAACACTGGCCTCCTGGATGACCCTGCGACTCTTCCGCCTGCGCCACATGCAACAGCAGCAACAGCAGCAGCAACAACAGCAGCAGCAGCAGCAACAAGTGAGGCAGCCGAGTTCAGGACATGAAACGGTCCAGTGATCGTCCAGGATCGAGATATAGATCGCAATCAGAATCGGATTGAGAATCGGAATCGGAATCGGAATAGCAAGCGAAAGCGAATTCAAAAACGATATGGAAACCAGCAAAAAGCAAAATCAAATAACGTTGCCCACATCTATGCCTTCCATTATTATTTATTTATTATGATTATTGTTTTTTTTTTAATGTATTATTGGGTTGTTTGTTCGGGATCCTGATCCAAACAAAAAGAGATATATGGTGCAGATATCCGATATCAGATATCAGAGATCGGGCAACAATGCAATACTCAAACTGCTCGATTCGGTGCTGAATGTTCTACAGGTTTTTTTTTGTAATTTGTTTTTTGGGTGCATTTAGTCGTAAAATTGCATAGAGAAAATCATAGAAAAATAATGCAAAAGTACACAAAGAGAGAGATGCACTAACAAAATGTAATCAAGACTCCGGAAAGGTGCTCCAGGTTTAAGGAGATGGATGTTATGCAACGCATCCACTAGGCGTAAGGGAACTTATTTATTTATATATATATATATATCTATAAAGTATGCATACGAGATTTAGCTGTAAGTCGCGTGGTATGGAAATTTTTAATTTTATTATGCTTTTGGACACTTGTTTAGTTTTTTTTTTTGTGTGCTCTTTTCGATCGGCATCCAAAACACATTTAGGGGAATTTTTAGTTAAATTTAGTACATTCTCACACTCACACACACTCATAAAGGCACAGACTTGCTGACGCACACATACAAAACCGACCATTTTCCATTGAAAGTATAAACAAAAGAAAATGCAACTCCTTGCGTGCATATTAAAATTTAAGCGCAAATTTTGTAACTGAAAAATTGACAATTGAATAAAGACTAGTTGAGATGAAAAATAAAAGACCTGCCATTGTGGGAATTCATTAATAGCTTTATAATCCACACCACTTCCACTTGCCAAGGTGTCTAAAAGTATGCAGTAAAAAGTGGAACGAGGACTTCCTAAACAAATTCTTCGACTTCCGCACTTTATAAATATTGTTGCATACTTTTTGAGGCACTGTTGATATGACTTCTTTAATAACTATGGAACACTCACATAGAATAGTGTACACTCTGCCCATAAAATCAAAAACAACACCGTTTTAGGGATTCTAAACAATTTATTGAACACTTTTATCTTCTCACTCGCTTTGCTCGGCTTACAAAAGTAGACAAAAAAAATCGAAGATATATATAAGGCGGTATATATGTGGGTATGTATGCGATATGTATAAATCATTATGCAAATAAATAAGTGGACTACAGGGCGTACTAACTGATACAAGTAGATTCCGGGGGCGTGGGAAAATCTCTGACAGTGGGACGCAGAAGTATTCGGCTTAGTCTACGGCTTAAAGCGCTTAAAATATTTAGTGACTAATTCAAGTGTATATTTGTTATGCATGTGTTTGTGTGCAAAATGCGCGTGTATGCGTGTCTACAAAGTCTTAAGAGAGTCTTACGAGAAATACTCTAAGTAATGGATTGTATCGGCTCAACTGCTGAAGAAAGCTACAAGTGATTGTCGGATGGATATATGATGTGGACTGGTCATGGCTTAGCACCGTTTTACATGAAATAGAACCTAGGCTTAAACTAAAACAAAAATAATCGATTATCGGACTGCCACCAAGAAGGGAATGTGAATGTGATAGAAACAGACAGGAAGTGCTGGCTGAAGGGGGTTTACAGCTACAGTTTTCAGGAAACGGAAATGGAAATGGAAAAGGAGATGGAAAGGGAAGTGGAAGTGGAAAAGGAAGAGGAAGAGGAGAACCCAGTAAACGGCTTGAGTTAATGTTAAATGATTTGTATCAAAAATTATACTAACGAAGTGTACGCTACAAATTTAAGAGCCGCAGACGCAGACACAACTGTACCTAGAACCGGAAACGGAAGCGCCGACCAAACGCAGTAGCTAGTGATGGCACTAATGGCAGTCTTTGGACTCGGACCTTCTTACTAACACAAAAGTATAATTCATTTGTTGTAAATAGAATACAATTATTGCAAATATTTTCGTTTCAATTCTAGCATTTGAACATTTGATTTAAGAACGGATTTAAAAACAAATTGGCCCTGTATCCAAACAAAAAGACTTGATCCCATAGAAGCTATCAGTAGTGCCATTGCCCAGCCGCCGGAAATCGGTAATCCGCACGCGGAACTAGTTTCAGTCGCACAGTCGGTGGCGTGCTCACGACATCGCCCGCTTCTTGGAGAGCGTTCCCTGCAGATCCGCCGGCGAGGGAAGCTGGATGACGGGCAGCGGTGCCAGCTGGGGATTCGTGAAGGCCACGGCGCGCTCCTTGGTGCTGCCGGCGAACGAGGAGAACGGACGCAGTCGGACGTAGAGCACGGCGGAGGTGAGGCAGGACGTGACCAGGATGCCCAACAGCACGATGAGCGTGATGGCAAAGCCCGGCGTGGTCATGCAGATCAGGCCCTCCTCGCGCAGTGGAAATACCATGGTCTGTGGACTGCGATCCACGCCGGAGTTGGCGCCATTCGGTGTGCTTCCATTACCGCCGGCCTGCTCATCGATGGCGAAGGTCAGATCGCCGGAGGAGACCACCTTGATGATCCTGTTCAGACCCACCTGCGGTTCGGCCACCGCACGGGCACGTCGCTGCACCCTTCGCTCGTCCCGCCGCTTGCCGATCGCGCTGGCCACGTGGTAGGCATCCACATGAAGTTGCGGCGGTGGACCGTACTGCGATTCAGGACCCACCTGCAAGTGGTGGACATCCTGCAGATTCGTTTCCGCCGAACATTGCTCAGGACAGTGGTAGCGGCAGATCTGGATGGTGCACTGGAAATGCACCTCCATCGAGTCGGGGAACTTGAAGGCCTGGAAGTGGGCATAGGACAGCACGGACGCAGAGGCTCCAAAGTTCTTGATCTTGGTGAACCGCGACATGAGCTTGGGTCGGGTGACACAGCCCCGCTGGTCAACCAATTGGATGGGCGCCCTCTTGCCGTCATGCGCCACACAATTCCTCACCAGCATATCGAACTTGGAGTCGTCATCCTTGATGGCCAGCACCATGGTCATCGTCTGGCCGATCTTAACCAGTCCAGAGACCTCCGATGCCCACGGACCCTTACCCACCTGGATCTGCATCCAGCAGCCAACGTTATCGCCAGCAAAATCGGCCCTCACCACATCCAACATGTCCACCGGGAATGGACGGAAGGTCACGCTCTTCTCGTACTGATCATGCCACGTGCAACGAAGTTTCCTGGCCTGATCCCACACCTCCTGCACCTGCGGATCGTACTGGATGACGATGATGTTCTCGAAGTAGGTGCCCGCTCCCGTGCTGCCCGCCTCATGGCCATACCCCTGGCCATAGTTGTCCGTATTGCCGGCGGTGCCGCACTCATGCAGTCCAATGTCGAAGCTCGCCGAGCTGCGTCCCAATCCCGACGGCAGGTGCACGCAGTTCATGTTGCTGTAGTGACCCTTGGAGAACACAATGCCATTGAAGGGCTTGTCGAACTGCACGAACACCTTCATCCCGTTCTTCTCGCACTTCACGTCCAGGGACACAATCTTGGGCATATCCTGCACCGGTGCCGCCCAGATCTCATTGTTGCTCGATCCGCCCACACTCAAGTCGGGCACCTGCACTTGCTGCTGCTGCCCCTGCCCCTGCTGCTGCTGCGTATGCTGCTGCTGCTGCTGCGGCTGCACCTGCAGCTGCAACTGGGGCGGTGGCTGCGGTCGCTGCTGCAGCTGCGGCGGTGGTGGTCCCTTGTAGAACTGGGCACCCGGCGGCGGCGGAGGTCCAAATGGCTGCCCAAAGCTCAGCGGAATGTTCTGGTGATTGTCTGTAGGCGCAGCAGGAATATAGGAATATTATTTGGTAAATATTACACATGCAGCAGCTAGCTGTTTTCACTTACTGCGCATGGTGAGTGCCACATTTGGTGGCGGCTGTGGCATGTTGTGCTGGTAGTGCACCTGCACCTTGGGCACCGATTGGGGCAGCTGCATCTGGATCTGCGGCAACTGCTGATGCTGCTGCTGCTGTTGCTGCTGCTGCTGCTGCTGTTGCTGCTGCTGCTGCTGCTGCTGCGCCTGGGCCTGCTGCTCCTGCTCCGATTCCTGGGCCATCTGGTCCAGCTCGTTCTCGTGATCCCCAAGAGCGATGGTCAGATCGTCGTCGGGTCCACCGGCAATCGCCTTCACCACCTCCACATCGTCCGCGCAGACGAGTGCGACCTGTAGCCCAATTTTTGGATTGGGATTGGGGGATTCGGATTGATGAGAAGTTGCAATGAATGTATGATTTCAGTTGGGGAATGCCAAATGGAATGGGCGCAGAGCAGCAAGTGGCAAGTGGCAGGCAGGTTGCAAGGCGGATGCGGCATGCAACTCAATTGCATAAGGCCGCAAAAAGCCACTGGCAGCCGTGGAGAAAGAGAAATACAAGAGAAAAACCACTGGCACTGCAACAATTTCGCTTTTTTCCGCCGTCTGTTTGCCGTTTGCCGTTTTCTGTTTTCAGTTTTCTGTCTTCTGTCTTCTGTTTTCCAACCAGCAACTCTTCTTGTGCCACATGCAACGTGCGGCGACCCAATTGCCAGGCAGATCCGCCTGGCTTAAAAGGCGATGTCAAGGCTAGAACCAGACCAGCCCAGACCAGACGACAACACAAACAAAGTCCAAGACCATAGACCGTGGACCACGGACCCAGCCCCAAAGACAGAAGACCGAGGACCGAAGACCGAAGACGGAAGACCCAAGACACCAGACATTCAAGACATTCAAGACCCAGATTGAGCTCGCGATCGACATGGAGTAGGAGATGCCGGGCTGGAATGATGGTGATGTGTGCCCGATAATAGCCGGGTAACAGATTAGATGCAATCCAGATAAATTGGATGCCGGATGGGTGGGAAGCCACAGCTCCTCACTTCTGTACTTGTTTAGTAATGACAATATTAAATGTTGAGACAGAAACACTTGGAAAGAAGTGCTACAGCAAACTTTAGCTGATGATAGAAAACAGTATTCAAATAATATAAATAGATAAATAGTTAAGTAAACCTTTCTCTCTGCACCTGAAGCAGCCTTAAAATGTTTGAACATCTTCTACATAGCCCATCCATCCTTTCTAATCAAGATTCCCATGTCGCATCTTGTGACCAACTGTGCGATCTGCTAATAAACTTAATTAATTTTCCATTACTTTCTTTTTGCGTCCTTCACTTGGCGCAGATTGGATTGGCCAGTGGCCAGTGGCCATGTTCCGGGTGACCATTTCTTCAGTTTGCGCGGCCATTCAGGAACATCTTGATCCGCGGCGCTGGCTTGGCCGTGTACTTGTCGCCGAACTGGACTGATTCAGTTACCAACTCGCCCAGTTGCCGAGTTGCCAAGTTACCTGGCTATCTTGGCAATTAGACGAGAGGAGCAGGCGGTGGAAGCACTGGAGCAATTGCGGACAGGTGGACGATGATGGCCATGGCCATGGAAATGGCGATCATTGCCAAGATACCCATACCCATACCCAAACCCATACCCATACCCATACCCATAGCAATCCCATGATGAAGATGCCCAGCGAAGATGGCGAGGCTGCATCCCATTTGGCCAAATCTGTGCCGCACCGCCGAAAACAACTTTCTCCGCCAACTGGGAAGCTGAGAAAACTGAGCATCCGAGTGTCTCAGTGTCTCAGTATCGCAGGTATTGGATTTTTTGAGTCTTTAGATGGGATGTCGCAACGGCTGAGACGGCGGCATCCTGAAGCAATCCTGTTTGGTAGAAAGTGATGTGGCAAGCGCGGCAGACGATTGACGACAAAAAGGCAAGTAAGCAGCAAGTAGATGGTAAAATTGTAGATGCCTTGATGCTACGATGGCAAACAAGTGGCCCACGAACTCGGGTAAACCCACTGCTCAAAATTCTATAATCAAATTTGCATGCAGGCACGTGATTTGGAGCAACTGCAGCGCCAAGCCATGAATACCAAAAACTATGCTCAAGCTCGAGCGATTCGCAACAAAAAAAATACAAAAATACAGTACAAAAACCTAAGCATTTATATACAAAGATTTCGAATACTTGTATGTGTAAAATGTGCCATAGTCGTATATGAATTATGTGTATATATACCAAACTAATGCAACTTTTTGCTGACTCTTTTTTACCCCGCCACATCCAAAGACTTTTGAAATGTACACTGTTTCGTTTTCAACTCAACCAGAAACTAATCATCTCGAGAGAACTGCGTTAATTGAAATGTGTGCCAAGTGGGCTTCACTGTTTGCCCATTCAACCAAGTGGCATGTCGTGAGTTTCAGCAAGCCCCCCGTTCTCAAATCCCCCAATTGAAAACCCCTTTGCAGTCCCCCACGTAATACGAAATGGAGAAGACTAATGATGTGACTAAAGACTGAAGACTCAAGACTGAAGACTGAAGACTAGAGACTAGAGACCAAAGTCGCAAGACAGAAGACAGAAGAAACCGGCTGTTGTTGCCAATCTTGACCTCGACCAATGCATGGTGCTAAGCTATTTTTTTCTTCTTTTTTTGGCAGGGGGATTTCGGGAAGAGGCTGTCTGCCTGGCAGCGCACCAAATCGGGAGAAAGTGAAACATTAGCAGAGAATCGGAATTTGGCAACCACTTGGGCTGGAGGAGCATGGTGGCGCATGGTGGCGCATGGTGGGATGGAGGATAGATGATGGAGGATGGAGGGTCAAAGGTGAACGCCAGGCCGTTTGGCAGCATTTCTCGACCCCAAGATGAAAGCGAAAAGGAGGCGAAAAGTGGAGATGATGCTGCCACCACATGCTGCCGCTGCCGCTCGTTAAAGGAATGGAAATGCCTCGTTTTCCTATGCTTCTTTTTGGCCTGGCTAAATTGTGTCATCGCCCCAGAATGGCCAAAAACGCTGGTAAGCAACAAAAAGAATAACTTTCTAACGTCATGAACGCTGGACAAAAATAAAGAGATGCGGTCTGGGGGGATGGGCATGTGTGTTACCTAGGCAACGTGGGATGCACATGGAATTTAAATATGTGCCAAAAGACGAAAAAGAGAAAGGAATGCTGCTTCACATGGCTTTTCGAGTGTAGAATTATGCGCTCTTATTGCTGAATTTTATTGGCACACATGGAAATTCTGTATGGTGTAATAACATTCCAATGTACATTCTCTAGCCTCGAATAGTTTTAAATGGAAAGCTTATGTCCAGCTAAATATGTCCAAGTAAAGTGCAGCAATCTTGTAAGAAGCTCAATCTTAATTGAAACGCCGCCTTTACTACGTTGAGTTTCTAAATTCCTGAGATGGCATCGCCGATGTGTATCCTTTCCATTGCGCGCACTAATTACTCGATTTTCCGTTACTTTCCCCGCTGCTCACTTCGATATCTTATAAATATATGTTCCTGATTGGTTCCAGGAACTAAAACCAGCACATGTAACATTCGCACGAGCCCGAGAAACGAGGCCATGCCAATTACACGTCCCATCCAGCCCATTCCAGCCCGTTCCCACCCATTCCATGCCGTTCCGTTCAGTTCCTCTCCATTCCGTTTCATTCCAGCAGAGGCGCTCTTTCACTCGCACACTCGCACACTTGGACTCACACGCACACGATGAGACACGATGAGACTCGATGAGGCAGACGACAGGCAGACAGAAGGAGAGAGGACATGGCGGAGAGAGCAGAGAGGGCGCAGTGGCGCCGAAAGGGGGGTTGTTTCGTAGACAATAATATTCGCTGACTGAACAAATTACTTAGTGCTCTTGTCCTGAACTATACAATCCTTGTATATTTAGTTATTATTAAAGAACCCTTTCTAATGTCTACGTGCTTCGTGAGTATTAAGCATTAATGCTTTAGTAAACTTTGTGAAAAAAGCGGAACTCCCACACAAATCACCCCTTATAAAAAGCCACGTACGCCAGTGAAAGAGAGAGAAGCTTAAGCCGGCTGCTGCTAATGGGAATTATCTTTTTATAAGCGCATGTGGCACATGCTGCCGTTGTGTCTGCGGCTTTTGGCTTCAATTGATTTCAATTATTTGCATCGGCTTAACTCACCTGCAGTGAAAGGAAAATGATAAGCGGCAGCCAAATCTTCTTAGCACCGATTTCTACGTTTCTTCGTAGATTTCTGCAGCGCACTTGCTTGTGTTGTTGTTGTTGCTGTTGCTGTTGATGTTGCATGTTGCTGCTGCTGCTGCTGCTGATTGTGGTGATGGTGTTTCTGTTTGTTAAGTGTGTAATTAATTTGTTTATCGTTATTCGATATTTATGTTGTTGTTGTGGGCGGTCAAAGAAGAATGAGCAGAAGAAGCAGAAGAAACGGAAAGCGGAAGAGAGAAGGTGGCGAAGAAAGTGCTTTTCGCTTTTATTTCTTCCCATTGTTATGGTTACCTGCTGTATGAAAGTGTTTCCCGCTAATTGCAATTTATTAGCAATTTCTCAGTCAACTCAATGATGATTGATTGACTTGCTAAGTGTGGCGCCCCCACTTCTGCCCCCTCTTCTGCTTCTTCTTGCCCCTTTCTAACTCCACCCGCTGACCATAAATGAAAAACTAAAAATAAACAAAAAAACAAAGAAAGAAAGGGAAGCTGCGACAAGTCAAGAAAGAAAAGAATCTGTGTAATGACAACTCACTTGAGAAAATAAAAGGGTAACTGAGGAGGTGAAAAGTGTTAATAGGTTTCCCCATAACTCAAGTGGGTCATCTTGGCCCAGACAAATACGAGTGCTCTTAGTTTGGCCAATTAGAAGGCCAAAGACGGTGACAGGTGGCAAAGGTGCGAGGAAAATCCGGCGAAAGAGAGAGTGAAGAAAGAGTGAAGGCGAGAAAGCAGCACTCTGGAAGAATTAGCGAATTCTTCACTCATTATTTACTGACCTTGAAAACTAATAGCTGACTCCTGTCATTAGGGTTGATTATCAATGCTTCATTTATTTATTTTCTCACTTCCAAATTAAGATTACTAAGTATAAAAGATTCCATTTTTGAAAACTAATGTAGTACTTTCAAGTTATCGTTTAACTTATAATTTGGGGATCAAGTTTGTCTGTAAGCACGGAAACTCTAAAAACGTTGGATTCTGTTTATCAATTTAAGTTATGCTACATTCTTCACCCATCTGCATTGATATGGACATATCTGATCACTAAGAAACGCAGCTTTATGATGAAATACTATAATTTCCATTAAAAGGATCTATTGTGGGAAAAAACCCTAGACTCACTAGTTGACCAAATGCTGAGCCACGATCACTGCAGATCAAATTTGTATGTTAGTTAATTGTGATGACCGCAAGTGTAAGTAAAGCCCTATGTAAAGATCTCTCTTCGTATCTATGTACCATATCCCTCAAATTTTCATATTTTCGGATCCTCTCACAGCTGTTCTAGTGCTTCCGTTTCCGCTGCGCACAGGGCAACTTCCGGCTACTTGTGGATCCCATCTGCCGGCACTTACCTATAAGGTCCTAGGCCCACTTCCGATTCCGTGGTGCTGCAGCTATTCAGATTCCTATTCCAAATCCAATTTCAGTTCCAAATCGAAATCAAAATTCCGAAGGCTGACAAACAGGATGCGTTAGCGGCAACTTTCGAAAACAGTTGCACTTGAACGGTGGCCGTTACTTTTGTCCGCCGCTGATGTTGTTGCTGCTGCTGCGGCTGTTGCTGCTGCTGCTGTTGCTGCTGTTGCTGCTGATGCAGTTGCTGCAGTCCGCTGATGCTGCCGATGGGTTGACGAGGATGACAGCAGCGGGCGCGAAGGGGGCGAGTTGCACGCGGTCAACAATTAACGATCGCAAGTGGAGCACACACAAAAGAAAATTGCAAACAACAAAAAAAAAAGAACAGGACACAAAAAGCGTGTTGATCACTTTGCTAACCGTTTTCCCAGCGGTTCTTTACGTTCCGTTTCGTTTCGATTCGTTTGGCTTTGCTCTCTGTTTGCTTGTTTGTTTGTTTATTTTTCTTTTATTTTTTACATATGTAAATTGGCTCGTTTGTGCGGTTTACGCATATATCGAATGTTGTATTTATTTTGTACTATTTTTGTTTTCGCTATGCATGCGGTTGGGAGCAACGAGGATCGATCGCGCCTGGAGGAGCAGAAAGAGGAGCAACGCGTCTGCTTCGCGCCGTGGTTTAGCGCCGAATGCTGCAGACACCTGCTTTCTCGCAGCGGAACACTTCGCATGCGCAGCAGCAGCAGCAGCAGCGGCAGCAGCAGCAGCAGCAGCGGCAGCGAAATTTCTTCTTTCCATTCCATTGAGGCCTCCACTGAGGCAGTCGGCCAAGTGCAAAGCCAAAATACGATGCCAAGTACGACTTTTTCGAGTACAGCTTGCCGGCTCATGTTGCATGTGGCTGTTGCTGCTGCCTGTTGCTGCTGCATGTTGCTGCTGCTGCTGCTGCTGCTGCTGCTGCTGTTGCTAGTGTTGCTTTTTGGGCCCAAATGTTGCGGATGCTGTTGCTGTTTTGGCCGTTCCTATTGTTGTTGCTGCGGCAGCTTGTGGCATGCGTTGGTTTCCCCAGCCTTCTGTTTGTTTACACTGGGCAGCAGTTAGATGTATGTAGGTACGTACAACTTTCAGTTGCGATGGGTTACAGCAGCAGCAGCAGCAGCAGACGACTTCGTTGACAATTGCATGTGGCACAGCGCAAGGCATCTAACTGTTTGCACTTTCTATTCCCCTCCTGCCGCCTGCCACATGCCGCCTGCTGGCCACTGACCAAGCCCACAAGACTCGGACTCCACAATTATTGGCCACTGCCCATGCTCCAGTTGTGGCAAGCAATCAAGCCGAGCAGCGCGGAAACGCGTGTGTGGGCGCCCTTCGGTTGCCACACGCTGCGCTGCCCCCAGTGGGTGGCAAATGGCAAATGAGTGTTGCAAGATGATTCGGGTGGCATGCAATAGGCAAAAACTGACACACACACAAACACAATTGCGGCAGAGATATCGTGGTTTTTTTTCCTGACTCCCCTTGTAATGTTTCATCGACTGTTCCACTTTTCCATAAAATATTTTTGCCAACTGCCGCATTTGGCATTGTCGAGCAACACAACAACAAAAACTGTAACACCAGCGACTGAAGCAACTGAAGCAACAACCAGCACAACAACAACAAGCGCCACTTGCTCTGGCTGAAATAATAGGATGAGCCACTGCAACGCCAGCGACAGCGAAGCCAATTGATAACCAGACGGCACAGTGGGGCAAAAACATCCATCTCTCTTATTTCCTCATTTTTGGACCAAACATAGTCAGCATTGTGGTGCAATACTTCGGGAATAATGGACCAAATATAGATTGTCATACCTCGTTGAGCTCGCCATTTGATTTCCAATCGATTGGCAATCAAAATGGGATATTTTATTTTTTTGCCATTTTTCGCAGATTTTGATGCAAAATTTGCAAAAATTGACCGAAAAATTTATTTTTCAAAATCCCTCAAAAAGTGATAGGGATAGTTAGATTTGGTAATAAGCTGTTCAAAACAGTAATTCTTTCATCTCTATGATCATTTTTGTCCAAGTTTTGACTAAAATGCCCATCGAAAATGTTGATTATTTTCCAAAATCCGTTTTTTCGAATTTCGCTCATAAAATAATCAGTTTTTTGGCCAAAACTTTCAAAATATTTATCAGAATGTGGAATGTCATATCTCGTTGAGCTCGTCATTAAATTTCCAATCAAACTGCATTTAAAAGTTTAAATCTTAATTTTTTGCCATTTTTCGCAAATTTTGATGATGTTACCCCTTAAAAAAAATGGAAAAATTGACTCAAAAATTAATTTTTCAAAATCCTTCAAAAAGTGATAGGGATAGTTAGATTTGGTAATTAGCTGCTCAAAACAGTAATTCTTTCATCTTTACGACCATTTTTAGCCAAGTTATGACTAAAATGCCCATCGAAAATGTTGATTATTTTCCAAAAGCCGTTTTTCCGAATTTCAGTCATAAAATAATCAGTTTTTTAGCCAAAACTTTCAAAATATTTATCCGAATGTGGAATGTCATATCTCGTTGAGCTCGTCATTAAATTTCCAATCAAACTGCATTTAAAAGTTAAAATCTTAATTTTTTGCCATTTTTCGCAAATTTTGATGATGTTACCCCTTAAAAAAAATGCAAAAATTGACCGAAAAATTTATTTTTCAAAATCCTTCAAAAAGTGATAGGGATGGTAAGATTTGGTAATTAGCTGCTCAAAACAGTAATTCTTTCATCTTTACGACCATTTTTAGCCATGTTATGACTAAAATGCCTATCGAAAATTTTGATTATTTTCCAAAAGCCGTTTTCCTGAATTTCGGTCATAAAAAAAACAGTTTTTTGGCCAAAACTTTCAAAATATTTATCAGAATGTGGAATGTCATATCTCGTTGAGCTCGTCATTAAATTTCCAATCAAACTGCATTTAAAAGTTTAAATCTTAATTTTTTGCCATTTTTCGCAAATTTTGATGATGTTACCCCTTAAAAAAAATGGAAAAATTGACTCAAAAATTAATTTTTCAAAATCCTTCAAAAAGTGATAGGGATAGTTAGATTTGGTAATTAGCTGCTCAAAACAGTAATTCTTTCATCTTTACGACCATTTTTAGCCAAGTTATGACTAAAATGCCCATCGAAAATGTTGATTATTTTCCAAAAGCCGTTTTTCCGAATTTCAGTCATAAAATAATCAGTTTTTTAGCCAAAACTTTCAAAATATTTATCCGAATGTGGAATGTCATATCTCGTTGAGCTCGTCATTAAATTTCCAATCAAACTGCATTTAAAAGTTAAAATCTTAATTTTTTGCCATTTTTCGCAAATTTTGATGATGTTACCCCTTAAAAAAAATGCAAAAATTGACCGAAAAATTTATTTTTCAAAATCCTTCAAAAAGTGATAGGGATGGTAAGATTTGGTAATTAGCTGCTCAAAACAGTAATTCTTTCATCTTTACGACCATTTTTAGCCATGTTATGACTAAAATGCCTATCGAAAATTTTGATTATTTTCCAAAAGCCGTTTTCCTGAATTTCGGTCATAAAATAATCAGTTTTTTGGCCAAAACTTTCAAAATATTTATCAGAATGTGGAATGTGATATCTCGTTGAGCTCGTCATTAAATTTCCAATCAAACTGCATTTAAAAGTTAAAATCTTAATTTTTT